TATATTATTGATCGATTGACTATGACTTTTCAGATCACCCAGTAGTGCTATCTGCAGTGTTAGCTCCAGGTAAATATTGCAATCCTTCAGCCATTCCTGGATCTGTGACCAAAAACAAACTACAAATGGACAGTACCAAATCAAATGATCGGGGCGGCAGGTAGCTTAGTGGGTAAGAGCGTTGTGCTAGTAACCGAAAGGTCGCTGGTTCTAATCCCCGAGCTGACTAGGGGAAAAATGTCGATGTGCCCTTTAAGCAAGGCACTTAACCCTAATTGCTCCTGTAAGTCGCTCCAGAGCGTCTGCTAAATGACTGAAATGTAATGATTCTGTCTTTTCGCAGCAAAATCTGCAGAGCTGGGAAGATTGTATCCCCCATATAAACAACGTTCTATTGGTAGCAAGAATTTTGTATAATAATTTAAATTGAAAAATTCTAGTTTTTGAATCCGGCGTTGTTTTGCGTATCAGTTCATAAACACTATACCATGGAATCGGTACGTCAAAAATCTCTTCCCAACTATTTTCCAATCTATATGGGACGGCTGTCAATCCTTTGGTCCTTAAATGAAACTGGTATACTTTTTTATTTATTACAATTTTCTTTAACCAATTATGTTCTTTAATGCAGGTCCGACAGACAAGTTCCTTACTTTTCCCCCCTTCCACTTTCCTCTTCCATTTTTGCGGTAATGCTGCAATTATTTGGTTGTAATTTTGGGTAGAGCAGACATTTCCATATGTTTTTGTTAGCTGCATGTGCGACATAACTCCACCAGTCCTACCTATGATATCATTTACGAGGATTATACCTTTTTCTTTTTTTTTTTACATACTTTTTTGAAAAATATTGTTTATTAATTAGTATATTTGAGTTTAACCACAATATTTGTTGCATTATTTGTTCTGTCATTTCTGGAGGATTAAATTGAAATTGCAACCAACTTTCTATGGCTTGTTTTAGAAATTGTGATATTTGGGAGATTATTTCCTTTTCAAATAACTGAAAGTGAGAGGTTGTAATCTGAATAAAGGGGAAAAGGCCATTCTTGAACATGGGGTGAGACAATCTTACTAATTTGCTAGAGAACCAGTTTGGATTTAAGTATAACTTTTGTATGACTGAAGCTTTCAGTGATAGGTCTAATGCTTTAATATGTAATTTCTGTCCTCCGAATTCATATTCATTATATAAATAGGCCCGTTTAATTTTGTCTGGCTTGCCGTTCCAAATAAATGGAATATTTTTTTCTCATATAATTTAAAAAATGGTTCACTAGGCGTAGGCAAGACCATAAGCAAATAGGTAAACTGGGATAATACTAAAGAGTTAATCATGGTGATCTTTCCACAAATTGACAGGTATTTACCTTTCCATGGTAGCAAGATCTTATCTATTTTTGCTAACTTATTGGAGAGTTATTGGAGTGAGATCATTTATTTCATTTGGGATATGTATTCAGAGTATATCCACATCACCATCAGACCATTTTATTGGTAAACTACATGGTAATGTAAAAATTGTATTTTTTAGTGATCCAATACGTAATATAGTATATCTATCATAATTTGGTTGTAATCCAGAGAGGTTAGAAAATGTATCTAGATCCTCTATGAGGCTGTGGATTCAAGTTGTGGATTTAAAAGAAAACATGAATCATCAGCGTACTATGACACCTTTGTTTTTAAGCCCTGGATTTCTAATCCCTTGATATTATTGTTGGATCTGATTTTAATAGCTAACATTTCGATGGCCACAATAAATAGATATGCCGATAGTGAACAACATTGTTTCACTCCTCTTGACAGTTTAAAGCTTTTGAAGAAATAGCCATTATTTACTATTTTACACCTAGGGTTACTATACATGATTTTAACCCATTTTATAAGAGATTCTCCAACATTGAAATGCTCCAGGCATTAATATATAAACTCCAGTCGTACTTTATCAAATGCCTTTTCAAAGTCTGCTATGAATAGTAGGCCTGGTTTCCCAGATTTTCATAGTGTTCTATTGTTTCCTGTACTTGCCTTATATTATCTCTAATGTATCGTCCATGTAAAAAACCTGTCTGATTAGAATTAATAATGTCCGACAATACCTTTTTAATTCTATGCGCTATACATTTTGCTAGAATGTTTGCATCACAACACTGAAGTGTAAGGGGCCTCCAATTTTTTACATGGACTGGATCTTTATATTTCCCACTTGTATCCTGTTTCAGTAATAGTGAAATCAGACCTACTAGCCTACTGTTGATGGCATAAGAGATGAGACAGCGAAATATGACAAAGGTGTTTATTAAAATAGGCACATAGTGCAGAAAAGGGGTAATCAGACCAGTAAATATAAAATACATGTAAACTTGATTTATTTAAAATTCTATCTAAAATCAATATCCATGATAGCTAAATATTTAGAGTACAATAACAAGGATTGAGCGCTCTAGTGCCTAATCAAATAATATTGAGAGGTAAACTGTAGGGATTTGATTTCTTCATTACAGTCAGAACAAGTTCAAAGGCCCATGTGTTCATGAGTGAATTTCCCCTCACACACAACTGCATCAATGTTTTTCAGGTGCCGTAAACAAATAGACATGTCTGTTCTACTCAATGCAGTGTCTAAGATAAAAGTTGTAATGGTGTGAATTATGCTCATGTTGTGTTTCTCCCTGATGACATAACTGCAATGGCATGCTGAAAAGAGGTCTTATGTATCAACAACATTCCATAGAACAAGTCCTGGGATAAAACAACACATTTATTTGACTGTTCTACATAATACATTAGCACGAGTTGATTAAAATAAGATATTCAAATCAACCTTAACGGCAAATACTAAAAATGCAGATGTTGTCAATTACTTGATCAACACCGGTAATGATACAATAACATGACTGTAACAAAACTCTACAGCTCTTATGTACAAGCCTCCAGGTCTGGCTGCACTGGAATTGGTAAAATAAGGCCAAATATTGTCTTCAACTAAGTATAGTAACTTTAGCACCTGGGTCGTTCCACGAAATAAGTGCCTTTTGCGTCTTTGATATTTTAAGTAGAAATTGTGCCCAAATATTGCATTTTTAAAGCCTGTTATATTAATTGAAGTGCCCTTTAATATAGACCACATGGAGAATTCAATAAATCATATTTTTCATATAAATAAAAATACTTGCTAAAGTGCCAAAAATGCAGCATTTTGACATGTCCCTCCGTGCACCCTCTGTGACTTCTAGGAAGATTTTAAAGAAGGCACAGTGATGCCGAAACGTTGGTGGTTTCTTACCCAATAAATTACTGGGAGTTTATACATAGTGTGCGACTCTCTCTATTTGTTTTTATAACCCACTTAATCCCAACATGTATCCAAGTTTCCACCATCATTTTAAAGCCCTAGTTATTTTTGTTGCTTTGACAAAGTCATTTCTGAAGATTTACTTAATGTGATTAGTGATTAATTTACATCTGTCCCTCATTTTGTCAACCCTGTTATGTGAACTGAACTCTCATTTTAATATGGTGAAATTATTCCTTTAAAAAAAGTGTTTTGCAAAAGAAACGTTGAACATCTAATATTCAAACCATAGTGTAAAAGCAGGTGAGCTGGTTCTACTCTTTCTGGCCATTTTCTGGTGTTTTTTAGTGGAAAGGTGAGCGGGCCGAACATAACACGTCAACCCTGTTACCCATAGATGGACAGGCTAGAAATGTTTTAACAATCAATAAATACATTCTGAAGCTTACTTTCAATTGCCCATCCCCTGTTGCACACAACACATTTCCATTCCCCCTGTCACAAGGGGATTTATGGCTGTTTTAAGATGAAATCGCCAACCCTGTTACATTATTTTGCACTTATACTATAGTATATTTTTATTGAACCACTTGAGATGGAAAAACATGTTTTTCTATGAAGTTGAACATGCGCTCTATGACAAAATGTTAAAATTAGGTGAAATCAAACGGTTTTTTTTCCCCAACCACGTTACACTACTCAAAAGGCACCTGATTGGTGGAACGACCCACCTGTGCTCTATCAGCCATAATGCCCACCAAAAGAAATCAGGTTCATAACAATAAAATGTGTACTTCATTAATGCTTAAAAATCCTTAAATGGGGATATAGGTATGCTTGCATCAGCAATTAATACCTCCCCTTCCTCTTATCGTTTTCAGTAGAGACATATTAATTGTATTACAATTACAATATCCACATCATCATCATCATCATCATACAGAGTGACACAGCCACACCTTCATAATGTTACTGCTTAGGTACAGTTAATCGACTGCGGGTACAGAGAGTGATGGTCAGAGCACCATGGCTTCCTTGAACGCATCTATCCATCTGTCAAAGACAAAACAATACAGTTAGTAGGTAATCACATATGTGTATCACAGTTGAGAGTAAAGCGTCAGCATGCTTCAGTTCGGCTGCCGGCCATTCGGCTAGGTGAACCGAACGAGTGCGCGCATACTTCCTTAAAAAGACATTTGCTTGAAAAACAAGAAAAAAAAAAAGCGCAATAGTACTGTTTGTCCACTTTGAGACGCCGTAGCCAGTTAAACTTCCTCAAAATAGTCTGAATTAATCGAAGATAACTCAAGAAATCTTATTCATTTGGATGTTTTTGCGCAATTTTAAAATCTAACTAAGATATTCCGTGCAGTATTTTTCAATGAAAAATATGCATGAAAACAAGTCGTCTCTTGTTCAATGATAAAGACTTTATTGAAGAATCCCTACTGTTGACCAATCACCGATGAAGGGGCGTAGACTTCGGCTCCGAACTTCGGCTTGCCTCCATAAAAAATTTTGTGTGCCTGAACAGCCAAAAAAAATCCCTCACCGAAGTCCAAAACGAACAAAAACGTCACAAAATGTCGTCATAATATATGCACAAACTCTACCGAACTGTTTCGGCTGGGAAGCATGCGCCTACATGTGTATCCTATCAATAGCATCATATGATTGGCATTGAAATCCTTGTGTACCTTTGGGCGGTTTGGCAGTCGTCGGCCTTGAAAATGTAATGCAGCGTGTTTTTGTGATAGAGCTTGAACTGCTGCTTCTGAGCTGCTGGCCCTGGACCCTCTTCCTCCTCTTTCAACATGAAGCCCAGCAATGGCTGGCTCTCTAACGCTGCCACGTTCTATGAGTGAGTGAGAGAGAGTGAGAGTGAGAGTGAGAGTGAGAGTGAGAGTGAGAGAGAGAGAGAGAGAGAGAGAAGTTGGATTTTGGTGAATTAAACTCAAACACTTGTCTTTTTCATATATTAAAAAAAAAAAAAAAACCTGTAGAAGAACAGAACTTAAATAATGTCTCAAAATATAGAATAGCAGAGGCATGTGTGCTATGTGAGTAACAGGTGTCGAATACATTGAGAAGGTCTTTGTCAGAAAATCTTGATCAGATGAATTGACAATATAGTCTACTGCAGCACCTACCTCACTGGCAGCGTACGTATACAGGACCTTGTTCTTGATGACGAACCAAAGCCTCTTCCCCTGCTTCTTATTGCCCTTTGACCTCTGCAGGTAACCACTCATAGACGAGTTGACTGTGTTTGCGGACACCTGAAACAGCAAAGATCATTGGATAGCATCACTGACTAATCATCAGTAACATATGGGTCGTGTTCAGTGGGCACCAAATGGATGAAAACGGTCTGAACCCGGGGAGGTATTTGAATCTGAAAATGCTAATTTTCCAGTACGAAACGTTTTCCTATGGTGTCCCCTAATGAACACGAACGAGACCCTAATTGAACTTTAGAGTGGTGGACTAGTCACCTCCTTGAGGGCAGCAGGAATCCTCTTCGTTTTCCTGCTGAAAGCAAAGGAGGATTTTCCACCAGGGGAGAGAGTTGGAGACAGGGCCTTTTCACCTACAAAAGGGAACGGACAAAATAAATGTCTAATCGCTGGACCCAACATATATAGTGTTCTTCTGCATGTCTTTATTCATCTACAAAATAAAGTAAACCAATCAATCAACGAACCACTGTTTGGAAGCAAGTTCTATTCTAGTCTGTACGGATGTCCATCTAATGATTTACTCAGATTAACTTTGACATAAACCATTGCCATGTTAAATGATGTGTGGGGGAAACAAGTCCCTTTCAGATTAAAACAACACATTGGATCTTATTCATCAAGAATGTGTACGTGTTAAAGCCAATACATAATTTATTGACATCACGTCATCGTTGGAGACACCTTAGGAGACACCTATCGCAAGTGCCAATCTGTAAAAATGGCATCTGCAGGTCTGCAAGTACATTGCTAATACAGCAAATGACACGTTTATTTTCATAGCGTACTGTAGTGTAGCCCTGACAATTAACAGATGATCACGGTGACCCTAAGTGAAAAGAAGCAAATCACTATGTCAGACTGGCCAGTGGTAGCCTCGTCCCGTATGGCATGAACACAAAAGATAGAGGCCAAGGCATTGGGCCTTCTACTGTGTAACAGTGTGTTACATGGAAGCAGGCCTTACGCCTCTGCTGGCTATGAAGCACTGATCACACACTATCGTCAGCTGGTTCTTAACACACACACACACACACACACACACACACACACACACACACACACATCTTACTTCTCTGCTGCTGTAGTACAATAAAGCACTGATCACACACTCTGGCCAGCTGGTTCTTCAGATACTCCAGACATTGTTTGTTGGAGGAGCAGGACTGGCACACCACCTATAGATGGTGTACAAACATTATTACTATACCACGGCATTGTTGAATACTAGTTTCTGATTGGCTTGAAGGGCATTCTAGAGTGTGCAATATTTGCAATGCATGTATGTAATGCATACACTGAAACATAAACCAATGGTACAGCAACAAATCCCAGCCTTTCTTTAATGATTTTGAGTGGGATTCTTAAATCCACTGAGGCATATGTTCTGTGGTCCCAGTGGAAGATGCCCCCCTCATCCATAGCAATACAATATAATGTTTTAATTAAATGTTCTTAATGCTCTGTTTAATTGTGCCCCTTACCTTTCCACAGGCTCGGCAGTGGTGTCGTCTCCAGGTGAGGGTGAACTCACAGGTGCAGACCATACACATGGTGGCCCTTGGGTCTGGGATCCAGATAGGGGCCTTAGAACCCAGGGGAACTCCACTGCCAGTGTCCTCAGACCCAGTCTGCACATAGAATAGTATAGAATAGACTTTATTGTCCAATTTGTGTCTTCTGCCCATCTCAACCCCTCTGTAATACCTTACTCAAAGCCTGCAGGTATAATGCACTATGACGCAGTTATAATGCATTGTAACGCTTGTCATGTCATCACTACCTCCTCCTGAGACTTGCTGGAGATGAAGGAGATCTTCTTCCTGGTGTAGTCATTGATCGCCGTGGAGATGGCCTCAAGCCAATCATCTCTCTCCACCGCAGAACTACAGAAGAAGAAGACAGGACGTGTCAGTCTACTGCTGAACTGGACATGAAATTATTGTTTAATGCAAGGGTAAATAGATGGGTAACACTTTACAAAGCCAGCAGGTATCATGTATTATTATGCAGTTACAATTATTTAAAGAATTGTCATAAGCATGTATGAACCTGTTATAATGTCTTATAATAATCTCATAACGATCCTGACTAAATACCAGCCATTTTGAATAAGCTCTTTTATAAAGAGATGATAAAGTCTCATACATGCTTATAATCAGTATTATAAATAAAAAATAACAAAATAAAAAAATATTGTAAAGTGGTTATCCCACTGGCTATAAGGTGAATGCACCTATTTGTAAGTCGCTCTGGATAAGAGCGTCTGCTAAATGACGTAAATGTAAATAACCTGGTTGGTTCGAGCCCTGAATGCTGATTGGCTGACAGCCGTGGTATATCAGACCATAATACCACAGGTATGACAAAACATGTATTTTTACTGCTCTAATTACGTTAGTAACCAGTTTATAATAGCAATAAGGCACCTCTGGGGTTTGTGGTATATGGCCAAATTACCACGGCTAAGGGCTGTATCCAGGCACTCCTCGTTGCGCCGTGCATAAGAACAGCCCTTAGCCGTGGGTATATTGGCCATATACCACACCCCCTCAGGCCTTATTGATTAAATATGAAGCATTACAACTTGCTCTATATTGTGACCGGTTCTCACCTGCCAGAGAGTATGAAGGAGCGTTCCACACTCTCAATGGTCAGCTCATTCTGAAAGGCCTCTTGGCTGGGCTTGCTAACCTGCAATTACATTCATTTTTTTAACATAACTATTACAAGCTTTCTTACCAGAGTAATACTATGATTTTGTGGTGGAACATTAAAAAACTAATCTGAAATTGATCCATATTGCTTTATGTGGCTCTGGCCAGATTTAATGCACTATATAGGGAACAGGGTGCCATTTCAGACACGGATAATGAGCTCTCACCTTCATCCCAGTCAGAGACAGCATGTTGTTGAGTTTGAACTGGCCAGATTGAACAGGGGTGGTGTACAGCAATGTGTCGTTGAACTGGTAAAAAAATAATATAAGAAATACATTTTTATTCACTGGAATTGCTCATTGTGCAGTATTTAGCAATAATAATAATCATGAGTCTGGAAGCAGCCGTTGTGATGTGTACTCCTGAGTGGCGCAGTGGTCTAAGGCACTGCATCGCAGTGCTAACTGTGCCACTAGAGATCCTGGTTCGAATCCAGGCTCTGTCGCAGCCGGCCGCGACCGGGAGACTCATGGGCGGCGCACAATTGGCCCAGGGTAGGGGAGGGAATGGCCGGCAGGGATGTAGCTCAGTTGATAGAGCATGGCGTTTGCAACGCCAGGGTTGTGGGTTCGATTCCCACGGGGGGCCAGTATAAAAAAATAAAATTAAATGTATTCACTAACTGTAAGTCGCTCTGGATAAGAGCGTCTGCTAAATGACTAAAATGTAAATGTAAATGTAGCATGAATGTATATACACTGAGTGTACAGTGGGGGAAAAAAAGTATTTAGTCAGCCACCAATTGTGCAAGTTCTCCCACTTAAAAAGATGAGTGAGGCCTGTAATTTTCATCATAGGTACACGTCAACTATGACAGACAAAATGAGAAAAAAAAATCCAGAATATCACATTGTAGGATTTTTAATGAATTTATTTGCAAATTATGGTGGAAAATAAGTATTTGGTCAATAACAAAAGTTTCTCAATACTTTGTTATATACCCTTTGTTGGCAATGACACAGGTCAAACGTTTTCTGTAAGTCTTCACAAGGTTTTCACACACTGTTGCTGGTATTTTGGCCCATTCCTCCATGCAGATCTCCTCTAGAGCAGTGATGTTTTGGGGCTGTCGCTGGGCAACACGGACTTTCAACTCCTTCCAAAGATTTTCTATGGGGTTGAGATCTGGAGACTGGCTAGGCCACTCCAGGACCTTGAAATGCTTCTTACGAAGCCACTCCTTCGTTGCCCGGGCGGTGTGTTTGGGATCATTGTCATGCTGAAAGACCCAGCCACGTTTCATCTTCAATGCCCTTGCTGATGGAAGGAGGTTTTCACTCAAAATCTCACGATACATGGCCCCATTCATTCTTTCCTTTACACGGATCAGTCGTCCTGGACCCTTTGCAGAAAAACAGCCCCAAAGCATGATGTTTCCACCCCATGCTTCACAGCAGGTATGGTGTTCTTTGGATGCAACTCAGCATTCTTTGTCCTCCAAACACGACGAGTTGAGTTTTTACCAAAAAGTTCTATTTTGGTTTCATCTGACCATATGACATTCTCCCAATCCTCTTCTGGATCATCCAAATGCACTCTAGCAAACTTCAGACGGGCCTGGACATGTACTGGCTTAAGCAGGGGGACACGTTTGGCACTGCAGGATTTGAGTCCCTGGCGGCGTAGTGTGTTACTGATGGTAGGCTTTGTTACTTTGGTCCCAGCTCTCTGCAGGTCATTCACTAGGTCCCCCCATGTGGTTCTGGGATTTTTGCTCACCGTTCTTGTGATCATTTTGACCCCACGGGGTGAGATCTTGCGTGGAGCCCCAGATCGAGGGAGATTATCAGTGGTCTTGTATGTCTTCCATTTCCTAATAATTGCTCCCACAGTTGATTTCTTCAAACCAAGCTGCTTACCTATTGCAGATTCAGTCTTCCCAGCCTGGTGCAGGTCTACAAATTTTTTCTGGTGTCCTTTGACAGCTCTTTGGTCTTTGGGCCCTAGTGGGGTTTGGAGTGTGAAATGTTTGAGGTTGTGGACAGGTGTTTTTATAAATGATAACAAGTTCAAACAGGTGCCATTAATACAGGTAACGAGTGGGGACAGAGGCCTCTTAAAGAAGAAGTTTTCAGGTCTGTGAGAGCCAGAAATCTGCTTGTTGTAGGTGACCAAATACTTATTTTCCAAACCCTAAATTTGCAAATAAATTCTTAAAAATCCTACAATGTGATTTTCTGGAGAAAAAAAATCTCAATTTGTCTGTCATAGTTGACGTGTCCCTTTATGAAAATTACAGGCCTCTCTCACTTTTTAAGTGGGAGAACTTGCACAATTGGTGGCTGACTAAATACTTTTTCCCCCCCACTGTACATAGACTGACCAGGTGAAAACCAGGTGAAAGGTATGATCCCTTATTGATGTCACTTGTAAAATCAACTTCAAATCAGAGTACAGTACCAGTCAAAAGTTTGGACACACCTACTCATTCAAGGGTTTTTCTTTATTTTATCAGTGTTATTTCATAGTTTTGATGTCTTCACTATTATTTCTACAATGTAGAAAATAGTAAAAAATAAAGAAAAACCCTTGAATGAGTAGGTGTGTCCAAACTTTTGACTGGTACTGTAGATTAAGGGGAGGAGATGGGTCAAATAAGTATTTTTAAGCCTTGAGACAATTGAGACATGGATTGTGTATGAGTGCCATTCAGAGGGTGAATGGGCAAGACAAAAGATTTAAGTCCCTTTGAATGGGGTATGGTAGTAGGTGCCAGGTGCACCGGTTTGTGTTAAGAACTGCAACGCTGCTGGCTTTTTCACACTCAACAGTTTCCTGTGTGTAATCAAGAATGGTCCACCACCCAAAGGACATCCAGCCAACTTGACACAACAGTGGGGAAGCATTGGAGTCAACATGGGCCAGCATCCCTGTAGAATGCTTTCGACACCTTGTAGAGTCCATGCCCCATTGAATTGAGGCTGTTCTGAGGGCAAAAGGGGGGGGGGGGGTACAACTCAATATTAAGAAGGTGTTCCTAATGTTTGGTATACTCAGTGTATGTGTGTGTGGTGTAGTGAGTATATGTGTGTGGGTTAGTGAGTGCATGTGTGCTAAGGTTTGTAGAGTCAGTGCTAAGGTGGTCAGTCCAGTTCAAGTGTTCAGCAGTCTGATGGCTTGTAGATAGAAACTGTCTCCGAGCCTGTCGGTATCAGACCCACGGCTGCGGGAAGATGGGTTGGGCGTGCTGAGATAATTTTTTCTTCCCACACTGCTGACGACTATTTTAGTCCGCTCATACAGGAGTAAATTTTGAAGGGATTTTTTATTTCTTCAAAACACCCCTACTTCCCGCGGCTATGATCAGACGTCATGCTTTCGATACATGTGCCGGGAGAAAGGAAGGAGACACAGCTGGGTAGTGTTCAGTAGGAACGAATCAGAAGGCACTATCTGAACGTGTCAAATAAAAAAAAAGGCTAATTTTGTTTCCTACTCACCAGGAAGAACATCCTGGGCTGCATGATCTTCCTGGAGAGCTTCATCAGAACCCCCTCTTTCAGGAACACCTGGAACACACCAATCAGATACCAGTGCTATAACTCTTTCGAAGCCAATCAGTGAAGAACCAAATTCATATCAGTGAGCCAGGAGGACCATGCTGATACCCACCCTCCCAGGCAGGACGATCTCATGGTGTCCGTTCAGACTGCACTGAACCTGAATCAGCTTCTGGAAGTTATCCTGAGAGAATAATAGGAAAAATTAAAAAAAAGTGAATATTCCACCACAGCTATTGTCATAAAGGCAGTGAACTTAAAGACAAGTAAAATGATGTTCTTCTATCTCACCCCCTGTTTCATGATGTCATTGGCATGGTTGGCCACCTCCTTCACTATGCCCAGGGCAGCTGTGGGTGGATGTGGAGATACAGGATTAGGCTACTATTTCAGTAAAATAATACATTTAATACCCCAGACTTTCTGGTTCACTTCAGTCTATTACAGCTACTACACTTGTCGTGCTCTCTACAATAATGTTGACACCCTGTGCTGTTGAGGCCACTTGCTCTACATACAATTATTTTATGCAGCTTTACCTTGTGTGTCTTTGTAATCTGCTGAGTCTGGAGACAGGTTCTTCAGGTAGTCTGAAAAGACAAACCATTTCAGAGAACATAAAACATGCCAATGATACGACACTAGGAACGGCCAATTGGCAGTTCAATAGGTCAATACAGGTGCCTTTGTTACTACACAGGACAAGTGCTTTGAATTGTGTAGGAAATTCCTGAAATGTAATTGGACTCTGAAAATCCTGATATACAACAACCAAAAGGTGCTTGTGAAATGGAATTATACAAGAGTGACGTGGTGAAAATAAATTGTTTACATTTTGGCAACGTTCAGAGCTGTGCGTCCATTAGTCTCATGCGATGCTAAGCCCTCTTACATGCTAAAGCTTGTTATGTCACCAAATCAGATTTGGACCATGCTTCAAAATCTTAGTATGAGTGGCTTGAGGAATAGGTGGAGAATTCGACATGTTTTGAATGTCTTTGACCAGTAGATGGTGATGTGACACCATTTAGCTTACTTGTATTTATTATGGATCCCAGCAGTTCCTCTTCCTAGGGTCCAGCAACATTAAGGCAGTTGTATACAATTTAAAGTATTACATGACATTAGATTTCATAACACTTTTCACAACACATTAAGTGTGTTTCCTCAGGCCACTACTCTACTACCACATATTTACAACACAAAATACGTGTGTGTAGAGTGTGTGTCTTAACATGTGTATCATGTGTACAGTGGGGAAAAAAAGTATTTAGTCAGTCACCAATTGTGCAAGTTCTCCCACTTAAAAAGATGAGAGAGGCCTGTAATTTTCATCATAGGTACACGTCAACTATGACAGACAAATTGAGAAAATAAAATCCAGAAAATCACATTGTAGGATTTGTTTTATGAATTCATTTGCAAATTATGGTGGAAAATAAGTATTTGGTCACCTACAAACAAGCAAGATTTCTGGCTCTCACAGACCTGTAACTTCTTCTTTAAGAGGCTCCTCTGTCCTCCACTCGTTACCTGTATTAATGGCACCTGTTTGAACTTGTTATCAGTATAAAAGACACCTGTCCACAACCTCAAACAGTCACACTCCAAACTCCATTATGGCCAAGACCAAAGAGCTGTCAAAGGACACCAAGAAACAAAATTGTAGACCTGCACCAGGCTGGGAAGACTGAATCTGCAATAGGTAAGCAGCTTGGTTTGAAGAAATCAACTGTTGGAGCAATTATTAGGAAATGGAAGACATACAAGACCACTGATAATCTCCCTCGATCTGGGGCTCCACGCAAGATCTCACCCCGTGGGGTCAAAATGATCACAAGAACGGTGAGCAAAAATCCCAGAACCACACGGGGGGACCTAGTGAATGACCTGCAGAGAGCTGGGACTAAAGTAACAAAGCCTACCATCCGTAACACACTACGCCACCAGGGACTCAAATCCTGCAGTGCAAGACGTGTCCCCCTGCTTAAGCCAGTACATGTCCAGGCCCGTCTGAAGTTTGCTAGAGTGCATTTGGATAATCCAGAATGGGAGAATGTCATATGGTCAGATGAAACCAAAATATAACTTTTTGGTAAAAACTCAACTCGTCGTGTTTGGAGGACAAAGAATGCTGAGTTGCATCCAAAGAACACCATACCTACTGTGAAGCATGGGGGTGGAAACATCATGCTTTGGGGCTGTTTTTCTGCAAAGGGACCAGGACGACTGATCCGTGTAAAGGAAAGAATGAATGGGGCCATGTATCGTGAGATTTTGAGTGAAAACCTCCTTCCATCAGCAAGGGCATTGAAGATGAAACGTGGCTGGGTCTTTCAGCATGACAATGATCCCAAACACACCGCCCGGGCAACGAAGGAGTGGCTTCGTAAGAAGCATTTCAAGGTCCTGGAGTGGCCTAGCCAGTCTCCAGATCTCAACCCCATAGAAAATCTTTGGAGGGAGTTGAAAGTCCGTGTTGCCCAGCGACAGCCCCAAAACATCACTGCTTTAGAGGAGATCTGCATGGAGGAATGGGCCAAAATACCAGCAACTGTGTGTGAAAACCTTGTGAAGACTTACAGAAAACGTTTGACCTGTGTCATTGCCAACAAAGGGTATATAACAAAGTATTGAGAAACTTTTGTTATTGACCAAATACTTATTTTCCACCATAATTTGCAAATAAATTCATAAAAAATCCTACAATGTGATTTTCTGGAATTTTATTTTCTCAATTTGTCTGTCATCGTTGACGTGTACCTATGATGAAAATTACAGGCCTCTCTCATCTTTTTAAGTGGGAGAACTTGCACAATTGGTGGCTGACTAAATACTTTTTTTCCCCACTGTATGTGTAAGCTTGTGTCTGTACCTGTGTGTCTCTTCACAGTCCCCACTGTTCCAGAAGGTGTATTTCTACCTGTTTAAAAAAAATCTGATTCTGCTGCTTGCATCAGTTACCTGATGTGGAATAGAGTTCCATGTTGTCATGGCTATATGTAGTACTGTGCGCCTCCCATAGTCTGTTCTGGACTTGGGGACTGTGAAAAGACCTCTGGTGGCATGTCTTGTGGGGTATGCATGAGTGTCCGAGCTGTATGCTAGAAGTTTAAAAACAGACATTTCTGTGCATTCAGCATGTCAATACTTCTTAAGAAAACAAGTAGTGATGAAGTCAATCTCTCCTCTACTTTGAGCCATGAGAGATTGACATTCATATTATTAATGTTAGCTCTCCGTGTACATCCAAGGGCCAGCCGTGCTGCCCTGTTCTGAGCCAATTGTAATTTTCCTAAGTCCCTCTTTGTGGCACCTGACCACACGACTGAACAGTAGTCCAGCTGCGACAAAACTAGAGCCTGTAGGACCTGCCTTGTTGATAGTGTTGTTAAGAATGCAGAGCAACGCTTTATTATAGACAGACTTCTCCCCATCTTAGCTACTGCTGCATCAACATGTTTTGGCCATGACAGTTTACAATCCAGGGTTACTCCAAGCAGTTTAGTCTCCTCAACTTGCTCAATTTCCACATTATTCATTATAAGATTTAGTTGAGGTTTAGGGTATAGTGAATGATTTGTCCCAAATACAATGCTTTTAGTTTTAGAAATATTCAGGACTAACTTATTCCTTGCCACCCATTCCGAAACTAACTGCAACTCTTTACGTTTTGCAGTGATTTCAGTTGCTGTAGTAGCTGACGTGTATAGTGTTGAGTTATCCGCATACATAGACACACTGGCTTTACTCAAAGCCAGTGGCATGTCGTTAGTAAAGATGGAAAAAAGCAAGGGGCCTAAACAGCTGCCCTGGGGAATTCCTGATTCTACCTGGATTATCTTGGAGAGGCTTCCATTAAAGAACACCCTCTGTGTTCTGTTAGACAGGTAACTCTTTATCCACAATATAGCAGGGGGTGTAAAGCCATAACACATACGTTTTTTCCAGCAGCAGACTATGATCGATAATGTCAAAAGCCGCACTGAAGTCTAACAAAACAGCTCCCACAATCTTTTATCATCAATTTCTCTCAGCCAATCATCAGTCATTTGTGTAAGTGCCATGCACGTTGAATGTCCTTCCCTATAAGCGTGCTGAAAGTCTGTTGTCAATTTGTTTACTGTAAAATAGCATTGTACCTGTATCTGGTCAAACACAATTTTTCCCAAAGTTTACTAAGGGTTGGTAACAGGCTGATTGGTTGGATATTTACATTTTACATTTTAGTCATTTAGCAGACTCTCTTATCCAGAGCGACTTACAGGAGCAATTAGGGTTAAGTGCCTTGCTTAAGGGCACATCAACAGATTTTTCACCTAGTCGGCTCCGGGATTAGAACCAGCGACCTTTCGGTTACTGGCACAACGCTCTTACCCACTAAGCTACCTGAGCCAGTAAAGGGGGCTTTACTATTCTTGGGTAGCGGAATTACTTTTGCTTCCCTCCAGGTCTGAGGGCACACACTTTCTTGTCGGCTTAGATTGAAGATATGGCAAATAGGAGTAGCAATACCGTCCACTATTATCCTCAGTAATTTTCCATCCAAGTTGTCAGACCCAGGTGGCTTATCATTGTTGATAGACAACAATCATTTTTTCACCTTTTCCACACTCAAAATTACAATGCTTGTCTTTCATAATTTGGTCAGTTATACTTGGATGTATAGTGTCGGCATTTGTTGCTGGCATGTCATGCCTAAATTTGCTAATCTTGCCGATGAAAAGGTGGAAGGAGTTGTTTACTGTAATTATGTGCAATGATTTAGCAATCTTGTTAGCTCTCTGTGCACATTTGAATAGTAATAGTCTAATCCTGATATGTCTGACAGGCTTTTTTCGTTGTCCAGGACTGTGTCCAGGAACACGGCCCATAACAACCACACACTCTGGAACACGGCCCATAACAACCACACACTCTGCTGCAGTTTACCTGTGAGCAGCATCTGATATTGAGGGATCCTCTGAACAGGTTTCAGTAGGTAATGCCTCAGAGCAAGGCTGGCACAGCGAGGACCAGCCTGAGCAACAGAGTCAGAAAACATTATTTACAACACACACTGGCAGGCACAAACATGCACACATGTACAGACAGAAAGTAAAACACACACACACACACACACACACACATACCGAGAGACACCAACACCAAGCATATCACAAACAACCCTTCAACTTCAAGCAATAACACACCAAAACGGGTTGACCCAGTGGTTTACCTCAAATTCCCGCACCACTGCCGCGAAGGCTGGGTTCTTCCTGCTATGCTCGTCTAGTAGGGCCACATTCTTGTCAAATTCTCGGATGTACGTGGAGTACATCTTCAGATAGGGCCCTTTCTTCACAAAGATGTCCGCTAGCCGACCATGCTCGTCCCTGATCAATGAAACAGAGGCTCAGACATTAAGAGAGTGAGCGATGGAGTCTCTGATTTATTTCAGTTAGAGCTAGCACAGTATTGGTGAAAGATGCAACATTTAACCAGTCAAGCTTAGATTTACCACCTGATTTGATTTTTATGTGTGGTTTACCTGAGGACTGATAGATGTGTGTTTGTGTGTCATGACAGAGACTTATGTAGGTGTAATTGCTTCGTCATGGTTATTAAAGGATGTTGATGGAGATCAGATAGTGGTGGGTCTGGTCATAGAAATATAATGAATAATTCTATGAATTCTAATTACACCCTTTTCACACTACTGAGTCAATCCAAGACGAGCTGTGTTGAGCTGGCCTGGTTATGCATCCACAATAGATACTGGAACCTTGCTGGAAAGGACAATATAAAAACATGGAAGTCCATGCCAGCACAGATCGGTTCAGGTTGGCACGGTACTGTGAAAATTCTATTGTTCTAAACTAGTACCACTGGGCGACCCTCTCCTCCAGCTCTCTGAGCAGGTCCTGGTTCAGTTCGTAGAGCTGGGGCAGATAGTACAGGATCTGGTTCAGAATAGGCTCCTCTATAACAGGCTTCCCACTCCGACGGGACGTCTTTGCCACCGCCTCACGGAAGTCCTGTAGGGGGAGAGGGATGGACGTGTCAGAGAGAAAGACAGGCAACACACACACACACACACACACACACACACACACACACACACACACACACACAATTAGTCTGTATATCATGGCTATTCTTTTTATAGAACACATTAAAAGTGTTAGGCTGCAAACACACCACACCAAATGTTCTAAATTGCGAACATTTCAGTGCACGAGCCATCCTCGACCTCTGACCTCTATACCAAGCAGCCTTCCATTAAAGCCCTGTTTGTTTCCAGGAACCCCACACATCCCCAGTCCTTAAAGAGTAGAGGAGGGTAGCGGGAGGGGAGGGGAGGGGAGGAGAAGAGCCTTGGGGCTAGCAGGGAAAGCTGTTTCTGCTTCTCTTTCTGATGATGGTGGAGGTATTTGGTGCTTTATTTGTGGTTTACGGGGCACAACTAGGGCAACAGAGAAACTGCTTACAGAACAGATTACAACACATTCAGCACCAGATTGGCCGTAAGGGGCCCAGGCCCTGTAGCAGGGAGCTCCTGTTGGTTACATCTGCTGCTCACAGTCTTAATGCACTGCTCAGCTGAGGTGGGGGGGGGGGGGGGGGGGCTCAAGGTTCAAGTACTGGGGGGGGGGAAGGGGACTGCACAGGACACCCCCATAACAAATCATGGCCCCACCATATGAATATCAATATGCCCCATCACCCCACAACCAGTCAGTGAAGACGGCAATACATTTTCCATTACACTGGTGATTTGGTTAAAAGGGCAGATAGATTGCTGAATCAAACACATGCCTACAGCATAACTTCCTGCCTCTCCCCCACAGTGTGGTTTCAGAGCTAGTGACTCAGTCAGTCATGTTTCATCTGAGGCACTGCCTACAGCATTATTCTCTCACTTCGTATCTCGTGCAGACCTACCACGTCTTAGTCCTTGGAATGTACTGTATGTGTAAACAAGGAGAAAAAAAACCCCCTATTGTGCAACTAATTAGAAAAATCCCTGGCTGAACCTAGACATCAGCTGTTTCACTATTGGTAAGATGTTCAAACCTAAACCGAGCAGGATAGCAGCGAATGACTGGTTAGACCAAAACTAAGTTCAACAAAACACCATTAAGTGACCATACTCCAGCTCAGACCAGCTGAACATAATTTCTCTCTCTCTCTTGGACCACTGTCAGATCACACCACCGCTGAAAGGCCTAGGGAAACCAACAGGAATGCAAGCCGTGCGGATGAGAGGAGTGAGGTGTAGTGTGCAAGGCCCAGAAACCCAGTGTGTCCCCTCTTGGTGGGGTGTGGCCCAGTGGTTAGCATAATCAAACACACATGGAGCAGTCTGGAGAACATACGGGAGTTCTCCAGACAGTACAGAAAAACACAAACCACAGGACTTGAGACTAAGATAGCTTCATACAAAAACGGTGTTGATAGGCTATCAAATATGTAGCACAGAGGGAAAATGCCAGAATACTCACGATATGGAGAAGCTTCAGGACGTTGACAAATACATTCTCGGAGCTCATGATCTCCCTGGCGATGTGGACTATCTTGCTCTGCTTGGCACCCCTGCCAGCCTGGCAAGGACACGGGTACAAACACATCAGGTAAATCACTACATTTCACCAAGGTTATTGGTTCAATTCTCACAGGGATCAGATACTAGAAATGCATGCACTCACTGTACTGCAAGTCACTTCACATAAAAACGTCTGCTAAGTGGCATATTTTCTTTCTAATTGCAGTGTCTCACCTCCCTCTCCTCAGGATGCTCAGGTTCTCCTTTACTAGAGGAAGAACTGTCATCATCCTCTTCTTCTGAACTCTGAACCATGATGTCCTCATCAGACTGACCTTCATCATCTAGTGGGCCAACATCCTCATCTACAGAACTCCTGTTGGAACAAGATATGATGGTCAGTAAGAACAGACACACACCTGGAAAATCATCCTGAAACTCACAGTCTCACACCTATGGGAAAGAAGGGGTGGGAAGACAGAGTGTAACCTTAAAAAAAAAGTGTATAAATGTGAAAGAGGGAGAGAAGGGAACTGGGCAAGTGGGGGGGGGGTATTTTTTACTGAAGAAAAATCATCAGTCCATTAGTATTCCACCATTTCCTGGAGTGACCACACAGTACACACATGAAATAGAGGTTTGACAGTCCGACCAGGGAAAACACATGTTACTAGTCAACTCCTCACACACAACTCAACATACAAGACCAAAAGCAATGCCTTGGGTCAGCTGACGGGTTTGGCTGGATGCCACCTCTGCCGCCAACCCAAACATGACAAAGGACTTGGTTCCAAACCAGTTACCCCTCTCTACTCCTAGAACATGAGGAAATGAAAGGTTTGGATAGGTGTAAGCCACAGGTCAAACCAAACATTAGAAAGCCCCGGTTCCAAACCGGTAACTCTACCCTAATCCTAACCCCTTATTGACTCCAACAAGCTATAATATTACAAAAATACCACCTAGCCAAGCAAAAGGCTTGGCAGAACTCTTGATAGGGGCTGGTAGGATTTGTTTAGAACTGGGCTACCTGAAGTAGCCGCCTCCTCTGTGCATACTTAGGCAATATACCCTGTTCACAGTAGAGATGCTTCTATGGCTGTTTTGTATAAGTGATCAGCTGATTGTGCTTTGTTTGTGATTGTTGCACTCTGAAACACACAGGCCTGACTAACACACTGAGCCGTTGGTTCAAGGCACAGAACACAGAACACTGTAATCCTGAGCTGCTTTATATTTTTCAAACGCCAACTGATTTTTAGTCAGACCACTTTTAGTGCCGGTCGTTGAGGTACCGATAACACTGATACCTTACCTTTAAAGTCTGCTCAGAATAGACCTAGATTCTAAAATGGCCACAACAAACCTCTAAAAGAGTGACAGACAGCGATGCAAGACTATATATAGTCTCTAAGTAACTGGATAAGAGTGACTACTAAAAAGGACTAAAATGTATGGAAATGTTGCTTATGTTTCTGAGGAAAGGGTCATCAAACAACATCCCTCATTACACTAAATTCCCATGCAGCTGGATATTTAAGTGAATCTCTGAAAGATGTGTCACTCCAGAACACGCTTTAGTGCCAGCCTAGCTCAGATCACCAGACTGGAGTTTCCATTAACACTACATACTGAGCATAATTCCCCTTAGTCTGTCATGACTCATGACACAGAATCGCTAAGAATAACAACCAACCTGTGAAAGGTGTGCTGCTAAGATAGAACACGCTTTAGTGCCAGTCTTCCTCACCAGACAGAGTGGAGTATCCAACTCAACAACCACACACATGCAAGGAAGTCACATTGACAGTTATCGCTTCTCCTAGAACGCTGCATCAGGATATGAGAGGACTTGGCTGGCAGCTGTAAATAGAGTTTATGCCACTTTGAATCGCCGCGGGTTCGAATCCAGTCCACTGCCTTTCTGACACATTCAGTCTCCATCTATCTTTCCTACTACATTCCTCTTCCCTGTCCAACAAAACATACGCAACATATGTCAAATCTATTCAAAAAGAAAAAGAGTCTGGGTCATTTTACCTTGACGGCATTAGAACAAACAATCAGAAGAATACCTCTCAGTGCTGCTGTGCTGTTCACTGTGTTTCTTCAGGGCATGGTACGGCTCCTGTTCCTCATAGATATTGGCATCATCATACAGGTGGTTGTGCCACTCCGACTGGTCCGGTGGTGTACCCACCCTCAGCTCACTCCCCCGTAGTCCCAGTCCAACAGGCTGGTTAAAATACTCAGGTATCGCCTCGTAATAGGGAACATTTTCATACTCCACAGCCTGCTCCGCTCCGGGGTAGTGGATCTCATCCCCGTCCACGCTCTGCTCCGTACCAACCCCGATCACCCCCAGCTGGGGACAGGAGAACTTGCAGGCGTCCCCCACCCGAACGCCCAGGCGTTCCTGGAAACAGACGCCACTATTTTGGTGTACATCATCCGCACATTGTTCTGCCTCAGCTGCAGTACAGTCTAGAGACTGGCCTCCCTTGGCTAGCAGCTTGGGCAGCATCTTGACAGAGAGTTTCAGATCCAGAAGCCTCCGGAAGGAGTTCCGTTTCTGTCCCACAGAGGGGGTCAGGTCGGCGGAGGAGAAGGACTTGGCCTTCTGTTTCCCCAGGCTGGAGCGAGACTGCTTGGACGGTGACAGCGTTTCATCTGTTGGCAAGCTGCCCTTTGTCTGTGTGTTGTCTGTGCTCCCCTTACGGGATACAGGAGACACCAGCGTCTGAAGGATGCTGCTCCTTCGTGGTTTATCCTCTCCTGGGGTTGCAGGGAGCTTTCTCATAGCTTTCACGGCCTTGGTGAGGGCACGTCCATCATCGTCACTATCGGAAGTCTTTCGTTCCTCCCCTTCTCTCTCTTCTGACAGTTCCTTCTTCAGTACCCATGCACCTGGGGAGCTGTGTCCCAGCGGTTTCTTGGGGACGCCGGCCATCTTGTTTTGAGCACTCGCATTTTCTTTGTAACGCTCAGTGGTTGCTAAGGTGAGGAGAAAGTGGCAGTTGGAGTCGAACTCTAGCTGGTTGGGAAGACTGGTCGAGAGAGGACGACAACTAATCTCACCATGTATCTCCTCCTCCTCTTCATCCTTCCCTTCCTCCTCCTCTTCCACTGAACACTCCATTTCATAGACGCCGTCATCCGTGGGGAGGAGGTGCAGAGGGGAGGAGGTGGGGAGGAGGTGCTGAGAGGAGGTGGCAGAGGAGGTCTGTGCTCCTCTCTCAGGTTCAGACAGAAATGCGTCCTTTCTGGGAGGGGGAGCAGCAGGAACAGGTGGTGGGCCGGGTGTCCTGTAGGATGGGAGACCCTCCCAGCTATCATTTGTACTGGCAGGACATTCTGGGACGTTGTGCGCCCGAGAAGCAGGTGCGTTGACAGAAAGAGATGGGCTGCTCTTCCTCTCCAGTGACACCTTCACCTTTCTGACAGTCGTTTCCCTCCCTGGCCTCCCCTCCGCTCTACCCCTCCCCTCCTCTGGGTCTTCCTGTCCAACCAGAGCAGACTTCCTGGGTTTCCGTAGTACAGGGACAGGGAGGGGCTTCCTAGGAGCAGCTGGGTTCTGATTGGATGTGCCAGTGTCTCTGCCAATCCCTGTGGAGCTGGTGGGGTCTTCCTGTTCTCCGTCACCAATGGCATTAGAGGAGGTGGTGACGGCGTTACCGTTGGCTTCATTGCTCTGAGGAAGAGGGTGCTTTATGTCAGGGTGTGACGATGACGTCACAATGTCTGAGTTTAGGTTCTGTTTGGGGTTTAAGAGGTGGTTATTGGTGGACAGCAACACAGCCTGTACGCAAATGTCTGGTAGAGTGTTGTTGACTGCTTGGCTCTTGTTGTTGTTGGCTCCTTTGTTCTCTCGAGATCGAAATCTGGGAACCGGATTTATTCTAGATTCCTCCGTTTTGCCTTTGTTATGCAATGTTTTCAAGTCTTTTTGAATTGTGTCAATCACTACATCCGTTGCGTTACCGTTCCCCACACACAGACAGTTATTCTGGCTACACAGGCAGATAGGAATAATATAATCCCAATCAGGTATTCCATTCCTGGAGTTCAGAAGACCTATACTTGTAGACATCTCTGATGGTCTCTGAGAATCTTGCACGGTTGTCTGATGGTGATGGGTAGTCTTTGAGGAGAGAGGTTTGTACTCCACAGCGGTGGTGAGGCATGGTTTGGGTAGGCATGGTGGTTTGGGGGCCAGAGCTGGTTTAACTGTCTTTGGTGTACCGAGGGAAGCCTGGGAGAGGCCATCTCGTTTGGGGGCCGAGGAGGGGTAGGGCCCTGGCCTCTGTGGCTGGGCGATCTTTGGTTTGGGGGCAACCGGTGGTTTCTGCATGCCTGGAGAGAGAGGGGGAGAGGGGGGGAGAGAGAGAGAGAGAGAGAGAGAGAGAGAGCGTGAGAGAGAGAGAGAACGAAACAGGTGTTAAAAATTGAGAGAAAGTGGCAAAATCCCGAAGACTTCAAGCACTCAAATGAAAGTAAAAGGTAATATTCTCAAGATTCTTGAAGTATAAAAAAAAAATAACGAATAATCCATTGAACATTTAAATTTTCTGAAAAGGCAGACAGATGCTGGGTGAAAGAGGAGAAAAAGGCCCGTCACCAAGTACCACAATACCACTCAGCGGGGTTGACATACCAGGCATATCACATGACTATTGTTTTCTCCACACACACTTCTCAACAGTACAGTAATCTCATGAATGGCCCAGCCAACAAGGCAGCGATGGGAATTACTAGGAGGGGGGAGTATGGAGCTGGTGCCGGGTTATGTGACTGCTGAGTGGTCAAGTGGACAGAGTAGCTACTAAATGTGCACTTGCTCACTTTTCTTCATGGATTTAAAAGGAACTGAATGTAGTAAGAAATATGGTGGAAACTCCCTCCAGCCCGTTCTTATGCCAATTGGACCAATCCAATACTCCAGGCACAACGACAATCAACACTAGCCTAGTGTATGCACTAGGGCCACCAAACAGCTCCAATTATTATTTTATACCAAATACATTTGATTTGAATCCCAAATTTAGCATTGTTTAAATAACAATATTAAACGACTATTTATAGCTTGCTTGACAAATTCGACAACCCAAACGACATCGATTGACACTTCTCATCAACTATTGCCAGTCAACAAACCTGCGCTCATGACGATGATTCCTGCCGCACAATCACACTCCTCTGGCTACTCAAAACTTATCTTCCAACTCAACCCAGGGAAACCGCCGGTTTCTTCATTCTTCCTTAAGACTCATTGTCAAAACGTTGTAGTTAATCTTGCGATCTGCCTCTTAAAGATTTGGTTAAATTTCTACTTTTGATCCTGACCTGGCAACAGTCGCGATGCACTGATCCACTCCGATGTTATCAACTGTTAACAACTGTGATGAGCTTCTTGCTGGTCATTCACACAATGTCCACTAGGGGTCTCTTAAAGCACCAATCAGCACTTGAAACAATAACAAAGTCCCGCCCTTGTTTCGGTAAAAAAAACTGAGGGATGGTGCTGGAGAAATGTAACCAATCTCAAATTCATAGACAGAGCTATGGATGCGAGGACTGGCCATCCATGATATTACGATTATAGTCTTAACCATGTTTTGAGGCTAAACCGTGTTTGTTTACATTTACATTGTTTACAAACATTGGAGTAAAACAAGCTTGTATTTTGGGTTCTGATGGGGGACGACAGTTGAACTCAGCTCATGAGGCATTTATGAGTTACGTTCTTCAAGAATCCATGGGTACATATCTTTCATTTATAAGTCCAAAAATGGATGTAGCAGCCAGACCTGGGCTGTCATATTTTGTCGTTTATTGAATATACCAACTTTTCAAATACTGGAGGTAGTCAAATATCGTTTTTTATAGAGTTTCACCTAAAAGACAACTATTTTTCATTGATATTTAAATAAAGGTCTCAGAAAAATAACCTAAAACTACAACAGTTAGTTGAATTTGTCTAAATATATGATAATTAGCACATGGTTTGGAGGGCTCTTAGATATGAATATTTATATTGCCTATTGCCTACAATTACAGTGCCTTCAGAAAATATTCACACCCTTTGACTTTTTCCACATTTTGTTGTGTTACAGCCTGAATTTAAAATGGATTAAATTGAGATTGTGTGTCACTGGCCTATACACAATACCCCATAATGTCAAAGTGGAATTATGTTTTTAGAAATGTTTACCAATTCATAAAAAATGAAAAGCTGAAATGTCTTGAGTCAGTAAGCATTCAACCCCTTTCTTATGGAAAGCCTAAATAAAATTCAGGAGTAACAATGTGCATGGACTCACTCTGTGTGCAATAATAGGGTTTAACATGATTGTTGAATGACTACCTCATCTCTGTACCCAGACATACAGTTATCTCTAAGGTCCCTCAGTCGAGCAGTGAATTTCAAACACAGATTAAACCACAAAGACCACGGAGGTTTTCCAATGCCTCGGTAGACGGCTAAAAAAACAAAAAAGCAGACATTGAATATTCCCTTTGAGCATGTTGAAGTTATTCATTACACTTTGGATGGTGTATCAACACACCCAGTCACTACAAAGATACAGGCGTCCTTCCTAACTTAGTTGCTGGAGGGGAAGAAAACCGCTCAGGGATTTCACCATGAGGCCAATGGTGACTTTAAAACAGTTACAGAGTTTGATGGCTGTGATAGGAGAAAACTGAGGCTGGATCAACAACATTGTAGTTACTCCACAATACTTTTCTAAATGACAGAGTGAAAAGACAGAAGCCTGTACACAAAAAAAATATTCCAAAACATGCATCCTGTTTGCAATAAGGCACTAAAGTAAAACTGCAAAAAATTGGCAAATAAATTAACTTTATGTCCTGAATACAAAGCATTATGTTTGTGGCAAATCCAACACAACACATCACTGAGTACCACTCTTCATATTTTCAAGCATGGTGATGCCTGCATCATGTTATGGGTATGCTTGTCATCGGCAAGGACTAGGGAGCTAAGCACAGGCAAAATCCCAGAGGAAAACCTGGTTCAGTCTGCTTTCCAACAGACACTGGGAGACAAATATACACTGGAGTTGCTTACTAAGACGACACTGAATGTTCCTGAGTGGCCTAGTTACCGTTTTGACTTAAATCGGCTTGAAAATGTATGGCAAGACTTGAAAATGGCTGTCTAGCAAAGATCAACAACCAACTTGACAGAGCTTGAAGATTTTTTCATTTTTAAAAGAATAATGTGCAAATATTGTACAATCCAGGTATGCAAAGCTCTTAAAGACTTACCCAGACAGACTCACAGCCGTAATCGCTGCCAAAGGTGATGCTAACATGTATTGACTCAGGGGTGTGAATACGTATGTACAGTTGAAGTCGGAAGTTTACATACACCTCAGCCAAATACATTTAAACTCAGTTTTTCACAATTCCTGACATTTAATCCTAGTACAAATTCCCTGTCTTAGGTCAGTTAGGATCAACACTTTATTTTAAGAATGTGAAATGTGAGAATAATAGCAGAGATAATTATTTATTTCAGCTTTTATTTATTTCATCACATTCCCAGTGGGTCAGAAGATTACATACACTCAATTAGTATTTGGTAGCATTGCCTTTAAATTGTTTAACTTGGGTCAAACGTTTTGGGTAGCCTTCCACAAGCTTCCCACAATAAGTTGGGTGAATTTTGGCCCATTCCTCCTGACAGAGCTGGTGAAACTGAGTCAGGTTTGTAGGCCTCCTTGCTCGCACACGCTTTTTCAGTTCTGCCCACACATTGTCTATAGGTTTGAGGTCAGGGCTTTGTGATGGCCACTTCAATACCTTGACTTTGTTGTCCTTAAGCCATTTTGCCACAACTTTGGAAGTATGCTTGGGGTCATTGTCCATTTGGAAGACCCATTTGCGACCAAGCTTAACTCATGACTGATTCTTGAGATTTGCTTCAATATATCCACATCATTTTCCTTCCTCATGATGCCATCTAGTTTGTGAAGTGCCACCATCCCTCCTGCAGCAAAGCACCCCACATCATGATGCTGCCACCCCCGTGCTTCACGGTTTGGTATGGCTGTGCCTGTCAAAGATGCTGATGTGGATGTGGTGGCGAGAAATCAAGCGCAGGAACAAGGGCGTTCCGTCACGGACTTTAGGGATCCAAAAATATAACTCCACACCTGGTAACTGGCCAACCCCAACCGGGACGGCATGAACCAATTTACGCACCACACCAACAGTGCGTAAAATAGTAGAAGAAACGCGCACGCAGTGCGGGACTCTCAAAAAACAAACAACATGAGAGGAAAAACCCACCAACAGCTTAACAGCTGACATCACAATCACACATAAACACCTGACCCAACACACGATAAACTAAAATAGGAAACAAAATCAAACACTAACAAGGGACAGGTGTACAAACAGACAAAACCAAACAAACATGAAACATCGAACGGTGGTAGCTAGTACTCCGGGGACGACGACCGCCGAGGCCTGCCCGAACAAGGAGGAGGAGCAGCCTCGGCCGAAACCGTGACAGTGCCACTAGAGATCCTGGTTCGAATCCAGGCTCTGTCGTAGCCGGCCGTGACCGGGAGACCCATGGGGCGGCGCACAATTGGCCCAGCGTCGTCCAGGGTAGGGGAGGGAATGGCCGGCAGGGATGTAGCTCAGTTGGTAGAGCATGGCGTTTGCAACGCCAGGGTTGTGGGTTCGATTCCCATGGGAGTATGAAAAATAAAAAATAATGTATGCACTCACTAACTGTAAGTCGCTCTGGATAAGAGCGTCTGCTAAATGACTAAAATGTAAAATGTAAATGTATGGTGTTCTTCGGCTTGCAAGTACCCCCTTTTTCCTCCAAACGTAACGATGGTCATTATGGCCAAACAGTTCTATTTTTGTTTTATCAGACCAGAGGACTTTATGCCCATGTGCAGTTGCAAACCGTATTCTGTCTTTTTTATGTCAATATAGGACTCGTTTTACTGTGGATATAGATACTTTTGTACCTGTTTCCTCCAGCATCTTCACAAGGTCCTTTGCTGTTGTTCTGGGATTGATTTAAACTTTTCGCACCAAAGTACGTGAATCTCTAGGAGACAGAACGCGTCTCCTTCCTGAGCGGTATGACGGCTGTGTGGTCCCATAGTGTTTATACTTGCGTACTATTGTTTGTACAGATGAACGTGGTACCTTCAGGCATTTTGAAATAGCTCCCAAGGATGAACCAGACTTGTGGACGTCTACATTTGTTTTTCTGAGGTCTTGGCTGATTTCTTTTGATTTTCCCACAATGTCAAACAAAGAGGCACTGAGTTTGAAGGTACACCTCCAATTGACTCAAATGATGTAAATTAGTCTATCAGAAGCTTCTAAAGCCATGACATCATTTTCTGGAATTTTCCAAGCTGTTTAAAGGCACCGTCAACTTAGTGTATGTAAACTTCTGACCCACTGGAATTGTGATACAGTGAATTATAAGTGAAATAATCTGTCTGTAAACAATTGTTGGAAAAATGACTTGTGTCATGCAAAAAGTAGATGTCCTAACCGACTTGCCAAAACTATAGTTTGTTAACAAGAAATTTGTGGAGTGGTTGAAAAACAAGTTTTAATGACTCCAACCTAAGTGTATGTAAACTTCCGACTTCAACTGTAAATGCTGTATTTCATTTTCAATCAATTTGCAAATATTTCTGAAAACATGTTTTCACTTTGTCAATATGGGGTATTGTGTGTAGATGGGTAAGCAAAAAAATATATGTAGAATGAGGAACAGTCAGTATTCCTCTTGTGTACAGTCGTTACAAAAACTCTCAGCTCATTGCTATGCAATTCAAGTTTTTATTAAGTGTCGAAAGGAAACTAAATATCCTAAAACTGCCGTCATGAATCAACTACATCCAAGGTAAGTGGAAAATCATGTTAGTTTGTATTCTGAGTAAACTATCCCTTTAAAGATGGTATAGTGTGTTGGAAATAAGAACACCTCCCTTCAGATGGACAAAGAGGTTCCAATTTGTTTTTGCTAAGCATCCAACTTGCTGTTTGCATGTTTGCAAATGGCTTTGAATTTCTCTACAGGATTTTCAGGTATCATAAAATGAATTGCAGCTCTCTACCTATTCAGTGGCATGTTGAAAGAGTCATTCAGTAGTTGAGCATCACAACTTATTTATACTTATCTGTACAACATTTCATTGGTTGGTTGGTTTGACTTGATTATGTAAACCTGAGGCAATGGACATTCAGGAGAATGGACATTTACAGAATGTTCCGATAGAAATGTATTGTGTAGATAAAATATGACTGTCAGATAGATTGCAATAGTATAGGAGATTGGGTTCTATTAATTATATTTCTATCTTCCACATGCAGTTCCACATACAACCCTGGCATTAGTCGAAGGCAGCCAATCCAATCGTTTCTGAAAACTAGTCACTTCCTATGATCTGTATTCAAATATATATATATATTTTTTTAAGTAGTTGCTTTCTCAGATCTGTTTTCAAACAGTTTTAAAAGGTAGTTACCTTCTGAGATCTGTATTCAAATAGTTTTGAAAAGTAATCACTTTCTTAGATCTATATTCAAATGCATTTTAAAAGTAGTACTTTTCTGGGATCTGTATTCAAATAGTTGTAGTCACCTCCAAAGTAACTATAGTTACATTCCACAAAACATGATTAAAATTATAGTTATCCCAGGTCTAGTAGCATTATAGTTATCCCAGGTCTAGTAGCATTATAGTTATCCCAGGTCTAGTAGCATTATAGTTATCCCAGGTCTAGTAGCATTATAGTTATCCCAGGTCTAGTAGCAACTGCAGGTGCAAAATAATTGTGGAAGATTGCACACATATTTTTTTCTAAACATTTCATGTATATTTCAGCATCACATGCTGTGCTTAAATTAACTATTTATCTCTGTCATCAGTGCTAATAAAAGCAAGTAAATAACTGAGTTTAGTGGAAAATGAATGAATGCGTGGGAGTTAATTTGCCAGTTCACCAATTTCTATGAGGAAGTAGGGTAAGGAACTAAAGTCGGCATTCATATCATCAGTATATTTATCACTCTGAACATTCCACAGACTAGGCTATTCTAAAAATCATCATTAGGTAACACTGAGTCACTGAGTCACCCATTGACCTCTCTCTCTCTCTCGCTCCCTGTCTCTCTCTCTCACTTGTTCATAATTGGTTGATACACAATCACTATATCAGTCAGTGAGCCAGTCAGTGTCTCTCTCAGCTGAAACAGTATGATGTCACAACAGGAAGAAATGTGACAGCTCTGGGTTTGATACAATTGCACTGGTAGACAGATAACAGTAGATCATATTTTTCTTTATTTTCACTTTGAAACCATTTTCAGTTGTCCTGGAGGATATGAAGACAGATAACATGGAGACAACCGTCCACATATTGACAACAGTCTTTATTTGTAGACCATAGAAAAAGAAGGAACATCTTCCATGATGCAACTGAGTTCTATAAAGTGCAGAAGTTCAGTGTCTTTAAATCACTGTGCGGAGCATTGCTTCGTTGAATTCAACTCAGTCAAAAACAAGACGTGTGCAAGACAGTTATGGATGTAACACAGTCAGATCTCACATTACATTTACAGTATAGTGCACCTAATATTAGACTTAGTCCCAGTCTCCCAGCAGCCTGTCTGTCTCCAGCCAGTTAGCCCAGCTCTGGTGAGGTTTTTCTCCAGTCTCTCTTGATGACTTGTGACCCCAGAAAGGACCTTCCATTGCAGCTCTGATTTGAGCTGACCTGTGTTCAGTGTGTGAGTACGGGCAGTGAGGCTGCAGCAGAAGTCTTTTTGACTTTTAGCAGAGTGGTGTCTCTTTTTAGCATGACCGATGATGTCACAGGTCCCTGAGTCAATTTCCTGGAACACAAAAGAAGCCAGCTTTACTATCTATGCATATTAGACATTTGAAACATAGATGTCACTCAGGGATTCTTGAAAGTTGGGACAATCCTTGTCTGGCAGGGGAAATGTCATTTTTAAAAGTTTTACATTTAACAAATTACATTTAAGGGAATTTTATAAGGACAAATATATTTTTTAAAATTTCCATGTGGGCTCTCTGCAAGGAAATGCCCTTGTCCGGAGCAAAGGATTACAATTTCAAACTCCCCCAAAAAGTGTTATTTTAATATTGAAATCACCATGGTCACAACCATAACCTGTCAACTCCATCTCCCTGAGATATTAAGATAGAATATGAATGTTGTTTCAAATATGTAACCTTTAATTAGGTTTTAGAGTCAGAAAGCAATTGAGGAAAAACTAAATTGCTACTGTGAGTACCACTTGAATGAAGAAGAAAAATAAGCAATTTTTTCAACTCTGTCAGATTTTTGTCTAACATCAACTCCGTCAGAGTGCTGAAAGATCTGATAGAATGGTTCTATTTTGTTGGGGATCGTCAAATTAATAATATTTCATATTTTACAAATGTTTGTATTGAACTTGTATTTTTAAAGACAAGAATATGTCCGTTTTGATTATCTGTTGTCAACTCCGTCAGTGACTTGTCAACTCCATCAGTGACTTGTCAACTCCGTCAGTGACTTGTCAACTCCGTCAGTGACATGTCAACTCCGTCAGTGACTTGTCAACTCCTTCGCTGATTGCTAACCCCCTTAAGATCGATTTTTTTGGGTAAATATTCTGAAAAAATATGTTCATCATTGTCCTGCAATAAATGCTTAAACTATTGAAGTACTTGCTGTGCTAGACATAAGAGATAACATTTATAAATCTTGTTTTATGTTCTGAATCTAGAAAAACATGCCAAAATGCTAACGAAATTAGACCTGGAGCATTATACAGTGGGCTGAAACAAAATAAAATAAAGTTTGGAGAATTGTATTACATATTTGAATAATTTTATGTTAGAATGAAACAATCAAGGCCTTTAAAAACTTGTTGGACAACAAATATAAAAAATAAAATGCCATTTATGGTGTCTGACAGAGTTGATATAAATCCAGTTAGGTGCATTGTATGAAAAAAGGTTTGAATTAGGAGGTTGTTTTTTTCACATGGTGTGATAGCTGATACTTTGGTCTATAACAATTTACATTTCAAATGTTGTTAATATTAAGAAACATATTTCCAGGGGGAGGAAAAGTTGGGATTGTCCCGTTTTTTAAGTATCCCTGCACTATTGTCAGTATGGGTAAGAATGAGGTAATGATAGTTGATAAACCAGTGTCACAAGCACAATGTTGGGTAAGTGGTAAGAGAAAAGAGGTCAATGTTGAGTAATGATACCAGGGGGAACGGGGGTAATACTTGTACCGCAGAGTAATAGGTTTATGTACGCACCGCTCACTGGTTTGGGACTTTTCCTTCTTTGACAGGGCAGGTGTTCCATGAGAGATGCCTTCTCCTCCATCAGAGACTTTCTGATCCCCCTGATGGCCAGGCGGGTCCCCAACTGCTGGACTCTTCACCTGGGCACTGCCCCAACACAGGGGCGAGGGTACTGTTCAATTCAATTATGTTCCGTTCAATTCAATTCTGTTCCGTTCAACTCAATTCTGTTCCGTTCAACTCAATTCTATTAATTTTCTCAGAAGTCGCGTGAAATATGATCACAAGAAGCGGCACCCTGGCCCCTGGAGCAGGTTAGGGGTTAGCAAGTGCAAGTGCCTTGCTGAAGGGCACAATGGCAGTAGATGTGTCACTTCAGTAGCTTTTACCTGAACCTGTAGTCTGAGGGCAGGCTCCGGCCCTGTCTGTAGTCCCCTCTAGTTTTAGAGATCTGCTTGTGGAGGTCCCTCACTGAGCAGCTGTAGCCGTTGAAGATGTAGTCAGCGAACAGCAGCTTCCCTCTGATGTACATCTGTTGAAAGAATAAACAGAAACATCTTATAGACTGACGGAGACTTGATATTGATTTTTGCCAAAAGAAATTAGCAATAAAGTCTAAATATCTGGATATTACATCCACTTACAATTACTGTAACTTTATCCTTCTGTTTCTCTCTGACCTGCAGATGAGTTGACCCTTCATCTGACCTGAAGGCTTTTATTCAGGTGGTAGGAAATGGTAGCCAATTTGAACCCAGACTGAATGCTGAGCTCACCAATGTTTCCCTTGTCTTGTTTAACCATGTTTCATCCTATCTAGCTAAGCCAGATGTCAGTCAGTCATATGGTAACCTGGTCTCAGGTTTATAAATAAATAAATAGGTCATTTAGCAGACACTCTTATCCAGAGCTACTTACAGGAGCAATTAGGGTTAAGTGCCTTGCTCAAGGGCACATCGACAGATTTTTCACCTAGTCGGCTTGGGGATTAGAACCAGCGACCTTTCGGTTACTGGTACAACGCTCTTAACCACTAAGCTACCTGCCGCCCCAGGTAGCTACCTGCCGCTTCTTTATAACAGAAGAACCCGACTAGCCTGTTCTTCATTGTTAGTCTACAGCAGGTTGTTGGTCTACAGGAGGTTGTTAGTCTACAGCAGGTAGTTAGTCTACAGCAGGTAGTTAGTCTACAGCAGGTAGTTAGTCTACAGCAGGTTGTAGGTAGTTAGTCTACAGCAGGTAGTTAGTCTACAGCAGGTAGTTAGTCTACAGCAGGTAGTTAGTCTACAGCAGGTAGTTAGTCTACAGCAGGTTGTTAGTCTACAGCAGGTAGTTAGTCTACAGCAGGTAGTTAGTCTACAGCAGGTAGTTAGTCTACAGCAGGTAGTTAGTCTACAGCAGGTTAGTTAGTCTACAGCAGGTTGTTAGTCTACAGCAGGTTGTTAGTCTACAGCAGGTTGTTAGTCTACAGCAGGTTGTTAGTCTACAGCAGGTAGTTAGTCTACAGCAGGTAGTTAGTCTACAGCAGGTAGTTAGTCAACAGCAGGTTGTTAGTCTACAGCAGGTTGTTAGTCTACAGCAGGTTGTTAGTCTACAGCAGGTAGTTAGTCAACAGCAGGTTGTTAGTCTACAGCAGGTAGTTAGTCAACAGCAGGTTGTTAGTCTACAGCAGGTTGTTAGTCTACAGCAGGTAGTTAGTCAACAGCAGGTTGTTAGTCTACAGCAGGTAGTTAGTCAACAGCAGGTTGTTAGTCAACAGCAGGTTGTTAGTCTACAGCAGGTTGTTGGTCTACAGCAGGTAGTTAGTCTACAGCAGGTAGTTAGTCTACAGCAGGTAGTTAGTCAACAGCAGGTTGTTAGTCAACAGCAGGTTGTTAGTCTACAGCAGGTTGTTAGTCTACAGCAGGTAGTTAGTTCACGGTAAGAGAAGCAGAGAAAGTTCCAGAGAAGTCTGTAAAGGTTATGTGTCTAACATCTCATACATGTTGTTTCACGTCAAAATGACTTCATGTCACTTTGATTTATGAGTCTGGTGAGTAGATCCATCAAACAGTCTTTATTAAAGACAGTTACGTTATTAACATATTGAAGATACAGTGGGGGAAAAAAGTATTTAGTCAGCCACCAATTGTGCAAGTTCTCCCACTTAAAAAGATGAGAGAGGGCTGTAATTTTCATCATAGGTACATATCAACTATGACAGACAAAGTGAGAAAAAAAAATCCAGGAAATCACATTGTAGGATTTTTAATGAATTTATTTGCAAATTATGGTGGAAAATAAGTATTTGGTCAATAACAAAAGTTTCTCAATACTTTGGTCTATACCATTTGTTGGCAATGACACAGGTCAAACGTTTTCTGTAAGTCTTCACAAGGTTTTCACACACTGTTGCTGGTATTTTGGCCCATTCCTCCATGCAGATCTCCTCTAGAGCAGTGATGTTTTGGGGCTGTCGCTTGGCAACACAGACTTTCAACTCCCTCCAAAGATGTTCTATGGGGTTGAGATCTGGAGACTGGCTAGGCCACTCCAGGACCTTGAAATGCCTCTTACAAAGCCACTCCTTCGTTGCACGGGCGGTGTGTTTGGGATCATTGTCATGCTGAAAGACCCAGCCACGTTTCATCTTCAATGCCCTTGCTGATGGAAGGAGGTTTGCACCCCCATGCTTCACAGTAGGTATGGTGTTCTTTGGATGCAACTCAGCATTCTTTGTCCTCCAAACACGACGAGTTGAGTTTTTACCAAAAAGTTATATTTTGGTTTCATCTGACCATATGACATTCTCCCAATCCTCTTCTGGATCATCCAAATGCACTCTAGCAAACTTCAGACGGGCCTGGACATGTACTGGCTTAAGCAGGGGGACACGTCTGGCACTGCAGGATTTGAGTCCCTGCCGGCGTAGTGTGTTACTGATGGTAGGCTTTGTTACTTTGGTCCCAGCTCTCTGCAGGTCATTCACTAGGTCCCCCCGTGTGGTTCTGGGATTTTTGTGAGATCTTGCGTGGAGCCCCAGATCGAGGGAGATTATCAGTGGTCTTGTATGTCTTCCATTTCCTAATAATTGCTCCCACAGTTGATTTCTTCAAACCAAGCTGCTTACCTATTGCAGATTCAGTCTTCCCAGCCTGGTGCAGGTCTACAATTTTGTTTCTGGTGTCCTTTGACAGCTCTTTGGTCTTGGCCATAGTGGAGTTTGGAGTGTGACTGTTTGAGGTTGTGGACAGGTGTCTTTTATACTGATAACAAGTTCAAACAGGTGCCATTAATACAGGTAACAAGTGGAGGACAGAGGAGCCTCTTAAAGAAGAAGTTACAGGTCTGTGAGAGCCAGAAATCTTGTTTGTTTGTAGGTGACCAAATATTTATTTTCCACCATAATTTGCAAATAAATTCATAAAAAATCCTACAATGTGATTTTCTGGAAAAAAAATTCTCAATTTGTCTGTCATAGTTGACGTGTACCTATGATGAAAATTACAGGCCTCTCTCATCTTTTTAAGTGGGAGAACTTGCACAATTGGTGGCTGACTAAATAATTTTTTTCTCCACTGTAGTTTCACTCTGTGTTGCGTGTGCTGTCTGTCCTTCCTCCACGCCCAGCCAGGTTGGCTCATTTTCAGTAAGTAGCCCTTTCCTGCAGTCAAATGACTTAGTATCCTCATGGGTGGAATGTTATTAATATTTTTCATAATTTCATAATGAATAAAGATTATTTTAAAAACCTGCCGAAAATCTGGTGTTTCTATGTCAAAGGGTTTTGTTATATTTCAGTCTTCTGTGATATTGGGATGCAAACTCAAAATGGAATACATTTAAACTCTATGGTACAGGTGTCTTCTTTTTTTAAAAAGCCCATAACCATGTACGTGAGGTGTAGACTTTTGTTTCAAAGTAGAGTTTGTTTGACTCCCAAGAAACACTCTGTGTGACCCTGATTCAGCCCACCGCAGTAAAAGGATAACTGGAGTTCTGGGAAAAGGTAACTTAATTTACAGTAAAGCAACCTGGTTTCATAATGATGTCGAAGCTCTTGGATTAGTGTTTCTTTGCTACCATCTACAGTAACATGTGGATATCAGGTGAATAGGATTAGGGCTGCGTGCTGATCCTCTACCCTTCACACAGAAATGTGCACTCATTCACTTGCATTGGATTGGTGCAAGCAAGGTTGTAGCTTAGGGAGTTTCCACCGTATTAATTACACCAGTCCATTCATTTTAAATCCATGAGGGTATTACAGTTTTTTACAATCACTTTGGCACTAATTTCAGAACCTTGACGTCATTTTTCAAAACTCTAGACACAAAACTCACAACCAATGATCAAAATGCAAATTTTTCAAAACTCTTAACACTTTTTTCAATTGCTTGGATACAATACACATAAAACTAAGATCATTTGTTCATTTAACAAAAATCACCTGTTCAATATGACACAACTTAACATCAAAGTACTACTATTTCAAAAGGTAATTCACACATTACATTTCAGATGAGTGTCTATTCATTTCTTTACAATTATCCAACTATCAATTGATACAACTGCTCAAAATGATAAGTAACTGTTGCATTGCTCTTAATGCATAGTTGTATGGAAAGACAAACAATATTCCATGTTTAGATCATGAAAGTTTCAAAGTAACGAGATTCATTGTCACCAATTAGCGTGGAGCATGAACCAATTAGACTACATTATCTATGGATGTAATATTTCATCATCATTCTTTATCAGACACCGTTTCTGTCACGATCGTCAGGAACAGAGGACCAAGGCGCAGCGTTGAAGGCGAACATACTTTTTATTTAATGATTACACGAACAAAACAACAAACGATAACGTGACGTCCTCGGTCTAACACAAACCACACTGGAACAAGATCCCACAACCACTGTGGGAAAACAGCCTATCTAAATATGGTTCCCAATCAGAGACAACCAGCAACAGCTGACACTCGTTGCCTCTGATTGAGAACCACTCTGGCCAACATAGAAATACAACAACTAGAATACACAAAGGAAACTCACACCCTGGCTCAACATACAAGTGTCCCCAGAGCCAGGGCGTGACAGTACCCCCCCCTAAAGGCGCGGACTCCAACCGCGCCAACCAAATACCACAGGGGAGGGACCGGGTGGGCACTCCGCCTTGGCGGCGGATCCGGCTCCGGGCATGATCCCCACTCCCTCTCTAACCCCCCAAAGTACCCCTGGTCCGGTCTGGCCCTGCTGACCGGAGCTGGACTGCACACTGGTGGAGCGGATTGCTCCGGCGTGAAGCAGCTGACCCGTGCCGAACCAGGCACCGGTGGAACAGGCACGGGCTGTGCCGGACTGACGACGCACACCACTGGCTTGGTGTGGGGAGCAGGAACGGGCCGAGCCGGGCTGACGAAACGCACCCCTGACCTGGTGCGGGGAGCAGGAGCGGGCCGGACCGGGCTGACGAAGCGCACCACTGACTTGGTGCGGGGAGCAGGAACGGGCCGAGCCGGGCTGACGAAGCGCACCACTGACCTGGCGCGGGGAGCAGGAGCGGGCCGAGCCGGGCTGACGAAACGCACCACTGACTTGGTGCGGGGAGCAGGAGCGGGCCGGACCGAGCTGACGACGCGCACCACTGGCTTGTGCGGGGAGCAGGAACAGGCCGGGCCGGGCTGGCGACGCGCACCACCGGCTTGGCGCGGGGAGCAGGAACAGGCCGGGCCGGGCTGGCGACGCGCACCATTGGCTTGGTGCGGGGAGCAGGAACAGGCCGGAACGGGCTGACGACGCGCACCTTTGGCTTGGTGCGGGGAGCAGGGACGGGCCTAACCGGGCTGGCGACGCACACCACAGGCTCGGCGCGAGGGACAGGAACAGGCCGGACCGTACTGGGGACACACACCACTGGCCCTACGCGGGGATCAGGAACGGGCCGGACCGGACTGGCAACACACCCCAGCACCTCTCGCCGTGCCTCTACACTTTCCTCCCCTTTTGTGACCAGTGGCCCCCGTAACCTGGCGGCCTCCTCTACTAACCGCTCCATCGCGGCCTCCTGCTGCCCCGTCGTCCACGGCGTGAGCCCCCCCCTAAAAAATTTCTGGGTGTCTCTCCTCCTCGTGGACCAGGCCTCCATAGTTCTCGCCCAACTCTCGCTCTTCTGCTTCCAACTCCAGCCTCTCTCCTCCTCACACGGCTTGACCCAGTCGAGGTGGCACAGGAGATCCGCTAGAGATTCCCCTGGCGATGGCTCCTGGACACGCTGCTTGGTCCAGTTTTGGTGGGATCTTCTGTCACGATCGTCAGGAACAGAGGACCAAGGCGCAGCGTTGAAGGCGAACATACTTTTTATTTAATGATTACACGAACAAAACGATAACGTGACGTCCTCGGTCTAACACAAACCACACTGGAACAAGATCCCACAACCACTGTGGGAAAACAGCCTGTCTAAATATGGTTCCCAATCAGAGACAACCAGCAACAGCTGACACTCGTTGCCTCTGATTGAGAACCACTCTGGCCAACATAGAAATACAACAACTAGAATACACAAAGGAAACTCACACCCTGGCTCAACATACAAGTGTCCCCAGAGCCAGGGCGTGACAGTTTCTTTGGTCCCCTTGTAACCTTCCTTGATGAGCTCGATCAGGTCTGTAGAGCTGATGGCGTGACCTATGTCATTGTGTGGGATAATGTCAGGTTCCACCATGCTCATATGGTGCAAGCATGGTTTCAGGCCCATGCACAATTTACCACCCTTTATTTACCCCCATACTCTCCTTTCCTTAACCCGATTGAGGAATTTTTCTCCACATGGAGATGGAAGGTTTATGATAGGTGCCCTCATGAACAAGTCACTCTTCTCCAGGCCATGGATGACGCATGCAATGACATCACGGCAGACCAGTGTCAGGCCTGGATTCGCCATGGCCAAAGGTTTTTTCCAAGATGTTTGGCTAATGAAAACATCCATTGTGATGTAGATGAGAACCTGTGGCCAAATCCACAAGACAGAGTTGATGAAAATGTAGAAGTACAGTAATCACTCCTATGTTTTGCTTTTTACAGTACAAGCAAGCAAGTTGAGGAACACTGCAGGAATGTGGTCCTCTGTAGCTCAGCTGGTAGAGCACGGCGCTTGTAATGCCAAGGTAGTGGGTTCGATCCCCGGGACCACCCATACACAAAAAAAAAAAATGTATGCACGCATGACTGTAAGTCGCTTTGGATAAAAGCGTCTGCTAAATGGCATATTATTATTATTATTATTATTATGTTTTACAGTACTGTATTGTTTTTCATCAATATATTTCAGATTTTGTTCAATGATTCCACTGTGTCTGTAGTATTCTCTCTACTACTGCAGTACTTTTACAGGGATGTATTTACATGTAGTACCATAATGAAACATGTATCACCTATTTTGTACTACAATATTTAATGATTGTACGAAAAATGACACAGTGAAACTATCGGTTGCTTGTGTGTGGGTGATCTAAATTAACGTTTCATTGGTATTTCACAATAAATTAGTTTTTTGAACCAATGATTGTGCAAGTGCAATATTTCTTTAAAGATATGAATGCAGAATGCAATGTTTTGAACATTGGACAGCCTGTGTTACAAGTGATGACCGTTTTGAGTTTTGTGTCTAGAGTTTTGAAAAATGACGTCAAGGTTCTGAAATTAGTGCCAAAGTGATTGTAAAAAAACTGTAGTATGAGTAACAATTTGGTAGAAGGGTAGTGAATCGGACCGCAGCCAAGCAGTGGTGGCTAAGAGGCAGCTGTTGACCAACTGAATTGGCTGAGCGAGAGACAGCTGTTGACAACTGACCAGAAACATCCCAGGGGCGGCGTTGTGTCTCTGCTGCAGCAGTGTATTGTGGGTAGCTGGGCAGGTCTTCCCTGTAGACAGCTCATACCTCATCAGGCGGAACGAGTCCAGCTGACTCTGTATATGAGAACAAAGTCAAGCATGAAAAGTTATCTATTGTTTTATTTGAAAAGCCTGCCGTGTTTATGTGCATACATGCATGCATGCGTTTGTGTGTGTGTGTGTGAGTGTGTGTGTGTGAGTGTGTGTGTGTGTGTGTGTGTGTGTGTGTGTGTGTGTGTGTGTGTGTTTGAGTGTGTGAGTGAGTGTCAGCACCAGGTAATCTCAAGAGTGGAATTAATGGATACATTGTGTGTTGTAAATGTACTGTATGTAACGTAAATGGGGCAGCAGGTAGCTTAGTGGTTAAGAGCGTTGTGCCAGTAACTGAAAGGTCGCTGGTTCTAATCCCCGAGCCGACTAGGTGAAAAATCTGTCGATGTGCCCTCGAGCAAGGCACTTTACCCTAATTACTCCTGTAAGTCTCTCTGGATAAGAGCGTCTGCTAAAAATGACTAAATATATATAGTTTTTAATGTAAAATGTAAATCAACCCATCAACCTGAGTGCATGGCATGGTCCTGTTTTTATTCATCCTCTCGTAGAGGTGTTCCAGCAGGGGGATGTGGGGCTGGGGCTGGGGCTGGGGCTGGGGCTGGGGCTGGTGCGGGGGGGGTCACACACACCACCAGGATCTGTTCACTGTGGGGGGGCTGGCCCCAGATGAAGGCATCATACTCCTGGTCTGTCAGGACTGGCATGGTTCTGGAGCTACAGCGACACAGCCTCTGGGTCCGGCCCTCTACCCCAAGGAGAGCGGCCCTGAGCTGGGCAGGACACAGGCTGGAGAGGGGGTAAGGGGTGGAGGGGCTGGAGGATGCATAGTGGTGGGGTTGGGCAGTGAGACGGAGCTCTGGACTGCATCTCGGGATCACCACAGACCTGGGGGGTGGAAAGAGTAGAAAATGGTTATCATCATAGGACAGAAGGAAAGCGAGCGATTAGTCCTTGTTAAGGTCAGAAGAAGAAGAAGAAGAAGAAGAAGAAGAAGAAGAAGAAGAAGAAGAAGAAGAAGAAGAAGAAGAAGCTCAAGCAAGAGTTGTCTCTGGAAGTGACAGGTGTATGGTTCTGCTCTTACTCCAGTCTGATGTTGCTGTGGACTCTGAAGGTCCCTGACTGTGTGAAATGAAATGGCTCCTCTCTTTTCTCCCTTCCCTGCTTCTTTAGAGAAAATGTCCTGTTGACAAATCAATAATATGTGATAGAGAGTCTGGATACTCTTCATCATCAACAGCATCATCATCAAAACTTCAGTCTGAACATAATAATTTGTTAATTTCCATATCGGCGCTGTCGGTTGAAAACCTTGTAAGTCCCCATTTTATTTTATTGTTTCACATGTATTGAAAGCAGTAACTCCCCTCAATGTGCTCTGAAAATGTAATAGCTCTAGGACCCCACATTTTTTTTTCAAAATAGCTTCTGAAATTTCAGAATTGTATGTTCGCTAATAGGAAAATATGGCAGTATCTCCTGAAAAGTTTATGTTTTGGAAATAATAGGTTTTATTCCGGCAGAGACGATATCCAAAATCGCTCTTTTTCTATAACAACACACATCATAGTCACATCATGTTACCATGACAACTTGTGGGTGGAGCCTGGCAGGAGGATGTCTGTAGGTGCAGACAGAGACAGGTGTCTGGTGCTGGCCTGTAGCTCAGTGCTGCCCCCCTCTGGTAGACCCCGGGTACTGTCTAATAGCCCTGTGGTGGGGTGGAGGGAGGGCAGGGCTGCTGACTGGACCTCTCTCTTCAGTCTGGGCCGCATTGGACCATCGGACAGCCGCTCTATATCTGGGCACTTGATACCTGTTGGCCAATAGAAGACAGTCAGGACTTCATGAAGGAGACTCATAGTGGGGTTTGTGGTCCTCTGTAGCTCAGTTGGTAGTCAGGATAGTGAGTTTGATTCCTGGGGCCATGATGCTTAAAATGTGTGTGTAACAGTTTTGCTTCCGTCCCTCTCCTCGCCCCTACCTGGGCTTGAACCAGGGACCCTCTGCAAACAGACAACAGTCACCCTCGAAGCGCCATTACCCGTCGCTTCACAAAAGACGCGGCCCTTGCAGAGCAACTACTTCAAGGTCTCAGAGCGAGTGACGTCACCGATTGAAACGCTACTAGCACGCACCGCTAACTAGCTAGCCATTTCACACCGGTTACACTCACCCCCCTTTGACCCCCTCCTTTTCCGCAGCAACCAGTGATCCGGGTCACAGCACCAATGTAACAGTTTTGCTTCCGTCTCTCTCCTCGCCCCTACTTGGGCTTGAACCAGGGACCCTCTGCACACAGACAACAGTCACCCTCAAAGCACTGTTACCCGTCGCTCCACAAAAGCCGCGGCCCTTGCAGAGCAAGGGAAACAACTACTTCAAGGTCTCAGAGCGAGTGACGTCACCGATTGAAACGCTACTAGCGCACACCGCTAACTAGCTAGCCAATTCACACCGGTTACATATGCACACATGACTGTAAGTCGCTTTGGATAAAAGTGTCTGCTAAATGGCATATATTATTATATATGATAGGAGATGACATACGTAAGAAGAAAGTAATAACAAAGCTTTTGATGCTGCTGTACTTTACTGAAACACCTTTATCTGGACAGACCTGTATAGCTTGATTGTATTTTCCATGTGAATAACCCATCCAACTAGCTGAATGGTTTCTGTGTTTACTTCGGTTGGTACTAATATCAGTCCACAAGGACTTGCTGCAGTATAGACGTAAGTGCTTTATATAGGATTTAGAAAAGCTCCAGTGGACCATGTGAGAGAGCTCTTCACCCCTTGACCTGTTATTGTAAAAGATAATAATTATGTCTGTAATAAAATACATTTAAATAAACCCTTGTGTACCTGTGGCGATCCGGTAGAACTCCAGCCAGTCGTCCAGGATATTGCATACTCTCCTCTGGAGTCTTTTCAGCTCTCGTCCTGCCCGCCCTCCTCCTCTCCTGAAGGGACATGGTTCTTCCAGCTTCTCCACCTCCCGGGCCATCTGTAGCACCTCACCGGAACGCACTGAAACCTGGCCATAATCAAAATCTTATTGTATATGAATGTCTGATCAAGAGAGACTATTACAGACATTGGAAAACACCACTCAATGGATGAAATCCTAACTGACATCCTCTTAGGCAGGTCGTTATTGTAAAATATGTGTTCTCAAGGAGCTACTTAGTTAAATAAATGTGATAGATGCTCTTAAAAGTATCTTACCCTCTTGCTGTCTATGGGCTGGCCCTGCTGCTTCTGGTGCTTGTTAGTCAGGGAGAGCTCCTGGGCAGCCAGAGAGGTGAACGTCCCCTCAGTCTGCAGACAGACCTGGAAGACACAACACATGACTCATACAAATCACCAATCAGATTCACCAGTCAGCAACCGTTCACCAATCAGATTCACCAGTCAGCAACCGTTCACCAATCAGATTCACCAGTCAGCAACCGTTCACCAATCAGATTCACCAGTCAGCAACCGTTCACCAAAAATATTTGGCCATCATTCACCAGATCACCAGCCATCATCAACACATTAAGCCTGAAAGAGCTCTATACTATATCTAATGGATGATCATCTTCATCATCATCACAGTGTTGTTTTCACACCGCTTCTTTAGGTGGGGTGATGTTGGGCAGGGGGGACAGTGGGAGCTGGACACTCTGGTTCTGACTGCTAAAGCTGAGGGTGGCACAGGTACCGCTCAACAGTCGTACTGAGATGTGATCAGACACCTGGGGAAAAATAATAAAATAACCAAAAGTTAGGAATGCCACTTCGCTTAAACACATCTTAATCTTAACTAAATCCTATCTTAATCCTAACTAAACCCTATCTTAATCCTAACTAAACCCTATCTTAATCCTAACTAAACCCTATCTTATTCCTAACTAAACCCTATCTTAAAATCCTAGCTTAAATCCTAAAATCCCTAGGAGACTTAAATCCTAACTAATCCTATCTTAATCCCAACTAAACCCTATCTTAATCCCAACTAAACCCTATCTTAATCCTAACTAAACCCTATCTTAATCCTAACTAAACCCTATCTTATCCTAACTAAACCCTATCTTATTCCTAACTAAACCCTATCTTAATCCTAACTAAATCCTATCTTAATCCTAACTAAATCCTATCTTAATCCCAACTAAACCCTATCTTAATCCTAACTAAACCCTATCTTAATCCTATCCTAATCCTATTTTTAACCCTATGTTAATCCTAACTAAACCACAAGAGAGATTCCTAATTGGCATAAATCAATTCTCACCTCTTATGATAGATGATGAAATATTCAAGAAATACATGTACTTGATGGCCGTTCCTCTATTAAAAGTTATGATTACAATAGAGGCATTTTAGAACTGAAATTGACCTATCAGCCATGATGATGTAGTTGGAGTATCACAGTATCGGGCTCCAGTGGGTCACATCGTCACGCCCCACGTCCCCTGCTTTGTTACAACCCCCCCGTACCGCTCCCCTGCTCCTTTCAGCTGTCCCAGAGACTATCATATGACGGCGTTGCCCAGCAACTGGGACTTCCTCTTCTTCTTGACTGAGCTTGTCAGTGAAGGGCCCTCTAGAGCCAGGGATTACAGACAGTAGTTGTAGAATAAACTGGGCTACAGCCTATTAGCTTACTCTTACTTTCTTTACTTTACCTTCAATTAGGTGAGGTCAGATTAATAAGCTATGGACGAAAATGTGCTCATTCATGTACATTGAGCTACTTCCTGTATTGACTGAACATTGAACTACTTCCTGTATTGATGTACATTGAACTACTTCCTGTATTGATGTACATTGAACTACTTCCTGTATTGATGTACATTGAGCTACTTCCTGTATTGACTGAGCATTGAACTATTTCCTGTATTGATGTACATTGAGCTACTTCCTGTATTGACTGAACATTGAACTACTTCCTGTATTGATGTACATTGAGCTACTTCCTGTATTGACTGAGCATTGAACTACTTCCTGTATTGATGTACATTGAGCTACTTCCTGTATTGACTGAACATTGAACTACTTCCTGTATTGATGTACATTGAGCTACTTCCTGTATTGACTGAACATTGAACTACTTCCTGTATTGATGTACATTGAACTACTTCCTGTATTGATGTACATTGAGCTACTTCCTGTATTGACTGAACATTGAACTACTTCCTGTATTGATGTACATTGAGCTACTTCCGGTATTGACTGAACTGAAATTAAGTTGACCCCATGGAACCCTGGTCCTCACCTGAATGACTATCCTCTCCTTCACCCCAGTCTGCCAGGTCCATTCCTTAGTGACAGCTCCTTCTGGGTCACACGTCATCCCACCACGCTGATCCCACACGGCAGTAACAGTCCCACTATAGACAACAACAGTTCACAACAGGTCGCAATAAGATCCATCTATGTCTGCTTTACTCACAGCAGGCATACTCACAATAAACACACAGTGTCTACTGCTGCTAACATAATGCCTGTGGTTCCATTGATTAAAGACCAGTGGAGGCTGCTGAGGGGAGGACGGCTCATAGTAATGGCTGGAACGGAGCGAATGGAATGGCATCAAACACATGGAAACCATGGAAACCATGTGTTTGATGTATTTATTACCATTCCACCTATTCCCGGGTAGGCCGTCATTGTAAATAAGAATTTGTTCTTAACTGACTTGCCTAGTTAAATAAAGGTTAAATAAATACATAAATATATTTAAAAATTCCGCTCCAGCCTTTACCACGAGCCCGTCCTCCCCAATTAAGCTGCCACCAGCCTCCTGTGGTGAGGATCCTTTCACGTGATCTACGACTAGATCTAACCAGCAGTAATCTACTGATCCAACTTAAGGCTTCCGCATACATCGGTTCGGTTTGAGCCTAACAGAACTTGGCTAGGCGAAGCGGCCGCCTGTGCTCGCATACTCCCTGAAGACCTTCGCTTTAAAAACAAGAAAAAAGTGGCAATATTACTGTTGTTAGTCCCGCTTGAGGCACCGTAGCAACAACATAGCCAGAAACACTTCCCTTAAAATAGTCCAAATTAATCTAAGATAAATCAAGAAATCTGTAATTAACTTTGACATTTTTGCCGAGGAGGTCTTAGTCGCGCAATTTTACATCTAGCTAAGATGTTTAGTGCAGTTTTTCTCAAGTGAAAAAAAAAGCATTACAACTAATCGTTTCTTGTTGAATGACAACAAACACTTCATGTTCCCACTCCTACTAGGAATAGTCCTGTTGACCAATCATCGACGAAGGGGTGTAGACTTCGGCTACTGAACTTCAACTTGCCTCAAGAAACAGTGTTGTGTGCAAGAACAGCCGGGAGAAAACTGCCGAAGACCAAAACTAACAAAAACGTCACTAAATGTTGTGATAATATATGCGCGAACTGTTTCGACTGGGAAGCATGTGTAAGCTTTACCCGAACCTAGCTCAGCTCAATTCATTAATTAGTACAAATAAATTGGTCCTTCAAGTTAGATACTGTTATTAGTGCCTCTATTTCTGTTAACTTTATTTTTTTAGAAATGTCTATTAAATCTTGAACCATTTACCATGTGTTTACCTGAGTGGGTGTGTGACGGTGCCCCGTCCTACTGCGGTGATGCTGGCCAGTGTAACAGGGCTGAGTTGGTCACTGAACACGTTAGTATAGAACCCTCCACAGGACAGACCAGAGTGGCTCTGACAAACTGCTACAAAACCAGACGGGTAGCTGGGCAGGGTCAAGGTCAAAGGTGACGGCTCCGTTTAACACATTTAGATGTAGATATCAGAGATTTAAACATCAAAGGTTGAGTTTAATTTGAGGAAGATGTTCCCTCCCCACTGCGTTGATTCATTGCCTTCACAGATCTCAGACAACTGGGCAAGTATAGCACGATCTAGTTTCTCTCATATTGCTTTCACATACCCAGTGCTGTCAGATCTGTGAAGATTAGTGAATGAGGGCAGTAGCGAGGTAACATCCTGGAATGAAACACAGCTTTAGGTGGGAAAGTGAGAAAGGATACTATATGAAGGAGGAGCCATCATTGATCCTGTAGTGTAGTTTCTGCCGCGGTGAATCCTGGTCTTCCTGCTTGACCTCTGGTATCTGGGGGTAAGGCCAGAACTTGCCTCCTCCTCCGCTTCCTCCTCCTGTCTTCTGCTGGTGTTTAACGTGTGGCTTGGCATCCCCATAGTGACGGAGGATGGGTGGTTTGTTCAGCCCACTCTCTGCCTGCTCCGTTGTCTGTTTTCTAAATGAAGTCATACTGCATGAGAAAGAGTGCCACCTGACTCATTGAAGTGAGAGGTCACATACACGTTGACAAATTGGCACACTCAAAGTAATTGAAACGGCCATTATGGTGCCATGGGGAAATGTTGTGTTGCAGGAAAAGCTGTAGAAATAGATAGAATATAATATTGTAGGGCACAGCGGGGAAGCGAACCCGGGTCGCTGGCGTGAATGGCAAACATGCATAGCACCAATGAGATGGACCTGTTTGGTGGGGATTGTAACATGGCTCATAATATAGTGAGGATCGCTACAATAGAATAGAATAGTATAGAATAGAATAGTATAGTATAGAATAGAATAGAATAGTATAGAATAGAATAGAATAGAATAGAATAGAATAGAATAGTATAGAATAGAATAGTATAGAATAGAATAGAATAGAATAGTATAGTATAGAATAGTATAGAATAGAATAGAATAGAATAGTATAGTATAGAATAGAATAGAATAGTATAGTATAGAATAGAATAGTATAGTATAGAATAGAATAGTATAGAATATATAGAATAGAATAGAATAGTATAGAATAGTATAGAATAGTATAGAATAGAATAGAATAGAATAGAATAGTATAGAATAGTATAGAATAGAATAGAATAGTATAGAATAGAATAGAATAGAATAGAATAGAATAGTATAGAATAGAATAGAATAGAATAGAATAGTATAGAATAGAATAGAATAGTATAGTATAGTATAGTATAGAATAGAATAGTATAGTATAGAATATAATAGAATAGAATAGTATAGTATAGTATAGTATAGTATAGAATAGAATAGTATAGAATAGAATAGAATATAATAGTATAGAATATAATAGTATAGAATAGAATAGTATAGAATAGAATAGTATAGTATAGTATAGTATAGTATAGAATAGTATAGAATAGTATAGAATAGTATAGAATAGTATAGTATAGTATAGAATAGTATAGAATATAATATAATATAATAGTATAGTATAGTATAGTATAGTATAGTATAGTATAGTATAGTATAGTATAGTATAGTATAGTATAGAATAGACTAGAATAGAATAGAATAGAATAGTATAGAATAGAATAGAATAGAATAGTATAGTATAGAATAGAATAGAATAGAATAGTATAGAATAGAATAGAATAGTACAGTACAGAATAGTATAGAATAGAATAGTATAGTATAGAATAGTATAGAATAGTATAGAATAGAATAGAATAGTATAGAATAGTATAGAATAGTATAGTATAGAATAGAATAGAATAGTATAGAATAGAATAGAATAGTATAGAATAGAATAGAATAGTATAGAATAGAATAGAATAGAATAGTATAGAATAGAATAGAATAGTATAGAATAGAATAGAATAGTATAGAATAGAATAGAATAGAATAGAATAGTATAGAATAGTATAGAATAGAATAGTATAGAATATAATAGAATAGTATAGTATAGAATAGTATAGTATAGAATAGAATAGAATAGAATAGAATAGTACAGTATAGAATAGTATAGTATAGAATAGAATATAATATAATATAATAGTATAGAATATAATAGAATAGAATAGAATAGTATAGAATAGAATAGAATAGTATAGAATAGAATAGTATAGAATAGAAGTTCATACGTGGGTATCCTAGCCAGTTGCAGCCTCTCTACAACCCAATGACACAGGTTAGTCCACTGAGGTTCCTCATGGGTTGGCTCCTTAGGCTGGACGATCCAACCTGCATGTACCATACAATACAATACAACTTTATTGTCCATATGCTACAGCGAATAATGGACATTTGTGTACTGCTCTCCCCCTCCACCTCCCTGATAGTACACATCTCCCACACACACAGTTAAGAGAAGCACAGTGTCAAGCCGTAGTGCAGTCAGCCTCCCTGAATGGAGAGCATGTTGTGAGGTTAAGTGCGTTGCTCAAGGGCACAATGTGGGTACACCACATATACTACACACTAAGCTACATTATATGACAACATATGCCACTTAGCAAATTGCTTTCATCCAAAGTTACTTACAGTACAGTGAGCGCATAATTAACTTTTTTTTATGAGTATGTGTTCCCTGCGGGAATTGAACCCACGACCTTGGCTTTGGGTTCCAGCTGTGGCTCGGTTGCTAGAGCTGATAAAGCTAGGTCAGCACTACTACTGCTCTATACCGTACATCAGGGGTATCGTCTGCGTAGGAGTAGTGTGCGTGTGGTAATGTCATACCTTGCTCTTCGTAGGTTTTTGAAGAGATGGAGAAACTTATAGTTGTGGCCACATGAGCTGGAAGGAAATTGTTGAAAAACAGCTTGATGGGAATGTCATCTTGGATACAAAAGACACTAGCCTACATGTATTTCCTGAACACTAGGCTTCATGTATTTCCTGAACACTAGCCTACATGTATTTCCTGAACACTAGGCTTCATGTATTTCCTGAACACTAGCCTACATGTATTTCCTGAACACTAGGCTTCTTGTATTTCCTGAACACTAGCCTACATGTATTTCCTGAACACTAGCCTACATGTATTTCCTGAACACTAGGCTTCATGTATTTCCTGAACACTAGCCTACATGTATTTCCTGAACACTAGCCTCCATGTTTTCCTGAACACTAGCCTACATGTATTTCCTGAATACTAGGCTTCATGTATTTCCTGAACACTAGCCTACATGTATTTCCTGAACACTAGGCTTCATGTATTTCCTGAACACTAGCCTACATGTATTTCCTGAACACTAGCCTGCATGTATTTCCTGAAGAGAAGCATCCACCCATTGTCTCAGTAATACCCATAATCCCCCAGGTGAGTGTGAGTGAATTATTAAGCAGGGAATGTCACAGGGCAGGAACTGATTAACGGATGAACTGACTAATACCTTTTAGACACACCTGTGGCCTGTAGGCCAAAAATCTCTCCTGTAAACCAACCTAGCCCCTCCCACAAGCAGGAAGGTCTTAAAAGTTTGACAGCAGTGACTTAATATAGCTAATTTAATGTTTATGACCATTTTCATTACTTATCCCAGGTGGCCATGGTGAGTTTGGTTAATTAAAGTAGATGGACTGTGGAATGCACTGTGTAAATGTGAGACGTTTCTTCTGACAAAGTCATAATTTGACGTTTATACTGAAGTCAAAATCTGACGTCCTATTAGAATAGATGTCAACTAATGCAGTGGATGAGTGATGACGAGTTCATGTTGAGGGTTCACCTTTTTGTGCATGGGAAACAGATGGTCTTTTGCGCAAATTGGAGTCTTGAGGCTGTTTCTCAGACCCATTTTCCACCTTGGACGGTTTCTGTTTTGTCTTTCTCTTTCCCGTCATCTGCCGAAGAGTCTCATCTAAATTCATGCTGCCCTTCGACTTGAGAGGTTTCCCGCCATCACCACTCCTGCTGCCGACACCCAACTGCCAAGGTGGTTTAGCATAAACTGCCCCCGCGGTCAAATCCTTCCATGAGTAATTCAGAACGTTCACGAGGCCGTGCGGAATACATCCCTCCTCGCTCCCCTCATACTGCAAAAGCACACACCCCAACTCGCTCAACAACTGAGGGGCCATATGCTTGTATGCCTCCATCGGGTCCATGTCATCCAGCCAGCCTGCTGGCACGGCGGCGGCGGCCTCCGGATTCCTCTCACCACCACCCATGTCCAACGCTCCGTTGACAGAGGGACAGGTATCTGGTTTACCAGTGGTAGAGGACTTGTTTTGCACTTTGTGTGCATTGTCGTCATTATTTTCTTCGTAGTTGTCATCGTTAACGCACTCACTGTGAGTGGCTAGGCTACAAATGAGAATAGAAAAAATGGAAATTACGATTTTTTATATGCATTACCAGTCAAAAGTTTGGACAAGCCTACTTATTCAAGGGTTTTTCTGTATTTTCTTTACTATTTTCTACATTGTAGAATAATAGTGAAGACATCAAAACTATGAAATAACGCATATGGAATCATGTAGTAACCAAAAAAGTGTTAAACAAATCAAAATATATTTTATATTTCAGATTCTTCAAATAGCCACCCTTTGCCTTGATGACAGCTTTGCACACTCTTGGCATTCTCTCAACCAGCTTCATGAGGAATGCTTTTCCAACAGTCTTGAAGGAGTTCCCACATATGCTGAGCACTTGTTGGCTGTTTTTCCTTCACTCTGCGGTCCAACTCATCCCAAACCATCTCAATTGGGTTGAGGTCGGGGGATTGTGGAGGCCAGGTCATCTGATGCAGCACTCCATCACTCTCCTTCTCGGTCAAATAGCCCTTACACAGCCTGGAGGTGTGTTTTGGGTCATTGTCCTGTTGAAAAACAAATGATAGTCCCACTAAGCGCAAACCAGATGGGATGGCATATCGCTGCAGAATGCTGTGGTAGCCATGCTGGTTAAGTGTGCCTTGAATTCTAAATAAATCACTGACAGTGTCACCAGCAAAGCACCCCACACCCTCACACCTCCTCCTCCATGCTTCACGGTAGGAACCACACATGCAGAGATCATCCATTCACCTACTCTGCATCTCACAAAGACACGGCAGTTGGAACCAAAAATCTCAAATTTGGACTCATCAGACCAAAGGACAGATTTCCACCAGTCTAATGTCCATTGCTTGTGTTTCTTGGCCCAAGCAAGTCTCTTCTTATTATTGGTGTCCTTTAGTAGTGGTTTCTTTGCAGCAATTCGACCATGAAGGCCTGATTCACACAGTCTCCTCTGAACAGTTGATGTTGAGATGTGTCTGTTACTTGAACTCTGTGAAGCATTTATTTGGGCTGCAATCTGAGGTGCAGTTAACTATAATGAACTTATCCTCTGCAGCAGAGGTAACTCTGGGTCTACCTTTCCTGCGGCGGTCCTCATGAGAGCCAGGTTCATCATAGCGCTTGAAGGTTTTTGTCACACCCTGGCTCTGGGACTCATTATGTTGAGCCAGGGTGTGTTCATTTCTATGTGTGTATTTCTATGTTGGTGTTCATTCTAGTTTGTTGTATTCTATGTTTGCCTGAGTGACTCCCAATCAGAGGCAACGAGTGTCAGCTGTTGGCTGGTTGTCTCTGATTGGGAGCCATATTTAAACTGTATGTTTTCCCTTTGTGGTTGTGGGTTTTTGTTCCGTGTTCGGTCATTGATACCGTGGACGTCACGAGTCGTTTCTTGTTTTGTTTCGTGCTTTAACTAATTAAAGTCATGTTTGTTCATCACGCTGCGCCTTGGTCTACTCCTTACCTCGACCGTGACAGAAAAACCCACCATGCAACGACCAAGCAGCGTGTCCAGGGGCAGCCCTTGGGGTGGACATGGGAGGAAGCGCCGGGAAAGGCCCTGGCGAAAGAGGAGCAGCGTGTCCAGGAGCAGGCAGCCTGGACATGGGAGGAGATATTGGACGGTAAAGGGTCCTGGACTTGGGGGGAAATCCTGGCCGGGATGGATCGCCGGCCATGGAGTGAGACAGTGGAGAGGCGACGGAGAGAGGAGCAACGGCGTGATCAGGGTCGTCGTCGGACGGTCGTGAGGCAACCCCAGAAATTTTTTAGGGGGGGCACACGGCATGGACGACGGGGCTGACGGAGGAGAAAAGGGGGCGGATCCAGAAGGCCACCAGGCCAGGGGTTCACCGCCCTGTACGTCCTGTGCGGATGCCTCACACAGAGTGTGTGAGGGTAGGCATTCAGCCAGGACGGGTGGTGGCCGCTCTTCACTCCAGGCCTCCTATCCGTCTCCACAGCCCGGTTCGGCCTGTCCATGCTCCACGCACCAAGCCTACGGTGTGCGTCGCCAGCCCAGCCCGGCCTGTCCCTGCTCCACGCACCAAGCCTACGGTGTGCGTCGCCAGCCCAGCCCGGCCTGTCCCTGCTCCACGCACCAAGCCTACGGTGTGCGTCGCCAGCCCAGTCCGGCCTGTTCCTGCTCCACGCACCAAGCCTACAGTGTGCGTCGACAGCCCAGCCCGGCCTGTTCCTGCTCCACGCACCAAGCCTACGGTGTGCGTCGACAGCCCAGCCCGGCCTGTTCCTGCTCCACGCACCAAGCCTACGGTGTGCGTCGCCAGCCCGACCCGGCCTGTTCCTGCCACTCGCACCAAACCTACGGTGCGCGTCGCCAGCCCGGTCCGGCCTGTTCCTGCCACCCGCACCAAGTCTACGGTGCGCGTCGCCAGCCCGACCCGGCCTGTTCCTGCCACTCGCACCAAACCTACGGTGCGCGTCGCCAGCCCGGTCCGGCCTGTTCCTGCCACCCGCACCAAGTCTACGGTGCGCGTCGCCAGCCCGACCCGGCCTGTTCCTGCCACCCGCACCAAGTCTATGGTGCGCGTCGCCAGCCCGACCCGGCCTGTTCCTGCCACTCGCACCAAACCTACGGTGCGCGTCGCCAGCCCGGTCCGGCCTGTTCCTGCCACCCGCACCAAGTCTACGGTGCGCGTCGCCAGCCCGACCCGGCCTGTTCCTGCCACTCGCACCAAACTTACGGTGCGCGTCGCCAGCCCGGTCCGGCCTGTTCCTGCCACTCGCACTAAGCCAGGGGTGCGAGAAGTCAGCCTGGTAAGGCCCGTTCCTTCTCCACGCACCAAGCCAGGGGTGCGAGTCGTCAGCCTGGTAAGGCCCGTTCCTCCTCCACGCACCAAGCCAGGGGTGCGCGTCGTCAGCCTGGTAAGGCCCGTTCCTCCTCCACGCACCAAGCCAGGGGTGCGAGTCGTCAGCCTGGTAAGGCCCGTTCCTCCTCCACGCACCAAGCCAGGGGTGCGAGTCGACAGCCTGGTAAGGATCGCTCCTGTTAAGTCCAGTCCTGCTCCAGCCGGCGGGGCCAGACTGGACCAGGGGCACTATGGGGGGTGTATTGGAGGGTGGTGGTCAAGGCCGGAGCCAGAACCGCCGCCGAGGAGGTATGCCCGCCCAGCCCTCCCCTGGTTTGTTTAGTTGAGGCGCGGTCGCAGTCCGCGCCTTTAGGGGGGGGGACTGTCACACCCTGGCTCTGGGACTCATTATGTTGAGCCAGGGTGTGTTCATTTCTATGTGTGTATTTCTATGTTGGTGTTCATTCTAGTTTGTTGTATTCTATGTTTGCCTGAGTGACTCCCAATCAGAGGCAACGAGTGTCAGCTGTTGGCTGGTTGTCTCTGATTGGGAGCCATATTTAAACTGTATGTTTTCCCTTTGTGGTTGTGGGTTTTTGTTCCATGTTCGGTCATTGATACCGTGGACGTCACGAGTCGTTTCTTGTTTTGTTTCGTGCTTTAACTAATTAAAGTCATGTTTGTTCATCACGCTGCGCCTTGGTCTACTCCTTACCTCGACCGTGACAGTTTTTGCAACTACACTTGAAGAATCTCAAATATAACACCTATTTGATTTGTTTAACACTTTTTTGGTTACTACATAATTCCATATGTGTTATTTCATAGTTTTGATGTCTTCACTGCTATTCTACAATGTAGGAAATAGTACAAATGAAGAACAACCCTTGAATGAGTAGGTGTGTCCAAACGTTCGACTGGTACTGTATATAAAGTCAAGCACACACAAAACAGACATATACAGTTGAAGTCAGAAGTTTACATACACTTAGGTTGGGGTCATTAAAACACGTTTTTCAACCACTCCACACATTTCTTGTCAACAAACTATAGTTTTGGCAAGTCGGTTAGGACCCCTACTTTCTGCGTGACACAAGTACATTTTCCAACAATTGTTTACAGACAGATTATTTCACTTATAATCCACTGTATCACGATTCCAGTGGGTCAGAAGTTTACATACACTAAGTTGACTGTGCCTTTAAACAGCTTGGAAAATTCCAGAAAATTATGTCATGGCTTTAGAAGCTTCTGATAGGCTAATTGACATCATTTGAGTCAATTGGAGGTGTACCTGTGGATGTATTTCAAGGCCTACCTTCAAACCCAATGCCTCTTTGCTTGACATCATGGGAAAATCAAAAGAAATCAGCCAAGACCTCAGAAAAAAATTGTAGACCTCCACAAGTCTGGTTCATCCTTGGGAGCAATTTTCAAATGCCTGAAGGTTGCACGTTCATCTGTACAAACAATAGTACTCAAGTATAAACACCATGGGACCACGCAGCCGTCATACCGCTCAGATGCGTTCTGTCTCCTAGAGATGAACGTACTTTGGTGCGAAAAGAGCAAATCAATCCCAGAACAACAGCAAAGGACCTTGTGAAGATGCTGGAGGAAGCAGGTACAAAAGTATCTATATCCACAGTAAAACGAATCCTATATCGACATAACCTGAAAGGCCGCTCAACAAGGAAGAAGCCACTGCTCCAAAACCGCCATAAAAAAGCCAGACTACGGTTTGCAACTGCACATGGGGACAAAGATCTTACTTTTTGGAGAAATGTCCTCTGGTCTGATGAAGCAAAAATAGAACTGTTTGGCTATAATGACCATCGTTATGTTTGGAGGAAAAAGGGGGATGCTTGCAAGCCGAAGAACACTAACCTCCCGAGTGGCGCAGTGGTCTAAGGCACTGCATTGCAGTGCTCGCTGTGCCACTAGAGATCTTGGTTCGAATCCAGGCTCTGTCGTAGCTGGCCGCGACCGGGAGACCCATGGGGCGGCGTACAATTGGCCCAGCGTCGTCCAGGGTAGGGGAGGGAATGGCCGGCAGGGATGTAGCTCAGTTGGTAGAGCATGGCGTTTGCAACGCCAGGGTTGTGGAGGGACTGGTGCACTTCACAAAATAGACGGCATCATGAGGAAGGACATTTATGTGGATATATTGAAGCAACATCTTAAGACATCAGTCAGGAAGTTAAAGCTTGGTCGCAAATGGGTCTTCCAAATGGACAATGACCCCAAGCATACTTCCAAAGTTATGGCTTAAGGACAACAAAGTCAAGGTATTGGAGTGGCCATCACAAAGCCCTGACCTCAATCCTATAGAAAATGTGTGGGCAGAACAGAAAAAGCATGTGCGAGCAAGGAGGCCTACAAACCTGACTCAGTTACACCAGCTCTGTCAGGAGGAATGGGCCAAAATTCACCCAACTTATTGTGGGAAGCTTGTGGAAGGCTACCCGAAACGTTTGACCCAAGTTAAACAATTTAAAGGCAATGCTACCAAATACTAATTGAGTGTATGTAATCTTCTGACCCACTGGGAATGTGATGAAAGAAATAAAAGCTGAAATAAATCATTCTCTTTACTATTATTCTGACATTTCACATTCTTAAAATAAAGTGGTGATCCTAACTGACCTAAGACAGGGAATTTTTACTAGGATTAAATGTCAGAAATTGTGAAAAACTGAGTTTAAATTTATTCGGCTAAGGTATATGTAAACGTCCGACTTCCACTGTAATGCTCTAACATGTATAAAGTCTATATGAGTTTAGCCTACCTTTTGATTGTTGCCAAGCGCGCCAGATCAAAGCAATGCTCCAAGGGCATTCTGGGGCGCCTCCTACGTCCCTGTCCTGTTGGCTGAAGGAGTTGTACAATTATTATCCATTATCCCAGTTTCCTCTGTTGCATAATATAGTAATAATAAATAGTATATTTATTGGTTACCTGATCAAAGAAATACAGAGGTCCGGGTCTAAAATCTGTCATCATCATTTACAAATAATTCCACTCAGTTATAAACTCCATAAAAGTGTTGATTAACTCCCCACATTATCTACATCTGGTGTTAAAGACAAAAATATGAATCCCAGTAGAATCCCTAAGCTTGTACTGGGTGCCAGAATAATGTTCGACAATCCACCTCCCCGTTCATCTACTGTAAATGTAACCTTTATCCCTTTGAGTTTGCTGAAGCTTGTTGCTTGGATACACACACTGCGCCCCGCCGGTCTCCAAATGAGTGTACGCACCAGAAATGATTGACTCATGGCAACAATCTGAAAGCATAACACCGACAATACAAACCACCGGCTCATTCTGCATCTAAAAATAGACTGTGGCTCGAGCGCTTGATATTTTGCAAAAACAAGTAATGCGGCACAAAGTGGTCCCCGTCACCCAGTGCGCAGAGCGAGCGCAGTAACTTGAGATGGAAGGCTTGGGGACATAATTGGATGAGAATTGTTAACAGAGAAAGTGGTTATTCGATTCTGCCCTGCGTCCGTTATGGACTATTCACTGAGTGAAGAGATCAGAAGTGTCCCCCATGCCAGGCTATTGACTAATGATTTATATTTTATGTAGCCTTTTAAATGGCTGCCTTTCTCATTATCTATATACACTGCTCAAAAAAATAAAGGGAACACTTAAACAACACATCCTAGATCTGAATGAATGAAATCATCTTATTAAATACTTTTTTCTTTACCTAGTTGAATGTGCTGACAACAAAATCACACAAAAATTATCAATGGAAATCAAATTAATCAACCCATGGAGGTCTGGATTTGGAGTCACCCTCAAAATTAAAGTGGAAAACCACACTACAGGCTGATCCAACTTTGATGTAATGTCCTTAAAACAAGTCAAAATGAGGCTCAGTAGTGTGTGTGGCCTCCGCGTGCCTGTATGACCTCCCTACAACGCCTGGGCATGCTCCTGATGAGGTGGCGGATGGTCTCCTGAGGGATCTCCTCCCAGACCTGGACTAAAGCATCCGCCAACTCCTGGACAGTCTGTGGTGCAACGTGGCATTGGTGGATGGAGCGAGACATGATGTCCCAGATGTGCTCAATTGGATTCAGGTCTGGGGAACGGGCGGGCCAGTCCATAGCATCAATGCCTTCCTCTTGCAGGAACTGCTGACACACTCCAGCCACATGAGATCTAGCATTGTCTTGCATTAGGAGGAACCCATTGCCAACCGCACCAGCATATGGTCTCACAAGGGGTCTGAGGATCTCATCTCGGTACCTAATGGCAGTCAGGCTACCTCTGGCGAGCACATGGAGGGCTGTGCGGCCCTCCAAAGAAATGCCACCCCACACCATGACTGACCCACCGCCAAACCGGTCATGCTGGAGGATGTTGCAGGCAGCAGAACGTTCTCCACGGTGTCTCCAGACTCTGTCACGTCTGTCACATGTGCTCAGTGTGAACCTGCTTTCATCTGTGAAGAGCACAGGGCGCCAGTGGCGAATATGCCAATCTTGGTGTTCTCTGGCAAATGCCAAACGTCCTGGAAGGTGTTGGGCTGTAAGCACAACCCCCACCTGTGGACGTCGGGCCCTCATACCACCCTCATGGAGTCTGTTTCTGACCGTTTGAGCAGACACATGCACATTTGTGGCCTGCTGGAGGTCATTTTGCAGGGCTCTGGCAGTGCTCCTCCTACTCCTCCTTGCACAAAGGCGGAGGTAGCGGTCCTGCTGCTGGGTTGTTGCCCTCCTACGGCCTCCTCCACGTCTCCTGATGTACTGGCCTGTCTCCTGGTAGCGCCTCCATGCTCTGGACACTACGCTGACAGACACAGCAAACCTTCTTGCCACAGCTCGCATTGATGTGCCATCCTGGATGAGCTGCACTACCTGAGCCACTTGTGTGGGTTGTAGACTCCGTCTCATGCTACCACTAGAGTGAAAGCACCGCCAGCATTCAAAAGTGACCAAAACATCAGCCAGGAAGCATAGGAACTGAGAAGTGGTCTGTGGTCACCACCTGCAGAACCACTTCTTTATTGGGGGTGTCTTGCTAATTGCCTATAATTTCCACCTGTTGTCTATTCCATTTGCACAACAGCATGTGAAATGTATTGTCAATCAGTGTTGCTTCCTAAGTGGACAGTTTGATTTCACAGAAGTGTGATTGACTTGGAGTTACATTGTGTTGTTTAAGTGTTCCCTTTATTTTTTTGAGCAGTGTATTTCTAATTATATATTGAGAGACTAGTTTCACTGTGTCGATTTGTAAATGACACTGTGATAATCTATTTGATTTAGATTATACATCATATTTCCTCTCGTGCTATAACCTGATGGAACACAAACTGCCTCAATAAAAGTTAGTAGCCTATAGACTCTCCAGAGTTTAAGCACTACACTCCTATCTTGTCACTTGAGAAATTAAGAAAGGACGGGCTTAGTTTTCTCTATTGAGGTCAAGCAGCTGCACAAAGTGCCTAACAGCTCATTATTGGCTCAGCTGCCTGTCTGCCTCGAGCACAGTTTCAGAACGTGGCCACTGGAGGCTCCCAGCAGTTTATGCGTCACTTGATTCCGAACGCGGATCATGGCGGAGCTCGAGACGGTGCAGCCTGAACCGGAGGCGCCCGAAGTTCTCAATGGGGACGCCGAAGAGAACGAAGAGAAAGAGGACGCGGAGCCCTCGGAAACAGGGAAGAAAAAGAGAAGAAAAAAGAAGAAGAAGAAGACGGCTGTCCCAGGTAAGAAAGAATGCATGACGGTGAGGATAAATGCCGTTTTGGAAATAGCGCATTATTGAGAGGTCCCCTGTTGTGCCATAGCGTAAAAAGACCAGTAAAGATGAGAAGCATGGGACTTTATTACCTGTCAGAAAGTGCTAATGTTCCGCCGCAGCTGTCACCGCTGTCTTCACCTGGAAGTGAACGGCCACCGGTGCCGTTATGAGGGCTAAAGGGGAGATGCACATCTGGAAAAGGGACAATGCCTCTCCCGAGGCTTGAAAACGCTTCTTCTATTGGTTTAATGGAATGCTGTCAAATTCGAAAATTGAAGGATGTTGCAGGAATAAGATGACAGTCATATTCCAGTACTTTTCAGCACTCGTCTTCTTGCGTTATAAAAGAGCTCCACTAGTGAGAAAAAAAAAAGTATGCTTTAGCATTAAATTAATTGCTGACAAAACTATATGACAAGCACCTTATCTTGTAAAAACACATGTGGACTTGATATTATTTTGTGGTGTGTGTTAAACTATGGATCTATATAGTCCTGTTTCTGAAGGGCTATAGATGGCATGGCATAATGCTGCAGGGTACCTACATATGCCCTTGGGATATTGATTCTAGGTATAGATACAAATTATGCATTGCTCCTGCCAAGTTCTGTTCACAGTAGATGCACTTTCTCAAAATGTATCAATTTACTCACTTTAAGTGTGTGTGTGTTGCGCACGCACGTGCGTTTGTGTGTGTGTGTGTGTGTGTATGTTGCGTGTGTGTGTGTGTGTGTTGAATGTGTGTGTGTGTTCTGTGTGTGTGTGTGTTGCATGTGTGTGTGTGTTCGAGTGTGTGCGTGTATGACTTTGCAGCAGGGACAAATGAGTGTGAGGGGGATGGAGATACTGGAGGAGGTGTTGGGGATGTGACGAAACAGTTGGAGCAGCAAGCCCTGCCGGAGGACAAAGAGAAGGAGGAGGATGGAGAGGAGGGTACGACTTCATCTTCATCATCGTCATCATTCACCGTTCTCATACTCAACATGTGACCTGCGACATGAGTTTGGTGTCGTTCACCAACTAGTTGCGTTACCTGCTAGCACTGCACTGGGTATTGTGACTGACTGAACCACTTCTCAGGTCCTCTTTCACTTTATCATCATTGTCCTTAACGTTCTCGTGTGGATCTTGAAGTCCCGATTTCCCCTTAAACCAAACAAACGTATAATTTGACCTGTGACATGAGTTGGCGTCTGCTGCTGCGCATTACTGTAACTTCTTAAGTGCAAACAGTTAACTGCAAGCATTGTGAATTGTGACTGAATACGTCATGTGTCATGTTCGTTAAGAGAATGAAAAATGCATGTTTTGGACAGATGGAGAAGAGGGTGAAAACTCAGCAGGGAAGAAGAAGAAGAAGAAGAAAAAGAAGGGAGGTTTGTCTTCATCAGTCATTGTTTCTCCCACTGCATGGTTTCAGTTCCTTTTGTTACCACTTCAGAACCTTTCATGTTTTTTACAGATGAAACCCATGTTGATATGTCTTGAGCTGATGAGTTATCTTGTGTTAAGTTGCGTCAATTCAAATCTGGTATTAGGAACAAAAGAGGTCAATACACGTCTTCTAAAATAGACTAGTATTTTAATTAATGCAAAACACTTCAATGGTAAATATGATGTTCGTATATACGGGTCCACTGAAATACCACGCAGGGCACTCAGAGAACGGATCCATTGTTCTAAGTTCTTCTTCAAATACTCTGACAGAGATAGTTCCCGCTCCCTGCTGGCCAATCAGAGTAGAGACTGAGCGTGGTTTAGACTTACTCAGCCAGTCGTTGGCGCACAGGCTGGTCCCAGTCCCTTGGCGCTTTACCGTTGCACACTGTTGCCAGGCATAAGTTGTTATCATCACACCCTGTAGAGTCATCACCCATAGACACTGTTCCCCTGTACTCCTTGTACCTACGTCCTTGGACGGTTCACAGATCACAAAGAGGCAGTGTTCGTGTCTGTGAGAAATACAAGTCTTATCTCATCCTACCCCCTAACGTTCCTCACATGAATCACAGCTTGTTATGTGAAACAATTTATATCAGTACAGTACAAACCCATTATGTTTAATCATTAATGCATTCTTTCTAAGCTAGTCATCACATCTAGATCCCCGCACTTGAGAAGAGGTTTCCCCATACTAGACTGTTACTGCACCTCTATTAGTGATACAGTGCATTCGGAAAGTATTCAGACCCGTTAACTTTTTCCACATTTTGAAACGTTACAGCCTTATTCTGAAATGGGTTACATTGTCTATATTGCCATACACCCTGTAGCATGTGTTGCGACCATATGTGACCATGTGTTGCTAATAGCAACAATGTGTTGCACATCTGCAGACGCTAACCTCTCTCTTCTCATCCTCCTCTCCCTCCCTCCCTCCCTCCCTCCCTCCCTCCCTCCCTCCCTCTCTCTTCTCATCCTCTCCTCTCCCTCCCTCCATCTCACTCTCTCTATCTGGGGCACAGTGAAGGGGCAGACTGACCCTCCCACCATCCCTATTTGTGAGCTGTATCCCAGTGCTGTCTTCCCAAAGGGAGAGGAGTGTGAATATCCCCCATCTAAAGACGGGTATGTCACCTCTACCAAGTCCATTGGCCTTATGTAGTGTGGTGGCCATAGATCCTATGCAGTGTGGTGGCCATATATCTTATGTAGTGTGGTGGCCATATATCTTATGTAGTGTGGTGGCCATATATCTTATGTAGTGTGGTGGCCATATATCTTATGTAGTGTGGTGGCCATATATCTTATGTAGTGTGGTGGCCATATATCTTATGTAGTGTGGTGGCCATATATCTTATGTAGTGTGGTGGCCATATATCTTATGTAGTGTGGTGGCCATATATCTTATGTAGTGTGGTGGCCATATATCTGGTGGCCATATATCTTATGTAGTGTGTGGCCATATATCTTATGCAGTGTGTTGGCCATATATTTATGTAGTGTGGTGGCCATATATCTTATGTAGTGTGGTGGCCATTATCTTATGTAATGTGGTGGCCATATATCTTATGTAGTGTGGTGGCATATATCTTATGCGTTGTAAGACCTAGCATGTGGTGCCTATCTTATGTAGTGTGGTGGCCATATATCTTATGTATGTGGTGGCCATATATCTTATGTAGTGTGGTGGCCATATATCTATGTAGTGTGGTGGCCATAGATCTTATGTAGTGTGGTGGCCATATATCTTATGTAGTGTGGTGGCCATATATCTTATGTAGTGTGGTGGCCATATATCTTATGTAGTGTGGTGGCCATATATCTTATGTAGTGTGGTGGCCATATATCTTATGTAGTGTGGTGGCCATATATCTTATGTAGTGTGGTGGCCATATATCTTATGTAGTGTGGTGGCCATATATCTTATGTAGTGTGGTGGCCATATATTATGCAGTGTGGTGGCCATATATATTATGTAGTGTGGTGGCCATATATCTTATGTAGTGTGGTGGCCATATATCTTATGTAATGTGGTGGCCATATATCTTATGTAGTGTGGTGCCCATATATCTTATGCAGTGTGGTAGCCATAGATCCTATGCAGTGTGGTGGCCATAGATCTTATGTAGTGTGGTGGCCATATATCTTATGTAGTGTGGTGGCCATATATCTTATGCAGTGTGGTGGCCATAGATCTTATGCAGTGTGGTGGCCATAGATCTTATGCAGTGTGGTGGCCATAGATCTTATGCAGTGTGGTGGCCATAGATATTATGCAGTGTGGTGGCCATAGATCTTATGCAGTGTGGTGGCCATAGATCTTATGCAGTGTGCTGTGTGGCCATAGATCCTATGCAGTGTGGTGTCCATAGATCTTATGCAGTGTGGTGGCCATAGATCTTATGCAGTGTGCTGTGTGGCCATAGATCCTATGCAGTGTGGTGGCCATAGATCTTATCGAGGTCGCTGTGGTTTACAGTCCATCATACTTCATACTCTAAAACATAACACAAATATTGGATGTGCCTCAGTCACCCAAGATAACACTATAAAATGTTATTCACAACTATGCTGTTTTTTATTCACAATACCAGGTCTCTCTTGCCAAATAGATTTTATCTAATTGAAACCTGGTTAAATCAAGGTTAAATGAAAACATTTAAAATAAGACACACACACACACACACTCACACACACACACACACATACAAACACACACACACACACACACACACTCACCCACTATGTTAATCTATACCTGCATTATAAACTGCAATGTTTGCTGCATCATTTCCTGAAGGTGTTGTTTGACATCCCAATCCCATTAGAAGATAAAGATTGTGTGTGTGTGTGTGTGCGTGTGTGTTTCCCTCCCAGGCGCAGTGCAGCCTGGCGCACCACCCATGAGGAGAAGAGGGTCCTTGACAAGGCCAACGAGGAGATGTGGAGTGACTTCCGTCAGGCTGCCGAGGCCCACAGACAGGTCCGAAACTACGTCAACACCTGGATCAAACCTGGGATGACCATGATCGACATCTGGTGAGGGTCATTCATTTACTATATCGTACAGGCCCTGGTACGAGCTGGCCTGACAGCACTGTAATGGACTTGGTTGATTTTTTATTTTTATTTTTATTTCACCTTTATTTAACCAGGTAAACCAGTTGAGAACAAGTTAACATTTACAACTGCGACCTGGCCAAGATAAAGCAAAGCAGTGCGATAAAAACAACAACACAGAGTTACATATGGGGTAAAACAAAACAAAGTCAAAAATACAACAGAAATACATATATATACAGTGTGTGCAAATGTAGCAAGTTATGGAGGTAAGGCAATAAAATAGGCTATAGTGCAAAATAATTACAATTAGTATTAACACTGGAATGATAGATGTGCAAGAGATGATGTGCAAATAGAGATACTGGGGTACAAATGAGCAAAATAAATAACAATATAGGGATGAGGTAGTTGGGCGGGCTAATTTCAGATGGGCTGTGTACAGGTGCAGTGATCGGTAAGGTGCTCTGACAACTGATGCTTCAAGTTAGTGAGGGAGAAGATAAGTGTCTCCAGCTTCAGAGATTTTTGCAATTTGTTCCAATCAATGATGTTCACTTTAGTCAAATTGTGTATTGATGTATTTGAGTAATTTGAGCGATTCTCAATCCTGCTCTCGGAGAGTAGCAGTACTGCAGGTTTTTGTCCCAGCTCAGCAGTAAAACACCTGATTTGGTTCATCAACTGACCTACTCCTTCATTAGCTGGATCAGGTGGTTCTCTGGTGAGCTGGTGCTGTAGCTCCCCATGAGCAGCACTGAGGATCATGGAGTGAGTCTGTGTTGACCTGCATGGTTAACCTGTGTTGCTGAAGTGAAAATGTCCTGAATGTGACACCTGTCCCTGTCATCTGTGGTCCCTGTCTGTCAGTGAGTGACTAGAGGATTGCACTAGGAGGCTGATAAAAGACACTGAGGCTGTATTAACTTCAACCTACAGTACATGGTTAAGCTGTATTAACCCCCTGTCCCTGTCTCTGTCCTGTATGGTCTCTCCCTGTCTGTCCCTGTCTGTCACTGTCTGTCCCTGTCTGACTGGTTTGTCCCTGTCCTGTCTTTCCCTGTCTGTCCCTGTCCCTGTCCTTGTCCCTGTCTGTCTCTGTCCCTGTCTGTCTCTGTCCCTGTCTGTCCCTGTCTGTCCCTGTCTGTCCCTGTCTGTCCCTGTCTGTCCCTGTCTCCCTGGTCTGTCCCTGTCCCTGTCTGTCACTGTCTGTCCCTGTTTGTCCCTGCCTGCCTGGTCTGTCCCTGTTCCTGTCTGTCCCTGTCCCTGTCTGTCCCTGTCTGCCTGGTCTGTCCCTGTCTGACTGGTCTGTCCCTGTCCTGTCTGTCCCTGTCTGTCCCTGTCCTGTCTGTCTCTGTCCCTGTCTGTCCCTGTCTCCCTGGTCTGTCCCTGTCCCTGTCTGTCCCTGTCTGCCTGGTCTGTCCTGTCTGTCACTGTCCCTGTCTGCCTGGTCTGTCCCTGTCTGTCCCTGTCCCTGTCTGTCCTGTCTGTCCTGTCTGTCCCTGTCTGCCTGGTCTGGCCCTGTATATCAGCGAGCGACTGGAGGACTGCAGTAGGAGGCTGATCAAAGAGAATGGTCTGAAGGCTGGCCTGGCATTCCCCACTGGCTGCTCTATCAACCATGTTGCTGCCCACTACACCCCTAACGCTGGAGACCCCACAGTACTACAGTACAATGACGTCTGCAAGATAGACTTCGGCACGCACGTCAACGGTCAGAGGGCACACTGACACTGAGTTTCTGTTCAGTCTGTAGTTACGTTTTTATATAAAATAGACTTGCAGGCACATCAATGGTCAACACTGCCACTGAGTTTTGTCAATCAATCAAACGTATTTAGAAAGCCTTTTCTAATTCAGCAGTGTTGTCACAAAGTGCTTTACAGATACCCAGCCTAATGTCTGTATCTGGTTGCACTTGCATTTTACAGCGGTAATAGTCAAGGGTTTTGATCCCAGCGTTTTAATACCATTACACCTGACTCAACTAATCAACTGACCTTCAACACATTTGATGAGCTGAATCAGGTGTTTAACTGCTGAACTAGGACAAAAACCTGCAGTAGTGCGGTTCTACAAAAAGCAGGTTTGAAGATCCATTTTAAAGTCTATCGCTATCTTCTGGACTTTATTTAGATATTAAATATTAAAATTGTGCTGTAATCACCTGATACATTGTAATCACACTTCATACCCATACTTTCGTAAATACCAGGCAAATACCAGGCTAAGACAGGAAGGTAAGATCTAACTTTTACCTCGTGTCGTTGCATTTGGCTGATATTCATGTTGTTGGTGTTTCAGGTCGAATAATTGACTGTGCCTTTACCGTGACCTTCAACCCAAAGTATGACAGACTACTGGAGGCTGTGAGAGATGCTACCAACACAGGCATCAGGGTAACGCAACCCATTTATCCATTCACTATGACTTTGGTTCCGATTGTTCAGTGGGTTAGACTAGAGCATGTAAAAAAGGCAGTTCCTTTCAGCCAATCATCGGGTTTAAATGGACATTTGGGCCATGGCCCCTCCCACTCCAGGTTAGAGTGGTTATAGTTGTTGGCAGATGAAGAACCACGTTTGGCTGCCAACCAAGTTATCTGTGTGTTTTACTTCTATGATGTGTGTGTGCAACTGTGTGGTGGTGACCAAGAGATAATAAAGCTCTGGATGTGGACACATCTGCCTGGTTCTTACCGGACCGTCTGTAGTGGCTTCGGACCAAAGTCGACCGTCTGAAGTGGGGTCAGACCAAAGTAGACCGTCTGAAGTGGCTTCGGACGAAAGTAGACCGTCTGTAGTGGGGTCAGACCAAAGTAGAGTCAGCATTAAGTCACCGAGGGCATCTACAGCCAACCGCTGAGACGGCTCCAGCTAGCCGTTTTTACAGTGCAGGCAACATCAGGGTTGTGGGTTAGACTCCCACATGGGCCACATAATACTGAATATATCTGTTAATGTTGACAGTTCTGTAATCCGCTTTGGATAAAAGCTTCTGCTAAATGACCATATTTTGGATGCTAGCTAACATCCTAAGAGGATATGTGATGTAACTCTCACTCCCCACTCGTCTGATAATGAGCTCTGTAGAGATGGTTGGTTGATGTTTGCTTGTGTAACTGTCAACTCTTGTCTATTTGTGACCCATGTAGAGAGAGCTTGTGTAACTGTCAACTGTTTTCTGTGCCAGTGTGCAGGGATAGATGTGCGTCTGTGTGACGTGGGTGAAACCATCCAGGAGGTCATGGAGTCTTATGAGGTGGAGATAGATGGGAAAACATACAAAGGTATCAGTCTGTCTGTCTGTCTGTCTGTCTGTATGTCTCTCTGTCTCTCTTTGTCTCTCTCTGTCTCTGTCTCTCTCTGTCTCTCTCTGTCTCTCTGTCTCTCTCTCTCTCTCTCTGTCTCTGTCTCTCTGTCTCTCTGTCTCTGTCTCTCTGTCTCTGTCTCTGTGTCTCTGTCTCTCTGTCTCTCTCTGTCTCTCTGTCTCTGTCTCTCTCTCTGTCTCTCTGTCTCTGTGTCTCTGTCTCTCTGTCTCTCTGTCTCTGTCTCTCTGTCTCTGTGTCTCTGTCTCTCTGTCTCTCTGTCTCTGTGTCTCTCTCTCTGTGTCTCTGTCTCTGTCTCTCTGTCTCTCTGTCTCTCTGTCTCTGTGTCTCTCTCTCTGTGTCTCTGTCTCTGTCTCTCTGTGTCTCTGTCTCTGTGTCTCTCTCTCTGTCTCTCTGTCTCTGTGTCTGTCTGTCTGTCTGTCTGTCTGTCTGTCTGTCTGTCTCTCTCTCTCTCTCTCTCTCTCTGTTTGTCTCTCTGTTTGTTTGTTTATATGGGAAAACACACTGGGCTCTTACTGTTTTCCTAATCTTTCAGTTTGCTGGTTTGATGAGAGAAATTACAATTACAAATATATTGCAGATACTGTATGTATGTACACTACCGTTCAAAAGTTTGGGGTCACTTAGAAATGTCCTTGTTTTCGAAAGAAAAGCAATTTTTTGGTCCATTTAAATTAACATCAAATTGATCAGAAATAAAGTGTAGACATTGTTAATGTTGAAAATTGCTATTGTAGCTGGAAACGGCAGATTTTTAATGGAATATCTACATAGGCGTACAGAGGCCCATTATCAGCAACCATCAGTCCTGTGTTCCAATGGCACGTTGTGTTTGCTAATCCAAGTTTATCATTTTAAAAGGCTAACTGCTCATTAGAAAACCCCTTTGCAATTATGTTAGCACAGCTGAAAACTGTTGTACTGATTAAAGAAGCAATAAAACTGGCCTTCTTGAGACTAGTTGAGTATCTGGAGCATCAGCAATTGTGGGTTCGATTACAGGCTCAAAATGGCCAGAAACAAATAACTTTCTTCTGAAACTCTTTCTTCTGAAACTCGTCAGTCTATTCTTGTTCTGAGAAATGAAGGCTATTCCATTCGAGAGATTGCCAAGAAACTGAAGATCTCGTACAACGCTGTGTACTACTCCCTTCACAGAACAGCGCAAGCTGGCTCTAACCAGAGATAATTTGGACTCCAAACCAAAGGACACATTTCCACCGGAAATTATGTCCATTGCTCGTGGTTCTTGGCCCAAGCAGGTCTCTTCTTCTTATTGGTGTCCTTTAGTAGTGGTTTCTTCTCAGCAATTCGACCATGAAGGCCTGATTCACACAGTCCCCTCTGAACAGTTGATGTTGAGATGTGTCTGTGACTTGAACTCTGTGAAGCTTTTATTTGGGCTGCAATTTCTGAGGCTGGTAACTCTAATGAACTTATCCTCTGCAGCAGGGGTAACTCTGGGTCTTCCATTCCTTTGGCGGTCCTCATGAAAGCCAGTTTCATCATAGCGCTTGATGATTTTTGCAACTGCACCTGAAGAAACTTTCAAAGTTCTTGAAATGTTCTGTATTGACTGACATTCATGTCTTAAAGTAATGATGGACTGACGTTTCTTTTGCTTATTTGAGCTAATCTTGCCATTATATGGACTTGGTCTTTTACCAAATAGGGCTATCTTCTGTATACCCCCCTTACCTTGTCTCAACACAACTGATTGGCTCAAACGCATTAAGAAGGAAAGAAGTACCACAAATTAACTTTTAACAAGGCACACCTGTTAATTGAAATGCATTCCAGGTGACTACCTCATGAAGCTGGTTGAGAGAATGCCAAGAGTGTGCAAAGCTGTCATCAAGGCAAAGGGTGGCTATTTGAAGAATCTCAAATTTAAAATATATTTTGATTTGTTTAACACTTTGTTGGTTACTACATGATTCCATATGTGTTATTTCATAGTTTTGATGTCTTCATTATTATTCTACAATGTAAAAACAGTAAAAATAAAGAAAAACCCTTTAATGAGTAGGTGTGTCCAAACTTTTAACTGGTACTGTATATAGAGATATTTTACTGTATATATATATATATATATATATATATATATATATATATATATATATATACAGAGATATAGATATATTACAGATATATTTTCTATCTATATTTTTATTTTTATTTATTATTTCCTATGTAGTAAAGCCAATCAGGAACCTCAATGGACACTCCATCGGCCAGTACAGGATTCACGCAGGCAAGACTGTCCCCATCGTCAAGGGAGGAGAAGCTACCAGAATGGAGGTGGGTACTGACTGGTGACTGACTGGTGACTGACTGGTGACTGACTGGTGACTGACTGGTGACTGACTGGCGACTGACTGGGTACTGACTGGGTACTGACTGGGTACTGACTGGTGGCTTCTTTCGCTCATTTGTACAGAAGGCTTTTCAGATGTTACCTTAGTACAATGTAGTCAAACTTCTTCTTCGTCTTCGTCTTATTTCATTCCATCATGTCTGCAACAACAAACTCAAGGTACACATCTCTTGCGGGTTCATTCTGTTCAAGTGAAATTATATATAAAAAATAACAAATCCTTGAGTAGCCTATAATAAAACCCTTAAGTAAGTGTAATTGGAAGGAAATCTCTAGAGTTACAACGAGGTGTCGAGATCAGCTCAGATTAACATCTCACATGTATACACACACACACACACACACACACACACACACACACACACTCCAACACTCCAACACCTCCTTAGTCACCTCCTTCAGTTCTTTAATTACACCTTTAATCACATTATTGCACTTTTAATCACATTATTACACCTTTAAGCACATTATTGCACCTTTAAGCACATTATCAGCCAGAAGCATCAAGTAGCATGTAGCGCGCGCCACTTGATGAAACTCCAGCTCCTTAATTGCATCTCTAAGCGCATCGAGTTCTCACCACTCAAAGTCCATTAATGACCAGTTACCTCACTAAAGGAGATATCGCCTAGATACCTTAAACATATCTTCAGAGATACCTAGATACCTGTATAGATACCTGAGGATCTAAGTATATTGCCCAGGTAGGGACCATATTGGTGAGGTCACAGAGGTCAATTAGCCTGGTACCAGATCTGTCTGCGCTGTTTTGCCAACTCCTAAGGTGTGACAATGACCACATGAGTCGGTAAGACAGCACAAACAGATCTGGGGCTTCAGGCTAGAGGTCTGTAGCCGATTAACCACAGCTGCAATGCTTAACTCCGTTTGGACAGAATGTAACATTTTAATTGGCGGGCTGCTGAGTGGTGCATTTTACTGATGTTTCCAGCGAAGCCAGGGATGGATGGATGGATAGAGTTGCTGATGTGCCAGGTTTGAGGGTTTTCATTTTAGCTGGACTGAGTGGTGGTGTGTCAGGGCCATCACCCTCTTTGTATGAGAGTGTGTGTGTGTGTGTGTGTGTGTGTGTGTGTGTGTGTGTGTGTGTGTGTGTGTGTGTGTGTGTGTGTGTGTGTGTGTGTGTGTGTGCAGGCTTGGGTGCCAGCGTGTGTGTGTGTGTGATCATAGTGCTCTCTGTTCTGCTGGAGTGTCAGCAGGACTCTCACTGAGTGATTATCTGAGCAGAGAGGAAGGGTGTCAGTGTTATCAGCTAATACACAGGGCCTTGAACTGCCTGATATTATGGTGCTTTTCCATTGAGACTCACCCCCACACCAGTGGGCCAGCCTCACCCCCACACCAGTGGGGACCGAGACGTTACCCCCAACACCAGTTGGGCCCACAGTGGGTCAGACTTACCCCCACACCAGTGGGCCATACTACCCCACACCAGTGGGCCACCAGTGGGTCATACTTACTCCCAACCACGGTGGGCCGACATACCCTCCACACCTGGGCCAGACTTACCCCCACACTATTGGGCCATACTTAACCCCCACACCATGGGCCACCAGTGGTCAGATTTCCCCCCCAACCATTGGGTCAAACTTCCCCTCCACACATTTGGCCACAGTGGGTCAGAACTTTACCCCCACACCAGTAGGTGCCACCAGTGGTCAGACTTACCCCCACACCAAGTGGCCCGTGGGGTCGACCTACCCCCACACCAGTGGGTCACTTACCCCCCACCAGTGGGTCAGCCTTACCCCCCCACCATGGGCCACCATGTGTGTCAGACTTACCCCCACACCATATGGGGCAGACTCACCCCCACACCATGTGCCACCAGTGTGTCAGACTTACCCCCACACCAGTGGGCCACCAGTGGGTCAGACTTACCCCCACACCAGTGGGCCACCAGTGGGTCAGACTTACCCCCACACCAGTGGGCCAGACTTACCCCCACACCAGTGGGCCACCAGTGGGTCAGACTTACCCCCACACCAGTGGGCCACCAGTGGGTCAGACTTACCCCCACACCAGTGGGCCAGACTTACCCCCACACCAGTGGGCCACCAGTGGGTCAGACTTACCCCCACACCAGTGGGCCAGACTTACCCCCACACCAGTGGGCCACCAGTAGGTCAGACTTACCCCCACACCAGTGGGTCAGACTTACCCCCACACCAGTGGGTCAGACTTACCCCCACACCAGTGGGCCACCAGTGGGACAGGACTTAACCCCCACACCAGTGGGCCACCAGTGGGACAGACTTACCCCCACACCAGTGGGGACAGACTTACCCCCCACACCAGTGGGTCAGACGTACCCCCACACCAGTGGGCCACCAGTGGGACAGACTTACCCCCACACCAGTGGCCATGCCACCATTGGGTCAGACTTACCCCCACACCAGTGGGTCAGACCTTACCCCCACACCCAGTGGGCCAGACTTACCCCCACACCAGTGGGCCACCAGTGGGTCAGACTACCCCCACACCAGTGAGCCAGACTTACCCCCCACACCAGTGGGGCCACCAGTTGGGTCCGATTGGTCAGACTTACCCCCACACCAGTGGGCCAGACTTACCCCCACACCAGTGGGCCACCAGTGGGTCAGACTTACCCCCACACAGTGGGCCAGACTTTACCCCCACACCAGTTGGGTCAGACTAACCCACACCAGTGGGGCCAGACTTACCCCCCACACCAGTGGGCCACCAGTGGGTCAGACTTACCCCCCACACCAGTGGGCCAGACTTTACCCCACCACCACCAGTGGCCAGACTTACCCCCCACACCAGTGGGCCACCAGTGGGTCAGGACTTACCCCCACACCAGTGGGCCAGACTTCCCCCACACCAGGGGCCACCAAGTGGGTCAGACTTACCCCCACACCAGTGGGCCAGACTTACCCCCACACCAGTGGGTCAGACTTACCCCCACACCAGTGGGCCATACTTACCCCCACACCAGTGGGCCACCAGTAGGTCAGACTTACCCCAGCACCAGTAGGTCAGACTTACCCCCCACCAGTGGGCCACCAGTGGGACAGACTTACCCCCACACCAGTGGGCCACCAGTGGGTCAGACCACCCCCACACCAGTGGGCCAGACTTACCCCACACCAGTGGGCCACTTCCCAACTGGGCCACCAGTGGCCGTACCCCCACACCAGGCCAGACTACCGCCACCAGTGGGCACGTACCCCAAACTGGCCCCTTACCCACACCATGGGCACAGTGGACGCCCCTACACCAGTCCCAGTGGGCAGACTTACCCCCACCAGTGGGCCAGACTTACCCCCACACAGTGGGCCACCAGTGGGTCAGACTTACCCCCACACCAGTGGGCCAGACTTACCCCCCACCAGTGGGACAGCAACTTACCCACCCAGGCGACTACCCCCGACCAGTGTCACTTACCCCAGGCCACCAGTGGGCAGACTTACCCCCACACAGTGGGCCAGACTTACCCCACACCAGTGGGCCCCAGACTAACCCCCACCCAGGGGCACCAGTAGGACAGAGTACCCCCGCACCACGGTCGGACACCCCCACCAGTGCAGTTACCCCACCAGTGGGTCAGACTTCCCCCGCACCAGTGGGTCAGACTGACCCCACGCACCAGGGGTCAGACTTCAGCCACACCAGTGGGTCAGACTTACCCCACACCAGTGGGCACCAGTGGGACAGACTTACCCCCACACCAGGCCAAGTGGACAGACTTACCCCCCACACCAGTGGCAGACTTACCCCACACCAGTGGGCCACCGTGGACCAGACTTACCCCACACAGTGGGCCACCAGTGAGACATGCCAACACCAACCAGTGTGCACACACCAGTGGGACAGGACTTACCCCCACACCAGTGGGCAAACAGTGGGCCAGACTTACCCCCACACCAGTGGATCAGACTTACCCCCGCACCAGTGGGTCAGACTTACACCCACACCAGTGGGCAAGACTTACCCCACACCATTGGGTCAGACTTACACCCACAACAGTGGGTCAGACTTATCCCAACACCAGTGGGCCAGACTTACACCCACACCAGTGGGTCGGACTTACCCCCACACCAGTGGGACAGACTTACCCCCACACCAGTGGGCCACCAGTGGGACAGACTTACCCCCACACCAGTGGGCCACCAGTTGGACAGACTTACCCCCTCACCAGTGGGACAGACTTACCCCCACACCAGTGGGACAGACTTACCCCCACACCAGTGGGTCAGACGTACCCCCACACCAGTGGGCCACCAGTGGGACAGACTTACCCCACACCAGTGGGCCACCAGTGGGTCAGATTACCCCCCACACCAGTGGGTCAGACTTACCCCCCACACCAGTGGGCCAGACTTACCCCCACACCAGTGGGCACCAGTGAGCCAGACTTACCCCCACACCAGTGAGCCAGACTTACCCCCACCACCAGTGGGCCACCAGTGGGTCAGACTTACCCCCACACCAGTGGGCCAGACTTACCCCCCACACCAGTGGGCCACCAGTGGGTCAGACTTACCCCCACACCAGTGGGCCAGACTTACCCCCACACCAGTGGGTCAGACTTAACCCCACACCAGTGGGCCAGACTTACCCCCACACCAGTGGGCCACCAGTGGGTCAGACTTACCCCCACACCAGTGGGCCAGACTTACCCCCACACCAGTGAGCCAGACTTACCCCCACACCAGTGGGCCACCAAGTGGGTCAGACTTACCCCCACACCAGTGGGCCAGGACTTACCCCCACACCAGTGGGCCACCAGTGGGTCAGACTTACCCCCACACCAGTGGGGCCAGACTTACCCCACACCAGTGGGCCATACTTACCCCCACACCAGTGGGGCCACCAGTAGGTCAGACTTACCCCAGCACCAGTAGGTCAGACTTACCCCCGCACCAGTGGGCCACCAGTGGGACAGACTTACCCCCACACCAGTGGGCCACCAGTGGGACAGACTTACCCCCACACCAGTGGGACAGACTTACCCCCACACCAGTGGGTCTGACTTACCCCCACACCAGTGGGCCACCAGTGGGACAGACTTACCCCCACACCAGTGGGCCACCAGTGGGACAGACTCACCCGCACACCAGTGGGTCAGACTTACCCCCACACCAGTGGGCCAGACTTACCCCCACACCAGTGGGCCACCAGTGGGTCAGACTTACCCCCACACCAGTGGGCCAGACTTACCCCCACACCAGTGGGCCACCAGTGGGTCAGACTTACCCCCACACCAGTGGGCCAGACTTACCCCCACACCAGTGGGCCACCAGTGGGTCAGACTTACCCCCACACCAGTGGGCCACCAGTGGGTCAGACTTACCCCACACCAGTGGGCCAGATTACCCCCACACCAGTGGGCCACCAGTGGGTCAGACTTACCCCCAAACCAGTGGGCCAGACTTACCCTCACACCAGTGGGCCACCAGTGGGCCAGACTTACCCCCACACCAGTGGGCCAGACTTAACCCCACACCAGTGGGCCAGACTTACCCCCACACCAGTGGGCCACCAGTAGGTCAGACTTACCCCCGCACCAGTGGGTCAGACTTACCCCCGCACCAGTGGGTCAGACTTACCCCCACACCAGTGGGTCAGACTTACCCCCACACCAGTGGGACAGACTTACCCCCACACCAGTGGGCCACCAGTGGGACAGACTTACCCCCACACCAGTGGGCCACCAGTGGGACAGACTTACCCCCACACCAGTGGGCCACCAGTGGGACAGACTTACCCCCACACCAGTGGGCCACCAGTGGATCAGACTTACCCCCGCACCAGTGGGTCAGACTTACACCCACACCAGTGGGCAAGACTTACCCCACACCATTGGGTCAGACTTACACCCACAACAGTGGGTCAGACTTATCCCAACACCAGTGGGCCAGACTTACACCCACACCAGTGGGTCGGACTTACCCCCACACCAGTGGGTCAGACTTATACCCACACCAGTGGATCAGACTTACCCCCACACCAGTGGGTCAGACTTATACCCACACCAGTGGATCAGACTTACCCCCACACCAGTGGGTCAGACTTACCCCCACACCAGTGGGCCACCAGAGAGCCAGACTTACCCCCACACCAGTGGGCCACCAGTGGGCCAGACTTGCCCTCACACCAGTGGATCAGACCTACCCCAACACCAGTGGGTCGGACTTACCCCCACACCAGTGGGTCAGACTTATACCCACACCAGTGGGTCGGACTTACCCCCATACCAGAGGGCCAGACTTACCCCCACACCAGTGGGCCAGACCAGTGGGTCAGACTTACTCCCGCACTAGTGGGTCAGACTTACCCCCACACCAGTGGGTCAGACATACACCCACACCAGTGGGTCAGACTTACCCCCACACCAGTGGGTCAGACTTACCCCCACACCAGTGGGTCAGACATACATCCACACCAGTGGGTCAGACATACACCCACACCAGTGGGTCAGACTTACACCCACACCAGTGGGTCAGACTTACCCCCACACCAGTGTGTCAGACTTACCCCCACACCAGTGGGTCAGACATACCCCCACACCAGTGGGTCAGACATACACCACACCAGTGGGTCAGACTACCCCACACCCAGTGGGTCAGACTTACCCCCACACCAGTGGGTCAGACTTACCCCCACACCAGTGGGTCAGACTTACCCCCACACCAGTGGGTCGCCAGTGTTTTAATGTTAATGTTAGGTCTAGTGTAATTGTGTTTCCATCAGGAGTGTGACACTAAAGACTTGGGGTGAGCAGAATCTTCAATAGAATAGATCACACCCAGTGTATTGTGTAAGAACACTATAAGAGATGGAGTTACTGTAATTAACACTATAAGAGATGGAGTTACTGTAATGAACACTATAAGAGATGGAGTTACTGTAATTAACACTATAAGAGATGGAGTTACTGTAATGACACTATAAGAGATGGAGTTACTGTAATGAACACTATAAGAGATGGAGTTACTGTAATGAACACTATAAGAGATGGAGTTACTGTAATGAACACTATAAGAGATGGAGTTACTGTAATGAAACACTATAAGAGATGGAGTTACTGTAATGAACACTATAAGAGATGGAGTTACTGTAATAACACTATAAGAGATGGAGTTACTGTAATGAACACTATAAGAGATGGAGTTACTGTAATTAACACTATAAGAGATGGAGTTACTGTAATGAACACTATAAGAGATGGAGTTACTGTAATAACACTATAAGAGATGGAGTTACTGTAATGAACACTATAAGAGATGGAGTTACTGTAATGAACACTATAAGAGATGGAGTTACTGTAATGAACACTATAAGAGATGGAGTTACTGTAATGAACACTATAAGAGATGGAGTTACTGTAATGAACACTATAAGAGATGGAGTTACTGTAATGAACACTATAAGAGATGGAGTTACTGTAATTAACACTATAAGAGATGGAGTTACTGTAATGAACACTTTATAAGAATGGAGTTCTGTAATGACCACAAAGAGATGGATTTACGAATGAAAACTATAAGAGATGGGGTTTACTGTAATGAAACTATAAAATGGATTTTACTGTAATGAACACTTAAAATGGGGTTAGGGAATGAACACTATAAGAGATGGAATTACTGTAAAAACACTAAAAGAGATAAAATTAAAGAATAAAACCTGTAAGAGTTTTACTTTACTTTAAGACATCGGCATAATTGAACCCTCGGGAAAAAAAGGGTTTTTGCTCATCTTAGTAGATTCTTGTAAAAAGGAAAAATATAATCTCTAAACATCTACATTAATTACCGGTTTTCGGGAATAAAAAAGTTTGAGTTTCTCCCCCTTTTTTCCATCTGCCAAAAAGGTTTTCATTTTAAAGGGACTTTGGTCTTATGAAAGTGCAGAGGTTTAGGGTCAATCATTTTGTTTCTGGATTTGCTGATTTCACTGTTCTCCTCTACCCTTTGCCCACAGGGGTGAGGGGTACGCAAATCGAGACGTTTTGGCAGCACTGGGAGGGGAGCTGTTCACGGTGACATGGACTGCTCGCATTACATGAAAAACTTCAACGTTGGACACGTGCCAATAAGGTCGGTCGCTTGGTTCGGTCGGTGCTCACTGAGTGCGAGCCTCACCTGATTTTAATGGTGATGATGATACAGAACATCGATGCTAAGTAGAATTATATACTGTAGATGTCATTCTGTTCGCCATCAAGGACGATCGAGGGCGAATGACCCTGCTAAGGCTGACCCCCTCCAACGTGCTGATTCTTACAGTATACACCTGAACTGAATACTACTGTACTAATAAAAAAAATAACCCATAAACTACAGATGAAAATTAGCCAGCTGGCTAAATCTGGCACATTTACAGAAATGTTGATCAATGTGGATTGTCCCTATGCACTGCTCTCATAATCCTTACTGCACTGAAAACACCATCCTTATCTCTTTCCCTTCCGTTCCCCGCCCTCTCTGGTCCCCGCCTCTCACTGTTCCCCGCTCTCCTGGTCCCCCGCCTCTCCTCTGTGTCCCCGCCTCTCCTCTGTGTCCCCGCCTCCCCCTGTGTCCCCGCCTCTCCTGTGTCCCCGCCTCTCCTCTGTGTCCCGCCTCCCCTCGGTCCCCCCCCTCCCCTCTGTGTCCCCCCCCTTTCCTCTGTGCCCCCCGTCTTCCGTGTCCCCCCTCCCTCTGGTCCCCGCCTCCCTCTGTGTCCCCCGCCTCTCCCTCTGCCCCCGCCTCCCCTCTGTCCCAACCTCTCCGGGGCCCCCCCTCTCCTTTTTCCCCGCCCCCTCTGGCCCCTGTTCCCCGCCTTCCTCGGTCCCCCCCCCGCCTTCCTCTGGGTCCCCCGCCTCTCCTCGTGTCCCCCCCTTCCTCGGGTTTTTCCCCCCCTCCCTTGTGTCCCCCCCTTTCCCCTCTGTGTCCCCCCTCTCTGTGCCCCCCGCCTCCCCTGTGTCCCCGCCTCTCCTCTGGTCCCCGCCCTCTCCTCTGGGTCTCCCCGCCTCTTCTCTCTGTGTCCCGCCTCTCCTGTGTCCCCGCCTCTCCTCTGTGTCCCCGCCTCTCCTCTGTGTCCCCGCTCTTATGGTCCCGCCTCTCTGGTCCCGCCTCTCCTCGTGTTCCCGCCTCTCTCCTCTGTGTCCCAGCCTCTCCTTTGTCTTGTGTCCCGCCTCTCCTCTGTGTCCCGCCTATCCTCTGTGTCCCCGCCTTCCTCTGTGTCCCCGCTCTCTCTGTCCCGCCTATCACCCCGCCTCCTTGTCCCCGCCTCTCCTCTGTGCCCCCGCCTCTCCTCTGTGTCCCCGCCTCTCCTCTGTGTCCCCGCCTCTCCTCTGTGTCCCCGCCTCCTCTGTGTCCCCGCCTCTCCTCTGTGTCCCCGCCTCTCCTCTGGTCCCGCCTCTCCTCTGTGTCCCCGCCTCTCCTCTGTCCCCGCCTCTCCTCTGTGTCCCCGCCTCCTCTGTGTCCCCGCCTCTCCCATTGTGGTGTGTGTGTCCGTGTTCCAGACTCCCCAGAGCCAAGCATCTGCTCAACGTGATAAATGAGAACTTCGGGACGTTGGCGTTCTGCCGCCGCTGGTTGGACCGGCAGGGAGAGAGCAAGTACCTGATGGCCCTGAAGAACCTGTGTGACCTGGGCATCATAGACCCGTACCCGCCGCTCTGCGACACCAAGGGCTCCTACACCGCCCAGTACGAACACACCATCCTACTCAGGCCCACCTGTAAGGAAGTGGTGAGCAGGGGTGATGACTACTGAGCACGCTCCGTGGGCCAGCTGGCCTCGAACCAGGAAGAACCGGAAGAGGAAGAATGAGAGAAGATAAATCAGGGTCATGTTCATTGGATCCCATACCACTGCTCTATTCACCACATGCAAATTCCAGTCCGTTGATGTCCCTTTAATAACGTTTCTTATTGGACAAGTCTAGGTAGTCCCTCTGTGTTTCAGTCCGTTTTCTTTCAGTTTGGTGCCTAATGAACACCATCCCTGAAATCCGTAATCGACTGATGATAACATTTATGCAACGTTATTATTGTGATGTAATTTTAAAGTTGCTTGAATCCTACCTTCTGTACCTACCTTCAACGGTTTTAGCAAGAGACTTTTGTCATGGCAGGACCTTATTACTTATTACTTACATTGTATTAATACAAGTATTATTTAAAAGGATCAAGCCAATAAAAAAGGGCATATAAAAAGCAAGAAATATAATCATCATTTTCTTTATTATACTTACTTGATTCCTGTATTGCTTATTTAGGATAAAATGAAATATGCAAAATTACTCCCTATGTTTTGGCTGGACACCTCAATGTATTACTTAATAATTCAAAGCATATTCAATGCCTTGAAAATAACCTGTGATATGACTATAATAATGCTATGAAATTATTTATATCTCTATATTTTGTTTCTCTGCCCCTATTTATTTTTAGGTGATTTTTAAAAAAATAAATAAATTGTATTGTTACAAATCTTAAACCTTGTTTTTGTTAATTGTATTCATGTTTGAATGTAAAGTGATCATGCCAAAGCCAAAGATTCAAATTCTGGATTAGAAGTGTTCTGTTCTCACTTTTAACCAAAGGAGGGCGATATTATTATATACATGCAGGATGTACTCCAGTGGTTTCAGTGGCAAGACAACTAACAGGAAAACACATTAAAATTTAGCTTCAAAGATGTACTGAACCGTGTCAGAACCTAATTCCTACAATATGTAGGACATAATCCATAGGCTTATTTATTAAATGTAATTCATACATGCATGTCAGGCATCACACATAGACAGACACACAGATGATATTATGATATGTCCCTTTAAAGCTGGAGTTCATAGATTCCATATGATATCTGTGCATTCACCATCAAATACAAATTGTAGCTCATTTATGTAAATCTAATGAAAATGTAGGTCATAAACAAACCATAGACATATTTATAACAACTAAAACTTACAGTTACAGTGTGTAGCTAAGGAGGGCCTATGATTATGATGATGTGATATGTGACGTGTCCCTTTTCATTCATGGATCTCATACCTCTGCTCTATTCACCACATGCAAATTCCTCTAATAAAGTATTTGGGACAAGGGCGAAGCAGTCGGATGATGTCACAGTGCAGGAATGCATCATGTTTCTTCGGCCAGCAGCTACTGACCTGGCTGCTCCTTAGGCAGTGCTTACACAGGCAGCCTAATTCAGACCTTTTTCAGATCTGATCTGATTGGTCACAAGGACCAAATTGTGAAAAAAAATATCAGAATTAGGCTGCCTGTGTAAACACAGCCTTAAAGACAGCAACACAGACCTATTCTTAACTAGGCTTCCGTCCCAAATAGCACCCTATTCCCTATATAGTGCAATACATTTGACCAGGGCTCTGGTCAAAAGTATTGCACTATGTAGGAAATAGGGTGCCATTTGGCACACAGCCTAGGTCTGGGTCAAATATGTATTGAGCCTCTCCAGATCCAGATCTGACACAGTGACGTCAATTCATCCCTTCCTTTCTAGGTTAAGTAGCTCCATGTTTATTTTCGGATTCAGGGGTTGTTGGGTTGTTTACCAATAACACATGGGGTCATTTTCCGTCGTCCCTAACAACAACAACCTGATATAGAGTGGAATTGGTGATGCAGTGAAGGATAAACTCATGTAAACTCAGTTCACCTTTCAAAACCTGAGTACATGGACATCTCCTGACTTCGCCACATGATCTGTAGGATTGATTCCTTGTGCTGCAGTGAACCATATGATTAGATCACAGATGCACTTGCACCCAATAAAATATATATAGGCCTATTTACCCATATATGGGTTTACCCATCTGTTTAAGGTGTTCAGAGTTCCTTTTTTTTTTTTTACCACTACATCCCTGAGTACAATAGAAGTGGGTCATATGAGGACACAAACCATGTGAGTGAGTAGACCTCATTGTGTAATGTTTTGACATTGCAAACCTGACAAAGAGCCATTCAAATCAGACTGAGGGAAGACGTGAAGTCAGTTCAATTCTAACCGAGAGCGTCTTCAGTGGTCTAGTCCCAGAAAGGTCTAGGAACACACACACACACACACACCACACACACACACACACACACACACACACACACACACACACACACACACACACACACAACACACACACACACACACACACACACATATATACATACAAATACACACACACACACATGCACACACACATACACACACACACACACACACAATACACACACACACACACACACACACACACACACACATATATATACATACACACACAACACACACAACACACACACACTCATTATCTTTTCTGTTCTCTCTCTCCTCTACTGCCACTCCAGGAGATACTACCTGTTAAGGCCTGCTCAGTCCCTCCGAGCCAAGGACGGCAAGTTTTTGCGCACACACACACACACACACACACACACACACACACACATTCTAATGATGATGCTTCTGCAGGTTTACTGCCAATTATCTCCAGGAACTGAAGATACAAACGTCAGGACTCCTTGGCTAGCTTAGTAGGCTAATCATGATAAAACATTCATTACATCCTTTTGGTTCTATCTTTGGCTTTACTTTCAACTCTAGTCTGAGACAAATCTAAACTGGATTCAAACCAGCTCTTATGGCTTTAGTACTGGATCAATGAAAGTCAGATCAATCAATCGTTCTTCTTCATTCAGCAAACCTTCACTCAGGATATCTGCTCTTCCCTTTGTAAAGTTATTTTCCTCTTCCTGTAAAAGGAGATGCCAGTCTGTGCTCTGTCTCCGTGCAGCTGCCTGTCATCATATTATATAATACAATATATGCCACTAAGCAGACTCACGCTTTTAACCAAAGTGACTTGCAATACAGTGAGTGCATAAATGTTTTGCATGTGTTTTTTTTGTTTATGATCCCTGTAGGAATTGAACCCACAACCTTGGCGTTGCCAGCGCCATGCTATTTCCAACTGAGCCACACAGGGCCATTCAGCACAGAACACCATCCATCATGGTCCTGCTGTGGAGGTAATTGTTTCAGAAATGTGTTCCGTGGGTCTGTGGATGGAACATGCAAATGAGGCCCTGAATGGCAAAAGCATAGAGTTCTGCTTTCACCATATTGCCTGAGCTGTGGCTGAATCCCCATGTACAACCCACAGCCCTCTAAAAATACACTCTCACACGTCTTTATATTCGGCTCATCATCCTTCTCATGCAATCCACCAAAACATGGCTTTGTGACGTCTCATCCCTCTTCAGCATTCCCTGCGGTCCTCATCGCAAGAGCCTAGCCATCCTCTGCTTCACCATCCTACTCTCGATCCCATGTCACCCCCACCCAATACCCTCACAGTCATCGCCTCTCTCCATCATCCTCACATGCACTCCATCCCATCCCTCTCTCCATCCCTCTCTCCATCCCTCTCTCCATCCCTCTCTCCATCCCTCTCTCCATCCCTCTCTCCATCCCTCTCTCCATCCCTCTCTCCATCCCTCTCTCCATCCCTCTCTCCATCCCTCTCTCCATCCCTCTCCATCCCTCCCATCCCTCTCTCACCCTCTCTCCACCTCACTCTCATCTCATCCCTCTCTCCATCCCTCTCCTCCATCCCTCTCTCATATCCCTCCCATCCCTCTCCTATCCCTCTCTCCATCCCTCTCTCCATCCCTCTCTCCATCCCTCTCTCCATCCCTCTCTCCATCCCTCTCTCCATCCCTCTCTCCGTCTTATTCCATGACGTGGCTCTAGTCTTCCGTCTGCAGACTAAAGACGTGTGCGTTCTGCAGTCTCTCTGCTGCAGTCTTTCTTGGAGAGGAGGAGGAGGAGCTACAGTGCTTGTTGAGGAGGTGCAGGAGCTTGTGTTCCAGGCTGGGCCTCCAGGGTTTGACCAGGCTCTTGGTGTTCACCAGCAGACGACCCGTCCTCCAGTCCTCGTGGCCCCCCACCAGGTACTCTGATCCTGGGGGAGGAGAATAGAGGGAGCAGGGTCAATTCCATTTACATTCAGTCAATTGACTGATAATGGACACCGATAGAGAGGATCATTAGCCAGGCTTTAAATCGGCATACTGTTAAAAGAAAATCATAGAATGCTATAGTGAAACAGATGAAGGTTGCAGTGAGGTATCTAATGTACATATGTCTAGTGTGTGAGGGCCAAACGAAGCAGGTATGCATCGACAGACGTCAGAGAAAATAACTATTGGGCAGGAAGCAGTCATGGTCCAGTTGCCTGGCCAAAACGTAAGAGCTCACCTGGGTTGAGGAGGGGGCAGGTGCACCCCCGCCTGGTCCAGGATTCTGGGTAGAGGGTGATGTGACCTTTCTGGATCTTCACCTTGCTGTCGTGGTACAGGACCTTCTTTACCTTGACCTCCACCTCAGCATGGGAGCCCTGATCATGGGCCGCCATGATCCTCACCATCAGCACTGTGGACAGAACACACACACACAGTCACACCATCTGATCAATCAATCTCAATACTGTTGGCATCAACCCCTTTTCAATTCTGCTGGCCCCATCTACTACTGTCTGAAACATGCAGTGTGTTAGCATTTCCTGTTAGCATTTCCTGTTAGCATTCTGTATTATTATTATTATTATTATTTTTGTACGATTTTATTTTATATTTTATAAACAATACAAAACATACACATACAAATGACAACGTCATACAAACATCAACTACATCACCCCTGCCCAGACCCACTAGCACACACCGCCATCTCCAGCGCCCGCATCAGTCTCCACCACATGCCCTCAAACTGCACCATTTGGTTTCTCTCAGTAGCCCACACACTTTAAACATTTAAATAACAAATCATTCGATTTTTCCATTGTGTTAATGATGGCGGATTAATTGAGAGCCAACATCAGTTATTTTTAAGTCTTGGTTCCAATCGTTTCTGGGGATGAGCATGTGCATCTTCAATATGTACCCATGTCTCAGGTAAAAGCCTTGGGTGGCGAGTTGATACAATTCCAAGTCTGGAAGGTTAAAACCACCCCTCAGACTCAGGAAGATGGAAAACCTTCCTTTTTATTCTATGACTTTTATTTGGCCAAATAAAGTCTGCTTTGACCGAGTATACTTTTTTAAAGAATGTCTTCGGTGGTGTAATTGGTATTACCGAGAACAAATATAAACCCTTTAGCAGCCACACCATTCCAAACAGATTGATTCTACCTGTAAGACTTATGGGACGATTATTCCATTTAATTAGATCTGTTTTCATATTGTTGAGTAATGGGATAAAGTTATCTTCTTTATATATGTGTTGTTTGTTGTCACTTATTTAGCATCCTAAGGATTTCCAAAAAAAATGGTGGTCCACTTAAAGATTGGTGTAGATCGTGAGTAATTGTTTTATTTTTCCTATTGCCACTATGTGGTCCTCTGTAGCTCTGGATAAATTGCATATTATTCTATGATTCTATTCTTATTGTTATTATTTCAGGGGTTTTTCCGCGTTCATTTTATATCCTGAGATTTTTGAGTATTCAGAAAATATTTTTAGCAAAGGGGTCATTGAGTTTTCAATATTGGTCAGGTATATCAAATCAAATCAAATTTTATTGGTCACATACACATATTTAGGAGATGTTATTGCGGGTGGTAGTGAAATGCTTGTGTTCCTAGCTCCAACAGTGCAGTAGTATCTAACAATTCACAACAATTCGCACAAATCTAAAAGTAAAAGAATGGAATTAAGAAATATATAAATATTCGGACGAGCAATGTCGGAGTGGCATTGACTAAAATACAGTAGAATAGAATTAAGCAATAAGGCCCGAGGGGGTGTGGTATATGGCCAATATACCACGGCTAAGGGCTGTTCTTATGCACGACGCAGCGCAGAGTGCTAGGACACAGCCCTTAGCCGTGGTATATTGGCCATATATCACAAACCCCTGAGGTGCCTTACTGCTATTATGAAACTGGTTACCAACATAATTAGAGCAATTTAAATAAATGTTTGTCATACCCATGGTATACGGTCTGATATACCACGGCTTTCAGCTAATCAGCATTCAGGGCTCGAACCACCCAGTTTATAATACAGAATATACATATGAAATGAGTAAAGCAGTATGTAAACATTATTAAAGTGACTAGTGTTCCATTATTAAAGTGACCAGTGATTCCATGTCTATGTGTATAGGGCAGCAGCCTCTAAGGTGCAGGGTTGAGTAACCGGGTGGTAGCCGGCTAGTGATGGCTATTTAACAGTCTTGATGGCCTTGAGATATAAGCTGTTTTTCAGTCTCTCAGTCCCAGCTTTGATGCACCTGTACTGACCTCGCCTTCTGGATGGTAGCGGGGTGAACAGGCCGTGGCTCGGGTGGTTGATGTCCTTGATGATCTTTTTGGCCAGCTCTGAGGACGCGGCTAGGGATGCCGTCTGGGCTGGCAGCCTTGCGAGGGTTAACACGCTTAAATGTCTTACTCACGTCGGCCACGGAGAACGAGAGCCCACAGTCCTTGGGAGCGGGCCGCGTCGGTGGCACTGTGTTATCCTCAAAGCGGGCGAAGAAGGTGTTTAGCTTGTCCGGAAGCAAGACGTCGGTGTCCACAACGTGGCTGGTTTTCCCTTTGTAATCCATGATTGTCTGTAGACCCTGCCACATATGTCTCGTGTCTGAGCATTTGAATTGCGACTCCACTTTTTCTCTGTACGTTTTGCCTGTTTAATTGCCTTACGGAGGGAATAACTACACTGTTTGTATTTGACCATATTCCCAGTCACCTTGCGATGGTTAAATGCGGTGGTTCACGCTTTCAGTTTTGCGCGAATGCTGCACAACAACATCCCCTATACACTTCCTGATGAACTCAGTCACCATGTCCGTGTATACGTCAATGTTATTCTCAGAGGCATCCCGGAACATATCCCAGTCCGCGTGATCAAAACAAACTTGAAGCATGGATTCTGATTGGTCAGACCAGCATTGAATAGACCTTACCACGGGTACTTCCTGTTTGAGTTTCTGCCTGTAGGAAGGGAGGAGCAAAATGGAGTCGTGATCTGATTTGCTGAAGGGAGGGCGGGGGAGGGCCTTGTAGGTATCCTGGAAGGGGGAGTAGCAGTGGTAGAGCGTTTCAGCAGTGCGAGTACTACAGTCAATGTGTTGGTAGAACTTTGGTAGCCTTTTCCTCAAATTTGCTTTGTTAAAATCCCCAGCTACAATAAATGCAGCCTCAGGATATGTGGTTTCCAGTTTGCACAATGTCCAGTGTAGTTCCTTGAGGGCCGTCGTGGTATCGGCTTGAGGGGGAATATAAACAAAGAGAATTTCCTTGAGAGGTAATACTGTCTGCATTTGATTGTGAGGTACTCTAGGTCGGGTGAACAAAAGGACTTGAGTTTCTGTACGTTATCACAATCACACCATGAGTAGTTAATCATGAAACATACACCAACGCCTTTCTTCTTCCCGGAGAGTTCTTTATTCCTGTCTGCGCAATGTACTGAGAACCCAGCTGGCTGTATGGATGGGGACAGTATATCCGGAGAGAGCCATGATTCCGTGAAACAGAGTATATTACAGTCCCTGATGTCTCTCTGGAAGGACATCCTCGCCCTGAGCTCGTCTACTTCATTGTCCAGAGACTGAACATTACCGAGTAATATACTCGGAAGCGGTGGATGGTGTGCACGCCTCCTGAGTCGGACTAGAAGTCCACTCCGAATACCTCTTCTCCGCCGGCAGCGTCTTGGAGCAGCCTCTGGGATAAGTTAAATTGCCCTGGGGGGTACGAACAAAGGATCCAATTTGGGAAAGTCATATTCCTGGTCGTAATGCTGGTGAGTTACCGTCGCTCTGATATCTAAAAGTTATTTCCAGCTGTATGTAATAACACAAAAAACGTTCTGGGCTAATAATAAAATAAAATAAAATTGTATTTGCCACATGCGCCGAATACAACAGGTGTAGACCTTACAGTGAAATGCTTACTTACAAGCCCTTAACCAACAATGCAGTTTTAAGAAAAAAAGTCTTAAGTAAAAAATAGATAAGTAAAAAATACAAATAAAACATAATTAAAGAGTAGCAGTAAAATAAAATAACAGTAGGGAGGCTATATACAGGGGGTACCGGTACAGAGTCAATGTGAGGGGGCACAGGTTAGTCGAGGTAATTGAGGTAATATGTACATGGGGGTAGAGTTAAAGTGACTATGCATAGATAATAAACAGAGTAGCAGTAGCGTAAAAGAGGGGGGGGGGGGGGGGGGGACAATGCAAATAGTCCGGGTAGCCATGATTAGCTGTTCAGGAGTTCTATGGCTTGGGGGTAGAAGCTGTTTTTTAGGGCCTTCCTCTGACACCGGCTGGTATAGAGGTCCTGGATGGCAGGAAGCTTGGCCCCAGTGATGTACTGGGCAGTACGCACTACCCTCTGTAGTGCCTTGCGGTCGGAGGCCGAGCAGTTGCCATACCAGGCAGTGATGCAACCAGTCAGGATGTTCTCGATGGTGCAGCTGTATAACTTTTTGAGGATCTGAGGACCCATGCCAAATCTTTTCAGTCTCCTAAGGGGGAATAGGCTTTGTCGTGCCCTCTTCACGACTGTCTTGGTGGGTTTGGACCATGATAGTTTGTTGGTGATGTGGACACCATGTAAGAAATAACACACAAAAAAAACAAAATACTGCAAAGTTGCTTAGGAGCTAGAAGCAGAGCTGACATGTCTGTCGGCGCCATCTTGCCAGTAGATCATCTGCAAATAAGTTTAATTTATTACCTGTTACGTTTGGGTCCTTTCTAATTCTTTCTGCAAGCGGTTCAATTGCCAGTGCAAACAGTTGGGGGGGATTTCCTGTTCAATTCTGCTGGCATCGTTCACTACAGCCTGGTCCCAGATGTGTTCGTGCTCTATAGCCAACTTCTATGCTCGTTGTTATGCTAGCAGGCCCAAGGGAGTTGGCTAACATAGGAGTGGTTAACCTCAAACATCTCCTTTTCATCTAAAGCCAACTCTGCTTTATGTTCTCCTATTGTTTAAGAGTCTTTTCATATCTTGTAGAGTTCTCAGACAAAGAGGATTACAACACCAGGTGGATCCACAGGAGACAAATGAAGACGTGGCTTTTAGCATGCATGGATAATAATTATTATTGTTTTCCCAGGAACTTTTCCCACTCTTTCCCAACGTGTATCTTTCTTAATATTACTGTATGTCCCACCTACCGTAGTCATACTTGTTGGCACAGAAGAGTTTGGGGCTGCCAATAGTCATCTCCTTACACTGACATTTCTCTGGAAAGACAGGAAAAGAGAGAACATGTACATTCGCATATACATTATATGTCCGTGTGTGTGTGTTTATAGATGTGTGTGTGTGTGTGTGTGTGTGTGTGTGAGTGAGTGTGTCTGCTTTCTTTCATGTGTGCGTGTGTACATGCGTGCCCATGCTTTTGTGTGTAATGACCCATGACTCACCAGAGTGGTGCAGTGCAGAGAACAGCTCCTCCACCCTGAACAGTGCTCCTGGCTCACTACTGCTGGGTCCTCTGTGTATGTGGCTGTCACCTCCTGTATAGTACACGTCCAGATCTGAGCTGTAACACAACACATCACAACACATCACAACACATCACAACACAACCCACCACAGCACATCACAACACATCACATCACAACACATCACAACACATCACAACCCACCACAGCACATCACAACACATCACATCACAACACATCACAACACATCACATCACAACACAGAGAAAACTCTGGTCATACATAGCACTGCTAGCCATACAATCAATGAATACACCTCTACATACTTTACTTGTATTAAGATAAAGACTACTCTTTTAATAACGTCGTCCCCAGGCTCAATCGCTACCACAGAGAGAGCCGTCTGGGTAGACAAGACTACTTCAACTAAGGGTCCGATTCAGGGTTGGGATAAGCGTCTGATTAATTATTCATTGTTGTCAATGAGAGACTTTCAGGTTAGTTATATATACTAAAATCACTATTGAATATGCAAATGTGTGCATCCCAAATGGCACCCTATTCACTATATCGTGCACATTTGAACAGGGCCGATAGGGAATAAGGTGCTATTTGGGACGCATCCTACTGTATGAATCCATAGACACTCACCCAGACAAGCAGTCCCCAGTGTAGGGGTCACAGTCCCCCCTTGCACAGTCACACGGTCTGCACCCGTAACCATGGAAGCCCCAGAACCCTACAATGCATCTGCCACAGAGAGGACCGCCCACGCCCGGTCTGCAGGTGCACGCCCCATTGCTAGGGTTACAGAGGGCCTCGCCACCTGAGAGCGCGGGTATAGACCCTACAGGGTGGCAGGCGCATGCTGCAGGTATGGGGTAAGAAGAGGGACAAACAGAACAGAACAGATCAGAGAGGGAGTATTAGCACATTACTACAATTGTATCCAACATACGGAACTCAGTTATTCATGTCTTTATAGTGTTGCCTTCGGAATAGGTTTGTTGACTTATTCAGAAAATCTGCTCTCCGTCCATTCCATAGCATACGTCCTAGACAAAACAACAGCACAAACACACACTCACATGAACACACACACATGAACACACACACACACACATACATACATATTGTACACTCCCTATACACTAGAAAAACAAAGTATTTTTTTTCAGGATTACATAACTGGCGGGACGGCGACAGGACAGGACGGGAGGGAGTATGTATTTAACCCTGAGGATATCACACACATACACACACACACACACACATACACACCACATACACACACACATACACGCATACACACACACATACACACCCACATACAACACACATACAACACACATTCACAGACACAACATACACCACATTCCACAACACACATACCCACCCCACTACACACACACACACACACACACACACACACACACACACACACACACACACACACACACACACACACACTACTGTCAAAACACACTACTGTAAAAAAAAAAAAATGTAAATCATTCTCCAACCACACTGTCATTTTCACTGGTTGATGGACTCCTCTAATGAAGGTGTGTGTGTATTATGTGTGTGTGTGTGTGTGTTGTGTGTGTGTGTGTGTGTGTGGTGTGTGTGTGTGTGTGTGTGTTGTGTGTGGTAGTTGTGTGGTGTGTGTGTTGTTGGTGTGTGTGTGTGGTGTGTGTGTGATGTATGTATGTGTGTGTGTATGTTGTAGTGTGTTGTATTGTGTGTGACTGTGTGTGTGTGTGATGTGTGATGTGTGTGTGTAGTATGTGTGGAGTGCGTGTGTTGTGTGTGTATGTGTGTATGTGTTATGTGTGTGTTATTGTGTGTGTGTTGTGTTTTTGTGTATGTGTGTGTGTGTGTGTGTGTGTGTGGTGTGTGTGTGTGTATGTGTGTGATGTGTGATGTGTTGTTGGTGTGTGTGTGTGTGGTGTTGTGTTGTGGTGTGTGTGTGTTGTGTGTGGTTTGTGTGTGTTGTTGTGATGTGTGTGTGTGTGTTGTGTGGTGTGTGTTGTGTTGTGTTTTGTGTGTGTTGTGTGTTGGTATGTGTGTGTGTGTTGTGTGTGGTGTTTTGTATGTGTGTGTGTTGTTTGTGTGTGTGTTTGTTGTGGGTGTTGTTGTGATGTTGTGGTGTGGTGTATGTGTGTGTGTGTGTGTGTGTGTGTATGTGTATGTGTGTGTGTGTGTGTGTGTGTGTGTGTGTGAATGTGTATATGTGCATGTGTGTATGTGTGTATGTGTGTGCACACTTGTGTTTCCCTTTCTCTCAAACACACTGTGTTTGTTCTTTAAAATGCTGAAGCGAACGAGCATGCCTGGGGAAAAGGGACAGGAATGGGAAAAATGTGCCTCGCATGGAGCATGGGAAACTCGTCCATTGTTTGCAATTACTGTCACATTCCCCAAAGATGTTGTTAATCTTCTAGTCCTACACTGAAAAGGACTCAAGGAATCAGTATTGTTTACAATACCCCATAATGACAAAGCGAAAACAGTTTTTTTGCAATTTCTGCAAATGTATTAAATATAAAAAACGGCAATACCTCTATTTACATAAGTATTCAGACCCTCTGCTATGAGACTCGAAATTGAGCTCAGGTGCATCCTGTTTCCATTGATCATCCTCGAGATGTTTCTACAACTTGATTGGAGTCCACCTGTGGTAAATTCAATTGATTGGACATGATTTGCAAAGGTACACACCTGTCTATAGAAGGTCCCACAGTTGACAGTGCATGTCAGAGCAAAAACCAAGCCATGACATCGAAGGAATTGTCCGTAGAGCTCCAAGACAGGATTGTGTCGAGGCACAGTTCTGGGAAGGGTACCAAACAATTTCTGCAGCATTGAAGGTCCCCAAGAAAACAGTGGCCTCCATCATTCTTAAATGGAAGAAGTTTGGAACCACCAAGACTCTTCCTAGAGCTGGCCGCCCGAATAAACTGAGCAATCGGGGGAGAAGGGCCTTGGTCAGGGAGGTGACCAAGAACACGATGGTCACTCTGACAGAGCTCCAGAGTTCCTCTGTGGAGATGGGAGAACCTTCCAGAAGGACAACCATCTCTGCAGCACTCCACCAATCAGGCCGTTATGGTAGAGTGGCCAGACGGAAGCCACTCCTCAGTAAAAGGCACATGACAGGCCGCTTGAAGTTTGCCAAAAGGCACTTAAAGACTCTCAGACCATGAGAAACAAGATTCTCTGGTCTGATGAAACCAAGATTGAACTCTTTGGTCTGAATGCCAAGCGTCACGTCTGGAGGATACCTGCCACCATCCCTACAGTGAAGCATGGTGGTGGCAGCATCATGCTGTGGGGATGTTTTTCAATGGCGGGGACTGGGAGACTAGTCAGGATCGAGGCAAAGATGAACGGAGCAAAGTACAGAGAGATCCTTGATGAAAACCTGCTCCAGAGCGCTCAGGACCTCAGACTGGGGCGAAGGTTCACCTTCCAACAGGACAACGACCCTAAGCACACAGCCAAGACAAGGCAGGAGTGGCTTCGGGACAGCGACGCTCCTCATCCAACCTGACAGAGCTTGAGAGGATCTGCAGAGAAGAATGGGAGAAACTCCACAAATACAGGCGTGCCAAGCTTGTAGCGTCATACCCAAGAAGACTCAAGGCTGTAATCGCTGCCAAAGGTGCTTCAACCAAGTACTGAGTAAAGGGTCTGAATAAATTTGTATTTATTTTCGTAAAACCTGTTTTTGCTTCGTCATTATGGGGTATTGTGTGTCGATTTTAGAATCAGGCTGTAACGTAACAACATGTGGAAAAAGTCAACGGGTCTGAATACTTTCCGAATGCACTGTAAGTTGATAATACCATAGTTGGAATTGTGATCGTAGTGGTTCTATATAGACATCATGTTAGAACTGACAATGGGCACAACTAACCTTGATGGCTGCTTATATATGTCCTATTTGGGGTTGTTGTTGTTGCATATCCCAACTCCCCCTGAGACACCCTCTGAGAGTGGGGTCACGGCCAGGGTCAGCCATTAACAGCGACTGTTTCGAACTAGCAACCTTTCTATTCTCCCTCTGTTATGTCTGACTTGTTGTTACTACGTTGTTACTATGTTGCTAGTTTGTTGTTCATAGTTACAACATAGTAACAACATAGTAACAACAAGTCAGACATAACAGAGGGAGGGAGAGGTTGATACCATCACAAAGGATACTATCATCGTCAACAAGGAGGCAGTCGCCGATGACAATCCATGACAACCCATGTCAGGCCATAGAAATAGCGTAGTAACAAATCATTCAGATAGCGGTAAACAGAGGTCAAATCTTTCAGATAGCAGAGAACAGAGGTCAAATCATTCAGATAGCAGGAAACCGAGGTCAACTCATTCAGATAACAGGGATCAGAGGTCAAATCATTCAGATAGCAGGGAACAGAGGGGAACAGAGGTCAAATAATTCAGATAGCAGGGAACAGAGGAGAACAGAGGTCAAATCATTCAGATAGCAGGGAACAGAGGTCAAATCATTCAGATAACAGGGAACAAAAGTACAAATCCTTCAGATAGCAGGGAACAGAGGGGATCAGAGTTCAAATCATTCAGATAGCAGGGAACAGAGGTACAAATAATTCACTTTCTCTCTCATGTGTGCAGGAGTCGCGGGCTGAGGGTTAGGGTTAACAAACAACTAACAAATCATAACAGGGACAGACGGAGGATATGTCTTGTTTCTCTTACGTGTGCAGGAGTCAGGGGCTGAGCTAGGTCTGCTGGGGTGTCTGTAGAACCCTCTGCTGCAGCTCTGGCAGTGTCTGCCCTCTGTGTTGTGGCGGCAGACGCCACACACACCCCCACGACGCCGTCCCGATGCCAGCCACACACCACGGTCAAAGTGACAGCTATCTGCATGTCCGTTACACTTGCACTCTGTAAAAGAAAGAGTAAGCGCCTAAATCAGAGTTAAGATAAGCGCGCACAACTCTGACTTTCATGTAAATCATTATTGACGTCAATGGGAGACTCAAGTCTCCCACGATCTCAAGTCAGAATACCACCCTAAAAGCATTTCTGTTTTCCCATTGCTTCCTTTCTCTCAAAGCTACAGTAAAGATCCTAGGTGTCATTAACATTTGCATCAAGGGGTTCATTTCTGAATGTGAGTGTTTCAACAACAACAACAAAAGACAGATGAGAGCATTGAATGGCAAAAAGAGAATATACCTGTTTAATAATACATGAGTACAACTACTACTACTAATACTAATAAAGACCTCCGGCTGTGTGTATCGGGTAATGTACTTGTTGTGTACGTGGTTCTGCCGGTTGACCTTCCTGGCCTTGTAAGACTCACTCTTGCATTCATGAGGTGCTCCTATGATGCCGTTGGCAGCTTGCCAAGGCTGGTCGTTGTAGAGGGGAGCACAGCGCTCACAGTGGTCGCCGGCAGTGTTGTGTCTACACACACACCTCCCATGGACCTGCCGCAGGGGAGAGAGCAGTGTATTATGTATGTTTTACTGGATTACGGTTACAGTCACACACACACATCCCATGGACCTGCTGTAGGACTGGAGCAGAGGGCAGAGACTGAAAACATGGACCTGCGGCAGGACTGGAGCAGAGGGCAGAGACTGAAAACATGGACCTGCTGTAGGACTGGAGCAGAGGGCAGAGACTGAAAACATGGACCTGCGGCAGGACTGGAGCAGAGGGCAGAGACTGAAAACATGGACCTGCTGTAGGATTGGAGCAGAGGGCAGAGACTGAAAACATGGACTTGCTGTAGGATTGGAGCAGAGGGCAGAGACTGAAAACATGGACCTGCGGCAGGACTGGAGCAGAGGACAGAGATTGAAAACATGGACCTGCTGTAGGACTGGAGCAGAGGGCAGAGACTGAAAACATGGACCTGCAGTAGGACTAGAGCAGAGGGCAGAGACTGAAAACATGGACCTGCCGTAGGACTGGAGCAGAGGGCAGAGACTGAAAACATGGACCTGCGGCAGGACTGGAGCAGAGGGCAGAGACTGAAAACATGGACCTGCAGTAGGACTGGAGCAGAGGGCAGAGACTGAAAACATGGACCTGCTGTAGGACTGGAGCAGAGGGCAGAGACTGAAAACATGGACCTGCTGTAGGATTGGAGCAGAGGGCAGAGACTGAAAACATAGACCTGCGGCAGGACTGGAGCAGAGGGCAGAGACTGAAAACAGTGGTCATTGTAACTGACAAGCCAGTAGTGTATTTTCTTCTTTGCAGTAAATGTGGATTGCACAGTGCAGTGTGCAACAGCCTTAATTATCTTCCCACCACTGTTTGACTAAAGCCTCCAGTGTTTACTATACGAGAAATGCTGATGTTATTCCACTGGCATTTCTACTTTCAGTGGGAAAAACATGTTTAAGCTACTGTATGGCGTTTTACACTATAATTAAGGTTTCCTCATAGTTATAATCCTGTAATGGAAGGTAAATCTGTGGGTAAATATAGAGTCTTCAGTAAAGCCCAGAGCCTCCGCATTAAAACACCACTACACAGACATAGAACCAAGGGGTGGTGGGAACGGAGAGTGCCAGAAACAATAACACATTTACACACACCCTGACACAATCACAGATACACACACACACACACAAAGGAATAAACACAAGCCGCTCCGTACACACAAACATTCGACAGCACAAACACACGTATACACAACATCCCCGACGGGTTTCGTAACAGAGCGTGACGTGACGAGTGCAGTCTTTCGCCGAAGCGCTAAGATAAGAGATAAGTGGTCAGTTGTGATTGGTTGTTCGTGCTGCTCTTCATCCTTCCTCACCACGTGATTGATCCTCTGCCTGAAGGGGCGGTACCCATTGGCTTGCACACAGTGCTCTGCGTGCCCATTGCAGAGGCAGCTGCCCTTGACGATGAAGTCATAGATGGCATAATGGTTTGTGGGCAGTGCCTGGGTATCTGGGTCTTTAGCCTGGCAGGGGCAAGGCTGGCGCTGCAGTAGACGCACCCGCAGGTTGGTGACCATCAACTGGGTGTGGGCTGCTGGGCCGTAGGGGTCCAGTGAGAGCCAGGGGGACAGGGCGCGGTAGATCACCTAGAGGGGGGAGAAGAGTGGGTCAGAGTTCCCAGCAGGCATAATCTGGCAGATTTCATTTTAATAAAGTTGTTTTCTGGTTATAAACAGGTTTTCTGGTTGTAAACTGGTTTTGTGGATGTGGTTATAAACTGGTTTTCTAGTTGTAAACTGGTTTTCTGGTTGAGAAGATCTCATATAACCAGAATACAACCAACAGGTATCTGTTACAATCATGTAAATACTTATTTTTCATGACAAGATCAAGACATCGTCCAGTTTAATATGCTAAATGTCAATGTAACTGGCAATGAGAGGAATTTATTAATTTGCCAATGAGATGATTGATTTATCTGACAATAGAGAATAAACGTGGTGTTTCACCACAGCTTGTCTTTAAAAAAAAATCGGAAAACCCATTTCAAAGGACCATCCAGGGGTCGATGGTCTGTGCAGATGGTCGGCCAAAAAAAAACATCAGTGGCTCAATCTCTCGGTCTGTTCTAGGGTGGGTCTTTCTTTCTTAACAATGTTTACTTGTAAAATGTAGATGTAGCTTCCAATGAGAGAGTGGTTGATTGATCTATCAAGAGAATACCAAGAGAATCCTTTTCAAAGGACTACCCAGGGGACAATCTGAAACCCTTTACATTTACGTCATAACTGTATGACCCTATGACCCTATGACCCTATGACCCTATGTGCATTCTAAAACTTCTCAAAAACATTCTGAAAAAGACTACTCTCCCTAGTGGCTACAGAGAAGGACCGTGACAAAAACAGAAAACATGTCATGTTCCTTTTGGGTCTGAAAAATAGAAAACGGGCATCAATCTGGTTCGCCTTTCATGCTCCCCGAAATAAGGAGGGTTATTCAGGGCCCAGCAGATCTGACTGGGGTGCCAATGTCAATACTCTGACAGGGGTCCTTGTCAGATCTCTTTCTCAATCCTTCATGCTCTCTCTCATCAGCCTCTTTCCGATCCTACAGTAAAAAAGCCATGTCAATTAATTTTACATTTATTAGAATCTTTACAGAATCGTTAGCAGCACAATGGAATGCTTTCATCCGGACTGAACCTGTTTTTGGATATATTTACATTTACATTTTAATCATTTAGCAGACGCTCTTATCCAGAGCGACTTAGAGTTAGTGAGTGCATACATTATTTTATTTTTTCATACTGGCCCCCCGTGGGAAACGAACCCACAACCCTGGCGTTGCAAGCGCCATGCTCTACCAACTGAGCTACATGAGACTATATCACTTGTTTGCTGACGCTCAAACAGTGCCATAAGATTATGTGAGAGTGCCTTCTCTCTCTCTCTCTCTCTCTCTCTCTCTCTCTCTCTACTCTCTCTCTCTCTCTCTCTCTCTCTCTCTCTATCTCTCTCTCTCTCTCTCTTCTCTCTCTCTCTCTCTCTCTCTCTCCTCTCTCTCTCTCTCTCTCTCTCTCTCTCTCTCTCTCTCTCTCTCTCTCTCTCTCTCTCTCTCTCTCTAATGTCTGTCAGCTTGATATTATGATGTCCCGCACTGACTCACTGTGTAGGCAACTCTCTCCAAACCAAATAGATGACTTTCTTGACTTAATCCTCTTGGCCCCCTTGGGAGCGTAGGGCCTCCACCATGGCTCTCCACCTCACTCTTTTCTGTGTGAGGGATTTTGGCAAAGCAAATACATGGAACCTAGTACCTTCTGTTACACCCAGACACTTCTCTCTTAATATGGAACCTAGTACCTTCTGTTACACGAGACACTTCTCTCTTAGTAGGCAGGGAATAACAGGGGGGCTTTCCCCCATGTGTCTTCACACATAGCATGACCTGACACAGCTCAACACATAGCATGACCTGACACAGCTCAACACATAGCATGACCTGGCACAGCATAGCATGACCTGACACAGCCTAACACATAGCATGACCTGGCATAGACTACCACATAGCATGACCTGACACAGCTCAACACATAGCATGACCTGGCACACCTCAACACATAGCATGACCTGACACAGCTCAACACATAGCATGACCTGACACAGCTCAACACATAGCATGACCTGGCACAGCATAGCATGACCTGACACAGCCTAACACATAGCATGACCTGGCATAGACTACCACATAGCATGACCTGGCACAGCTCAACACATAGCATGACCTGGCATAGACTACCACATAGCATGACCTGACACAGCTCAACACATAGCATGACCTGGCACACCTCAACACATAGCATGACCTGACACAGCTCAACACATAGCATGACCTGACACAGCTCAACACATAGCATGACCTGGCATAGACTAACACATAGCATGACCTGACACAGCTCAACACATAGCATGACCTGGCATAGACTAACACATAGCATGACCTGGCACAGCATAGCATGACCTGACACAGCTCAACACATAGCATGACCTGGCATAGACTAACACATAGCATGACCTGACACAGCTCAACACATAGCATGACCTGGCATAGACTAACACATAGCATGACCTGGCACAGCTCAACACATAGCATGACCTGGCATAGACTAACACATAGCATGACCTGACACAGCTCAACACATAGCATGACCTGACACAGCTCAACACATAGCATGACCTGACACAGCTCAACACATAGCATGACCTGACACAGCTCAACACATAGCATGACCTGGCACAGCATAGCATGACCTGACACAGCTCAACACATAGCATGACCTGACACAGCTCAACACATAGCATGACCTGGCACAGCATAGCATGACCTGACACAGCCTAACACATAGCATGACCTGACACAGCCTAACACATAGCATGACCTGACACAGCCTAACACATAGCATGACCTGACACAGCCTAACACATAGCATGACCTGACACAGCCTAACACATAGCAGATACACTACAATTATGATGAGCTCAGTTAAACCCTTTTCATATTCATGACATTTAAACATCTCCCGTCCTAACTTGGTCCAGAGCCCTATTGGAACATTAACAAAATACATTCTGCTCTCTCTCGTATCATCTCTAATAACCTCTTCAAATATCCTATGAGAGAGCTCTACACATACGCAACGCTAGCCTATAGAGAGCTCTCTCTCGACAGACCTCTCTCATCAAGAGTGCTCTGTAGAATCGCTCCTACCTCGAGCAGCTCTCGCTATATATTCTCTTATCCAACGCTCCCTACCTCTCCCCATCTCTCGCTCGCTCTATCTCCTCCCACCCTCTCCCTCATCTCTCTGCTCGCTCTCTCCTCTCACTATACCTCTCCCTGACCCTTCCCACTCTCTCAGTTCTCTCCTCGCTCCTCTCTTCCCTACCTCTCTCCCTACCTCTCTCCCTCATCTCTCTCTCTCTCTCCCTACCTCTCTCACTCTCTCTCCACCATCTCTCTCTCTATCTTTCTCTCTCCCCCTCTCTCTCTCCCTCTCCCATCATCTCATCTATTTGAGTCCCGCAATCAGGCCGACATGATTTAGGGCTTACAACCCCTTTTAAACATTGTGTGCTTGAGCTACAGACTTTTGTGCGGTGGCTGAGCTAGAGCGGTGTTTGTGAGTCAAGGGCGGATCGTGAAAACGGTTCTTCTCGTAAAAAGTAATGTAAAGTCTGAACGGTTTGAGCTACAAACTATTATGACCCCACGAATGTGCACATGTAATCTGTTTTGCTCTATGACACTCACAGGTCACTAAAGAGTTGTTAGAAGGTAAGGGGTTCTTCTACATAGAAGATCATAGGAAATCCCAGGACATAGTGTCTATAATACTGAGTCATTAGAAGGTAAGGGGTTATTCTACATAGAAGATCATAGGAAATCCCAGGACATAGTGTCTATAATACTGAGTCATTAGAAGGTAAGGGGTTATTCTACATAGAAGATCATAGGAAATCCCAGGACATAGTGTCTATAATACTGAGTCATTAGAAGGTAAGGGGTTATTCTACATAGAAGATCATAGGAAATCCCAGGACATAGTGTCTATAATACTGAGTCATTAGAAGGTAAGGGGTTATTCTACATAGAAGATCATAGGAAATCCCAGGACATAGTGTCTATAATACTGAGTCATTAGAAGGTGAGGGGTTATTCTACATAGAAGATCATAGGAAATCCCAGGACATAGTGTCTATAAAACTGAGTCATTAGAAGGTAAGGGGTTATTCTACATAGAAGATCATAGGAAATCCCAGGACATAGTGTCTATGATACTGTAATAAGATCACATAGTTGCCGTCACAAACTCCACATAGTTGTCACTGACTAGTTAGATATTAATTTCCCACTGAGCAAAACATTTCTGTACTTACAGCATTCTCATAAAAGCATTTTTTATTAGGTTTTTCTTGGCGGACCTTATTCTATTGTTGACATTTGTTAATATAACTCATGAATACAACCGTTTATGTCCAATTGTTTTGTGTTCTACTTGTAGCCCTGGTTGTCCTAAAAATGGAAAAACACTTAATTGTGAGGCTAAATATAACAGCTGGACATACAGATACATTGAAGCAGTGAAAGGAAAGCAGATCTTTGCTGGGAGTCCCTAGGACTGATGAGGAATGAAAATCTTGATGCTCATGAATAAACCAACGATGCCTGTTGCTCTCTGGCTCAAACTTTCCTCTGTCCGATGATACGGCATGTCTAAAAAGACCTCATGGAGCAACATCAGAGGAATGAGGTGAACATTGATATTCTATTCATGCATGGATGGATGTCGTCATGGGCTTTGTGCAGCTGAGAATGCGATCTAAAACCCCTCCTTTTAGATCTGTTTACTTTAAACACACAGCTTAGTCTGTTTGTTCAACGCTTGTGCCACACACACACACACACACACACAGTTAGGTGAGTACATAACAGCTATGATATCTTTGAGCACCACAGCAAACATTCAGGTAGCACAGATGTTGTGCATTACCGCTGTGAAGCGTTGAGAATGTCTGACAGGTTGTTTCGAACGGGCCACTTTGAAATCTGCCTCAGCTCTGTTCTATTCCATTCAACCCCCTGTGTCCTCTCCTCCATCTTCCCTGCATCCACAACGCCCAGCTGGACGTTGCCTTCACCTGTGTCCAACTGCTGTATGCCTGGGCTCTCAACAATATTAGTAGCCACAAGGAACTAAAGCTAAGCTTGGGCCAGGCTGCCAAACAGGCGTTAGACCATCAGAAGTGGAGAGGTCTCTGCCATATGCGTCAGCAGGCATGAAGAGGATAGGTAAGTGCAATCAGAGACCCCACAATACACAACTCTCACCTCTCCTCGGGTACATGGGAACGCTCCTGAGTATTTGGAGGTGCAGGCCGCCCCACTCTCTCCTTCCTCCCCCACACGAGCCTCCTCTGCCAGGCCGAAGGCGTCCTCACAGTCCCTCGCAAAGTACCTGGGTAGAAATTAATACATCCATCAACAAGATGTTTATTTGACCCCAGAGGATAACACATGAATTAAAACAGTAATTTCCAAAGTGGTCCTCGATGGTACCTGAGGGTCTTCCAGGTCCTCCCGTGGTCCTGGGAACGCTCCAGCAACATGACAGCGGGCCGGGGGGAGCGGAACACCAGGATGAGATGAGTAAAGTAGAACTCTGTCTCCAGGTTTAGTTGGAGGGTTTCTGTCTCCACCCCCTCTGCAGACTGCCACCAGGTATCTGGGTATCGGAATGAGGAATCGGTCATGGCAGAGGCCAGGTGAGCCTGGTGGGGGAGAGCTGCGTTGCACTTGCTGCATTTGGGTGCTGCTGGACAGGAAGCCTCTTTGTGGAAGGAAGGGGTAGAACTAAACGTCTGCTGGTAGAGGCAGTAGGGCTCAGTGGAGTTTCTTCCACACACAGACTGGGTGAGTAGTCTTCGGCCCAAGGCGAGGTTCCCCATGCGAGGGTTACAGGCCCGGCCGGCACAACGGCTCTGGCTCTCTGAGACTGGACCTGAAGAGCTGGAAGGACCTGAGGGGAGAGAGAGAGAATATTTTTTGGGGGGAGAAATGTATTTGTATTTAACACAAAATTCACTGTTTCCAATTTCAAGTAATCTTCACAGATTGGGGATACATTTACATTTCAATTTTAGTCATTTAGCAGATGCTCTTATCCAGAGCAAATTACAGTTAGTGAGTGCATTCATTTTTCATACTGGCCCCCTGTGGGAATCGAACCCACAACCCTGGCGTTGCAAGCGCCATGCTCTACCAACTGAGCTACAGGATACCAGCCTGATTAGTCAAAAATGATATCTTTTACAGACATTAAAGCGTTTTCTAGAATGGCGACATGCGAGATAGCCAACAAACATTTCAAAGCAACATACTCTACACGAGAATCAATCAAAATCATCCTCAATGCCTGCATGCGCACTTGTTACAGACGCGCGCTAAAGTTTGCCAGTATCATCTCAATCCAAACCCGCGGAAGGATGAGAAAAATACACTTTACTATTCCTTTACTTACCAGCCAAAAGAAGCAGAGACGCACAAAGAGGAATCACGACAAGTAAAGTCCACCGTCTCATCTTGAACATCCTTGAAGACAGTTCTAGAACATAGTGAGACAGCCAGGTAGCCTAGCTGCTTCTTGTGTGAACAGAGAGAGAGCAGCGATGAAGGTCTGTTTTTATAGTGGCAACAAGTGAAGGCACGTTTTCTCAGACGATTGACTTTAGCCAAGTGAGCTGTCTCCTAAGCGGCACGACGCTTCCAATATTAACAACCTGAAGCGATATTAGACCTATAGAAGAATAAAACACTCACTATCGATTGGATGTCGATCATAAACAATGTGTGCTATCTATCCAATCTCAATCAGTTATAAATAAGTCATTACTGTGCCTTAATCTAGGATATAGGTATGCGCGATCGTCTTCAGGGTTGTTATAGTGTCCAAGATCGTTTGTAAAAGGTTGAGCATTCCTGAGTACTCCAATCCATCATCACTGTTTGAAAGAAGTCCATGGGACGATAGACATTTAAATATGGAAAGGTTGAAAGCCAAGCCATTTAATAGTATTTCCCAACAACTGTATGGTTCGTTCCCAACTGTATGGTTCTTTCCCAAATCCCAACCTTATCCCCTCCCTCAAACCCTCTAAATATGGCTAAATCTCAAATGGCACCCTATTCCCTCTGGTCAAAAGTAGCGCCCTATAGGGAATAGGGTGTCATTTGGGAATTGACCTACTTCTACAGGGCATTTGGAAAGTATTCAGACCCCTTGACTTTTTGTTACAGCCTTATTCTAAAATTGATTCACAAATTTTTGCTAATTTATTCAAAATAAAACCTGAAATATGACATTTACATAAGTGTTCAGACCCTTTACTCAGTACTTTGTTGAAGCACCTTTGGCAGTGATTAGAGCCTCGAGTCTTCTTGGGTATGACGCTACAAGCTTGGCAGGTAGCTTAGTGGTTAAGAGCCTTGTGCCAGTAACCGAAAGGTTGCTGGTTCTAATCCCAGAGCCGACTAGGTGAAAAATCTGTCGTTGTGCCCTTGAGCAAGGCACTTAACCCTAATTGCTCCTGTAAGTCGCTCTGGATAAGAGTGTCTGCTAAAATGACAAAAAAATATATATATAAAAACAACAACAAAAAATATTTAGGGAGTTTCTCCCATTTTTCTCTGCAGATCCTCTCAAGCTCTGTCAGGTTGGATGGGGAGCGTTGCTGCACAAATATTTTCAGGTCTCTCCAGAGAAGTTTGATCGGGTTCTAGTCCGGGCTCTGTCTGGGCCACTCAAGGACATTCAGAGACTTGTCCCGAAGCCACTCCTGTGTTGTCTTGGCTGTGTGCTTAGGGTCGTTGTCCTGTTGGAAGGTGAACCTTCACCCCAGTCTGAGGTCTTGAGCGCTCTGGAGCAGGTTTTCATCAAGGATCTCTCTGTACTTTGCTCCATTCATCTTTGCCTCGATCCTGACTAGTCTCCCAGTCCCTGCCACTGAAAAACATCCCCACAGCATGATGCTGCCACCACCATGCTTCACCGTGCCAGGTATCCTCCAGACGTGACGCTTGGCATTCAGGCCAAAGAGTTCAATCTTGGTTTCATCAGACCAGATAATCTTGTTTCTCATGGTCTGAGAGTCTTTAAGTGCCTTTTGGCAAACTCCAAGCGGGCTGTCATGTGCTTTTAACTGAGGAGTGGCTTCCGTCTGGCCACTCTACCATAAAGGCCTGATGGTTGGAGTGCTGCAGAGATGGTTGTCCTTCTGGAAGGTTCTCCCATCTCCACAGAGGAACTCTGGAGCTCTGTCAAAGTGACCATCGGGTTCTTGGTCACCTCCCTGACCAGGGCCCTTCTCCCCCGATTGCTCAGTTTATTCGGGCGGTCAGCTCTAGGAAGAGTCTTGGTGGTTCCAAACTTCTTCCATTTAAGAATGATGGAGGCCACTGTGTTCTTGGGGACCTTCAATGATGCAGACATTTTTTGGTACCCTTCCCCACCAGATCTGTGCCTCAACACAATCCTGTCTCGGAGCTACAGTATATGGACAATTCCTTCGACCTCATGGCTTGGTTTTTGCTCTGACATGCACTGTCAACTGTGGGACCTTATATAGACAGGTGTGTGCCTTTCCAAATCATGTCCAATCAATTTAATTTACATTTTAGTCATTTAGCAGACGCTCTTATCCAGAGCGACTTATAGTTAGTGAGTGCATACATTTTCATACTGGCCCCCCTTGGGAATCAAACCCACAACCCTGGCGTTGCAAGCGCCATGCTCTACCAACTGAGCTACACGGGGGCTACAAGTGGATGCAATCAAGTTGTTGAAACATCTCAAGGATGATCAATGGAAACAGGATGCAGCTGAGCTCAATTTCGAGTCTCATAGCAAAGGGTCTGAATACTTATGTAAAATAAGATATTTCAGTTTTACATTTTTTATAAATTTGCAAAAATTTCTAAAAACCTTTTTTCGCTTTGTCATTATGGGGTATTGTGTGTAGATTGCTGAGGAAAATGTTTTATTTAATAGATTTTAGAATAAGGCTGTAATGGGCCTCCCGAGTGGTGTAACTACAGACCTGGGTTCGATCCCAGGCTGTATCACAATCGGCCGTGATCGGGAGTCCCATAGGGCAGCGCACATTTGGCCCAGTGTTGTCCGGGTTAAGGGAGGGTTAGCCGGGGAGGCTTTACTTGGCTCATTGCGCTCTAGCGACTCCTTGTGGCGGGCTGGGCGCCTGCAGGCTGACCTCGGTCGTCAGTTGGACGTTGTTTCCTCTGACATGTTGGTGCGGCTGGCTTCCAGGTTAAGCGGGCGGTTTGGCGAGTCATGTTTCGGAGGACGCATGCCTTGACCTTCGCCTCCCGAGCCCGCTGGGGAGTCACAGCGATGAGACAAGATCGAAATTGGGGAGAAAAAAAGGGTAAAATACAACAACAACAAAAAACTTTTAAAAGATTACGGCTGTAACATAACAAAATGTGGAAAAGGTCAAGGGGTCTGAATACTTTCCGAATGCACTGTATATCTGGGTCGTTCCCTTTAAAACATGACTGAGTAGATTGTATCAGAGGAAGATATTAGAGCAGACTACTGTGTCATTGTGAAGATGTTTAAATGTAATAAACTGGTCCTGAATATCTCGAAAACTAAGATCATTGTATTTGGTACAAATCATTCCCTAAGTTCTAGACCTCTGATCTGGTAATGAATGAATGGTGTGACTGTTGAACAAGTTGAGGAGACTAACGTACTTGGTGTTACCTTAGATTGTAAACTGTCATGGTCAAAACATATAGATTCAATGTTTGTAAAGATGGGGAGAGGTCTGACCCTAATAAAGAGATGCTGTGCATTTTTGACACCACACTCCACAAAGCAAGTCCTGTAGGCTGTAGTTTTATCCTATCTTGATTATTGTCCAGTCATACGGTCAAGTGCTGCAAAGAAATACCTAGTTGAGCTGCAGCTGGCCCAGAACAGAGCGACATATCTTGCTCTTCATTGTAATCAGAGGGCTAATACAGTGCCTTGCAAAAGTATTCATCCCCCTTGGCGTTTTTCCTATTTTGTTGCATTACAACCTGTAATTTAAATTGATTTTTATTTGGATTTCATGAAATGGACATAAACAAAATAGTCCAAATTGGTGAAGTGAAATGAAAAAAATCTGGTGCATCCAATTACCTTCAGAAGTCACATAATTAGTTAAATAATGTCAAACTGTGTGCAATCTAATTGTCACATGATCTGTCACAAGATCTAAAAGGCCCCAGAGTCTGCAACACCACTAAGCAAGGGGCACTACCAAGCAAGCGGCACCATGAAGACTCTGGGGCCTCTCCAAACAGGTCAGGGACAAAGTTGGGTTATAAAAAATATCAGAAACGTTGAACATCCCACGAAGCACCATTAAATCCATTATTAAAAAATTGAAAGAATATGGCACCACAACAAACCTGCCAAGAGAGGGCCGCCCACCAAAACTCACGGACCAGGCAAGGAGGGCATTAATCAGAGAGGCAACAAAGAGACCAAAGATAACCCTGAAGGAGCTGCAAAGCTCCACAGCGGAGATTGGACTATCTGTCCATAGGACCACTTTAAGCCATACACTCCACAGAGCTGGGCTGGGCATTATGGAAGAGTGGCCAGAAAAAAGCCATTGCTTAAAGAAAAAAATAAGCAAACACGTTTGGTGTTTGCGAAAAGGCATGTGGGAGACTCCCCAAACATATGGAAGAAGGTACTCTGGTCAGATTAGACTAAAATTGAGCTTTTTTGCCATCAAGGAAAACACTATGTCTGGCGCAAACCCAACACCTCTCATCACCCCGAGAACACCATCCCCACAGTGAAGCATGGTGGTGGCAGCATCATGCTGTGGGGATGTTTGTCATCAGCAGGGACTGGGAAACTGGTCAGAATTGAAGAAATGATGGATGGTGCTAAATACAGGGAAATTCTTGAGGGAAACCTGTTTCAGTCTTCCAGAGATTTGA